CAAGACGGTAAAAAGATGACGATGTTATACGGACCTTTTCCGTATGAAAGCTGTTCGATACGTGCTACCGTATCCATGTGCCGTATCACGTATGAAAAAAACCACATACATTGATGACGTCACAAGCATAATCGATACGGATACGTGATACGGACAGAAATTTACGCTTGCCTAAAGTCTCTACTATCTCTAACTGTTGCCCGTGGGAGCTTAGTCACATGCCAGGCAATCTCATATTTTGAGTCGCGTTGTAAAGCTTGGTGTCTTCTTGGTGAATCGGGAGCAGGTCTTGTTGAAAAGGCAACAACTCAGTCCAGTACAAAGAGCGTGCGTGAATGCAAGACGAACTCGCTCCATCACAGATCCAACAAGACCTTGATAAGGTCTACTGACATATCATGTACAGATCCTACCCAGATCCATCACGACCTCTGCAGAATAGTATAAAATGACCAGAAATAGGCTTGTCTGGATATTCAAGAGTGAACATCCCCCTGTCTTGTTGCATCGCATCGGGATCGCGTTTGGTCGTGTTGAGAGCGTTTTGGGGTCTTGTTTGATTGTATCGACATCGTTTAGTTACCGAGTGTTTGGGTCCCGGAGACTTGTGGAAGTAATTTCATCAAATTTGTATCGCAATTATGCGTCTCCTTGGATCGTCAAAATTTTTAAATCGGAAGAACATCGAGTTTTGGTCTATTAAGTTGAGTTGAACCGATTACGAATAGTTATGTAGGATAAGGGGCGGTTAAGTAACCATACCCTCTAAAACATAGTGCTTGGCGCAAAAGGGCGAGTCTCAATAGTGCTGCATCTTCTTTTGAAGACGTACTGCTAGGTCTACCAGAACATTGATGGTCCTGTTGATGTTCGCAATAATAGACTAATAGTGAAGGGATGGCGACCGAACTGTCTGGCAACCTGTCTTATTAACTTTCCAGCATTACCCATGCCAATAACTTGCCATGTTTTTGCGGCGGCACTGGGTTGTCATGGTCCCTTTGTGAAACATAAACAGTGAACGGGCCGATTTTGAAACTTTCATCGATGTTATGGCTAATTTCCTAGGCATGTTTTTCATGACGCAAGGGTTCGTGCTTACTTTTAACCGTAGGTCTGTAACGTGCTGCACAATCTGATTAGAACACAGATCCTATTTCGTTTCGTTTTTTTATAGTTCAAAATTTCTTTTTATTTATCTTTACTAAACTAGGATCTGGAAGAGTTGTTATATTACCGGCGTTTTGGTTGAAGTGAGAGATAAGCCAATGAAACGGTCCGTCTGTTACGGCGACTTCTTGGCGTGCCATACACAGAACTGTGGGTAAACCACTAGAAACATCAACGCTGATTGATTAATCAATGTCTGACGTTATATGGTCGAAATGCGCTTGTACGATTCCTGACACGACCTTCGAGTACACCTTGTCAGATCCTTATGTAGTGTAGGCCATCGAACTTATAAAAAAAACGAAAGAAATATACATCTGTATTTTAATCAGATTGCTTGCTGCACTGCCAGCTTTTATTGGTATAATATATGGAGGACGGAATACTTCAAAATGTTTATTTCACTTTCGCATATATTTATTTACGTCATGAATTTCTCTTGAGCGCATAAACATTCAGGTGTGTATAAATACAGTACCCCCATAGCCTTTAAAGCCCTTGTCGAAAGGTCAAATTCACTTTACGTTTGTGTGGGACAGGAACCAGAACTGATCCGCGGCGAACACCATCTAAGTCAAGAACTGGCTGATTGGAGTCAATCAAGATCCTCTGTGTTCGACCAGTTTAGTACAACTGAATCGGCTATGCGATCCCTGAGATGCCGTAATGATTTCTAAGTCTCTCGATGGGGTTGGCAGATCGATCTTATGGAAAGTAGTACCAAAATCCAATAAGATTAACGGAACTGCCTTACGCCTTTCAAATTACACGCGATATCATTATTAAGACGATTAAGTAGAGCAGGTTTTGTACTGCAGACTGGAATTTTTTATTTAGATTATTGTCGAAGTTTTAATCGGTCAATCGTGATATAATTGCAGGTATTTTCTAAAAATACTTAAACGGTTTGCAGTACAATACACCCTTACGTTTTATAGGAAAAAAAGTAATTATATAATAGTTATTCGACTAACTTGAACAGTCGAGAAAATCCTCTTTAATACGTCTCACGCTTTCTACTAATAGATACAATAAAACGAATTTTATGGCCCATTTCTTACATTTTGATTGTAATTTATTCTATTATCAAGATAAAAGTTCCATTGCATTGAAAGCTTGAGAAGAACACGCCTCAGTGACACATTTAATGGTCATTAGCTTGTATTACCGTTATATGAATATCACAAACCTTGCGCATTGTAATTATCTTCAAAAGGAGGGGCAAGGCTGTTTAGATTCACAATACTTATAATAATGGCCTATTTAACGTTAAAGGACTTTCTGAACATTCAGTCATACATATCAATGTTGTTAAATGTCTGAAGTTTATGGCGTGTTCTATACTTTACATGCACAATTATTGGCACCCCACCTTTTCCACTCCGCACCACACCCAAAATAAAACTTTACACCGTTGCGAGGAACTTTCCCCTGCATTAAGTGCGCATAAAACCAAATTACGGTCTACCTTAACACGCTTAATCTTGCATGCTTTATGATTCAGAGAGATATTTCATATTTAGGACGGTCGTAATTCCAATTCCATAAATACAAAATGAAAAATATTTGGGTTAATGGTTTTAGCACATGCCAGGTTCTTAATCTCTAACTAATCAGGATTGATGAAGTCATTGAATTGTTAATCGACAAATCAATATCTGTGAGTGAAATTGAATTGTTTGATAAGCTTTTCATTTTATTTTACGAGTTTTTGCATTAAGTCTGAGCCCAAGCGAGAGAGAGAGAGAAAGAAAGAGAGAGAGAGAGAGAGAGAGAGAGAGAGATGGGGTTTAACGTCCACTCGACACAAACTTGGTCATTTCGGGACTAACACATGCTTCAATTCTATTTCAATAATTCGCTTGCGCGTAGGGGTCTTTAGCAGTGGAGAAAACCCACGAGGTTGGACAGGCAACCCTACTCCTTGTCACGTACAACCGGGGAATCGAAACCCCGCCAGTTGACTCAATGACAGACCGTATGATACAGCGCGCGCGTGCTAACCATCCCCCCCCACCCGACCCCAAGCACAAACATTGGCGAACTGTTGGTACCCATAGGAACACCAGCTAACTGGAAAAACGATGTTTTCTATCATGAATTCTAATATTCTTACAAAATCTGTTTCGGTGTATTCGTATTTAACAACATGATTGAGTGATTTTTATTAAAGCATTAGCAATTGTATATCTTTATCAACGTATATTCTTCTTTCTTTTTTTCGAAAAAAGCTCGACGAACAATACCTGTCAATATGGAGTTTTATTCATATATACCCATAACAGTAGTTCAAATAGTAAGTGCAGGAGAACCGCACTACAATCAAACAAAACCGATAAGACAAACCCGCGGACAAGACAAACTACAGACATTGCAAGAAATAAACAACAAATATTAAACCGTAATAAGCTTCCACTGCGCTTAACAGTCCTTTCACGTAATACTACGGGCTTCAATCATAATTTTAAAAAAAAGAAGAAATTATTTACAAAAAAGACGTAATTTGCGACCGGTTAAAGTTTGTGTGTTATGGTGAATGGTAGCAGAAAGAAACGTTTCTTTTTGTATACCGTTAATCCAATGTTTAATTCAATTTCATTGAAACTTTCATGTCATTAGACATGCTATCAGGTCTAAATTCAAGATTTGGCCTTGCCTTATATGAAAGTCTTGCAATACAAGTTCTAACGGAACTAGATAATGCCGGTACGGTGTTGATTAATAGTTATGAAATCGATTTTGGTCGATAATGACTTGGGTCATGCACAATAAAACGTATGTATCGTTGGGAAATGTTATATATTTGCCATATATTTCAGATATATTCCGTAAACCAAGACTTATTAAGTGATTGTGAATGTGTGAGTTAGTTCAAAAAGGGGTGTGATTAACGAAATGGAAAAATACTTTCAAATAAATGTGATTTCCTTGTATTTAATTGAAACACAATTATATATACAGGGCATGTCTGTTCATTCTAGACCACCTAATACCATTTATAATTTTGGGAGTATATTGATAAAGAGTGGTAATATAATGATAAAAAGTGATAATATACTAGTAAAATATTAGTGTGTAATAGCGAAATGTGAGTATAATGAGAAACAAAGGTGATCTGCCAGTAAAATATTATTGTGTAATGATAAAATGTGATGATATAATGATATATAACGATAAAAAGTGATGACATGCTAGAATAATATTATTGTGTAATTATAGCTAAAAGTGATAGTAAATATATAAAACGATAAACAAAAGGGGTCTGCCAGTAAAATCTTATTGTGTAATGCTAAAGTGTGATATTATAAGTTGTAGTGTGTTAATTAATAAAGGGTGTTTGTGTAATAATAAAGGATAGTGTGGTAATGAATTTGACGTGGCATTCCAGCGATAAAACCTATCGTAGAATGGGAAACCTATCGTAGAATTGCGAGGGATAGAACAATTTGTTTATGAGTGGGATAGTTGATACATTACATTAGTAACAATTACAACATCTATGACTGGATTGGTATAATTCCATCCTTCGATAATATATCAATGGGATTGTGCATTCCTTACATTCCTAGCAATCGATGGTTGGATTACCACAGGGCTACTGGTGAAAGTATTACCGTGTTGCCTAGTAGAGTATTCCTTTACAAATATGAAATGTACAACAACCCATGTCATTCACAAACATACAATATACAACTGTTATCAATTCATAATTTGGGAGGGTTATCAAAATCATATTTATTTTTCAGAGAATATAATTACATTTTCGGAACATTCAATTGTGTTTATTGAAGCGTGCTGTCGATATAACGGGGGAAGGTTTATAGGTCTTGCTAATGTGTGAATGGTTATCAAAAGAATACATACTAACTATTTTTAAATGAGAACAGGGGTATCGTAACGTCGGCATGAATTTGTCACAAGACCGCGGAATACGTATAGTATGACAACACTTCAGTGCCCTCAAAAATGGCTACCTCGGTATGTACACGGCTTTTTTTCTGTTTTATTGGGATTTTCTGCATTAGTTTTTACAGATACATATTAATTGTAAATACATGTAGATAGTTTGAATAATACCTTCAATATTTCAATTCTTTTTAGCAATAGTTATATTATTCAAATTAGTACTAGCCGATATAAGATTTCATACATTTTTCTATACCAACTAGTGTTACTTTACTCCTTATATTTTATCATTTCAAGTTTCATTTTTTTAATGTCCGTATTTACACAATCAAAAGTTATATATTTATGTATATTTTTAAATTATGTTATTTCGATATTCAAAAGATTTTATAGAAGTATTATTATTTTGCGTTTTAAATAAAAAATACTTGATCTTATTAAGCAAATCTTTCATCGGAAACTTCAAAGATAAAACTTCAGAATGGTTTAGCCTATTTGAATAAAAGTAACGGATTATATTGGCACCATTAATTTAGAATAGACTACCAATGGAAACGAAAATAAGTCCAAAACGTGTAAATAAAAATTAATGTTTGATTTAAGACGTGTTGATATTTAGTATTATATTTTGTAAATAAGATCGCTCGAAAAAATATATTTATTTTGGGAAGGTATTAAATAACGTGTGGTTATATTTGTAATTCTTAACGAGAGAGAGAGAGGGGGGGGGGGGAGGGGGATGGGTGTTAACGTTCACTCGACACAAACTAGGCCATATGGTTCAATTTTAATTCATTAATTCGCTTGCGCGTAGGAATCTTTAGCAGTAGGAGAAATTCGAAGGACCCGGAGAAATCCCACGAAGTTGGACAGGCGACCATACTCCTCGTCACGTACAAGCGGCTGCATATTGAACTCAAACCCATTCTGCATGTAAAGTTATACTTTATTTCTTTAGCTCTTTCGTTGATCTAATGATATATGAAAAAATAACACAGCATTAATGTTAATCTTCATTAATGACCCTTCCACATTCAATAATCCAACATCTAAATAATAAGAGAGAGAACTCTATATTATTCTTGCTAAAGCGGGCGTGGTGGGGCCAGTCTAAATCAAGACAGTGTACTTGGATTTCAGAAGAGGAGATTCTAGTATTTTACTTTTTCTAGAACATTTAATCAATTCACAAATATAGTAGACTAGCGAATGACCCGGTGCTGCACGGGTTGAAAGTAGTATATCTCAGAAACCGTAAGTGATAGTCCAACGCCAACTAGCCTATGTTACTCCCCGGTCCGAGTCACCCCTATACACCAAATTTCAGCTTCGGGACAGCCCTATACGGTAGCCGCCAACCCCGAACAGACAGACAAACAGATAGTCACAAATATTAGTATAGATAACTATAAGGAGGGTCTGTCTTCATCAAGTAGTAGAACGTTAAACTCAATTTCATTTCATTTTATAAGATGGGTGGTAGAGGGGATAGGCTAGGGCGAGGCCGAATTTTTTTTTTCTCGGTATTTTCAGCATTTTTTCACACAATTATATTCTATCTTGGACAAAATGTGGTACATGCATTACAATAGATATCAGGGATGTTATATATATATATATATTAAAAGGAATAGTGACTACATGCAAAACTGCAACGAAATTGGTAAGGTATGTGAACTCATCAGATGTTATGGTTTTTAATACCTTTTTTACGTGTTTTAAGATTATGTATTAAAAATTTAATTATTACAGCCGTGCGCGAAAGAGGTTTGTGATGAATGCTTTGTTTACTTTTCCTAGTAGTATATTATTTTTGTGAGAGTAATAAAATATCAAATCTATTCGGTGGGATTTATCTGAATAGTCATGAAGGATAATCCTCAGCTTAAGTTCTTACCTGTTTACATACAAAATGGAGTGAGCCCTCGAACACCACTTAATCCCGTGGATGATAATTCACAAGCTTATTTTTGATCTAGCGTAAACCACCAACTTGATAGCCACGCGACAATTATTTTCGATTGTTGCAATAGGAAAGTTTGTCAACTTTAGACGTGCAAGGTCTATCTTGGGTTTAGCCACTATATACCAGTTAAGGCTTTGTTATCTTTCTGTTTTGAATACTGGTTATGAAACTGTTGAATCAATGGTTTGTTGCGTTATTTCTCATTAATTGGGGAAAATTGGTTTAATTATCCATAACTTACACCATGGCTACATTAACAATATTAAGGTGAAAACAGAGGGAAAAGGGCTAATTCCCAAACTTCTTGTGCATCTGAAGACGAATCATTAAAAATCTAATTTTTGAAGTATACCCTACATTAATAAATTTTACCATGTGAATATTATGCAATTTTGAAGAAATATTATTTTAGAATATCATATTTCGAGTAGACATGAAACCACAATATTAATTTTTGGCCATTTCACGTGAACTTGGTCGTAATATTGTATGAATAAGCAATCTACTAATTTGATAGTACTTAAACGCACGGGCCGGCCGGTTTATGGTCTCGTGTGAACATTTTTGGACAGCCAAGTTTGTTGAATGGTGGAGACATAACTTATTGTAATATTTGTCATTGGTAATAATTTATGTTCTTTTTATAACTGATTTAGTGTTACCATTTACTGCTCTGTGAGCCCATGTTTTGACTGGTGTCAGCGAGGCAAGATTCTATTCTTCTTATATATGATTCGAGTTGTATGGTGTGTAGTGGTTTACTGGTTAATATTACTAACAGTAAAAATAGTATTGCATATATTAAATACCACCGTTACTAAACGAAAAATAAGCTGAATTTTTCTCTGGTTTTTGTTGAGGAGCATTCGCTATCAGATATTTTGATGTGATTGATTTCTTAAATTCGCATTTGATCCAATGTGTTGTTCCCGATAAGTTCATACTTTACAGCAGTCCTGCTATTTCTTTGAGCTTGTTTGGCTAATAATAAATTATTGTTGTTCGTTTTGATTCGTAATTTTTAGATATCTTTTAGGCAAACACTTAAAAGTGTTGGACCTAAGATAGGACCTTGAGAAGTACCAAAATTTACAAACAAACAAAAAATTTTAAATTCCGGGACTAACATTTATTATGAGCTTTAAGTGATTTGAAATTAGATTGTGCACGTGCCTCTTACCCAGTAGGAACTATCCACAATGAGGTTGAATGATACGTCATCATACTGTCTCATGGGCCATTGAATCGAATTAGTAACAATAATGGGCAACACAAAGAAATTGATGCCCAAATTTCTAAACGTTCTCCGCACACGCAGTAACCAGATACATTATAAGATTAAAACATGCGATAATTTACAAGTTTCTAGAACTGGAATTTAAAAAAAAAAAAACATAAGCACGTGTTTCGTTATAAAGATCGGGTGTATATTATCTCTTCTATTTCCCCCCAATATTTGAAAGAGAGAGAAATGGGGTTTAACGTCCACACGACAGAAACTAGGTCACTTCGGGACTAACCAATTTTTGAAGTTCATAATTCTAGTATACTAGTGTCTTGAAGCAGATGATTCACCTGTTTCTATATTCTAACAATATATAAATAAGCATAATAGGTAATCAACTTTAACAAAATTCAAGGCGCCAATCTTGTGTGAAATAGCTTTCTTTAACGTCCGCTTCCACCGAGGTGACATCGCAGACAATTACATGTTATATATACATAGTGAGATATTTACAATGTGATTAGTGGAAAAAAGATAATTAGATTTTTATATATATATGTACAGAAGACAATAGGTAACAGGACAAGACACGAGATAACGGGTGCAAAGAATAAAGAAGTGCCAGTAGACATTGACAAACAGACGAATTTGTGACAAAACATACATGAAGAAGGGCGAACATTTAGACAAGGACAAACATTTACAGACATGGACGCAATACGGACATTTGACAAAACAGACATAAATTTGGACGAACATTTAGACATAGTATGTACATATATATATATTTTGGTCGTTTTCGTCGGTCTGGTAGATTTGTCCGGTTGAATGGCAGGGTGGTGCAACTAATCCTTGGGGCTTGAAGGTGAGTGTGTGGCCTTTGTTGTTTCTGAAGGAAGAATCCAGCACCTGATAAAGAGAGAGAGAGAGAGAGAGAGTATCTAATCTTATATTGATTTGGGGTTTTCATTTTGTCTGGTAAGGCTTCAGTACGGGGGGTAGGGGGTCATTATAAACAAATAATAAGAATAATAAACGGAGAAAAAGAAATTACTCAATGAATTATAAACAAATAATAAGAATAATAAAGCGCCCCTCTTCCAGGAGTATCCCTTTTAAAGGTTTACACTAGCTATAGCTGCCATTGTTATTAGAATGTAGAAATATGTGGACTTTTTCAGATATAGAATACGTGTATGTAGTATACCAACCACTATATCGTTAGTTTTACATGAATTATCATTGACTTGTATTATTTGATTGTTATTTACGTGTAGCGCTACTCAGACTATTGTTGGGGGTCTCTATTATGGGTCATTGTGAATTACAATACACAATTGTATCTGCATTGTAGTTTATGGTCAAATATAGATTTTCTTTACAGTATAGTCTGGTCTTTTAAATTGGGAATAATGCAAACCCACTTTCGTTTCGCATTCTAATTTGGACCAGATAAATAAATATCACCTAAAAAGAGAAGCTTAATCTATCTTAACCGGTGCTGAGAATGTTATTCCATACAAATATCGTCTCTTATCATTAATAAATTCGGTATGCGAGGAATAGGAAAGTAAGGCGGTTAATACAGTTACATTATGATTGGAGTGTGTGTGTGTGTGTGTGTGGGGGGGGGGTGTTCAGACATTATTTTTCATTAGATACATTGTGTATATCATTTCACATACTTGTGGCGGCTGTTACTGACACTTTCTTGAAGAGCTGATACCACTAGTTTGAGCCGCAATAGCCCATTACCAAGAAAGTTTCCCTGGATTTTCCAGCTTGGTTTCCCCTTGTCTGTGGTGTAGGGCGTGGGGGGGGGGGGCATGACAAGGAAAGCGTCTAGTCGTTGGAACAAAAACCGATGTACACGTTATCGTACACGTAAAAGAAAGCCTAAATAATAGTAGACCGTAACGCCGCTAGTAGACTGTGACGTTAAACCCTATTTCACTTTGCTTTATATATATGATTGCCACTTAAGATCTATTTACATACCGTGTTTTATATGATAATATTTAGAGCACTGATGGCTCGGTGAGGCGTTGACTTAATAACAGGTGAAGGTTGGGGGATACATTGGGCTGTTGGCCGAGAAAGATCCTCGGAATGTTCCAGCATCATTCCTTACTTACCATTTTGTTTGTATTTTTATCTTGGTAGTTTGGATGCTGTGTACTAGAACCCGAAGATGAACATACAGGGAAGCATCGGCCATTTCTAATACTTACCATTATAATAGCTACAGTTTCCTATGGGTTGCTGTTGATAATGAACATCGTTGGCGAATATGCAGGTTAGTTTTAGCCAAGGGGCGTTTCATTAAAGACTACCTTTAAAAGAGCCTATACCACTTTCAATAAGAGCATATATTTAAGTAATAAACAGATTTGCAAATTATTCTGACGGCCCTGGATAGTCAAATAATTCGAAGTTTCCTAATGCAGTTTTGTAGTTAGTCACTCAGAAACGGTCTTGTTATCCCCAATTATTTGTACTGGATGGATATTTATATAGCCATTTCTCCCGTCCTTCGACTAATTAACTTTAGTTTCATTTCCACCAGTCTAGTGTACCCGAAAACGTTTAGCTGGTGATAGGTAAATAGTTGGGTTTTTTTCATGTAAATCCGTTAAATTAGGCAGCAATGCATATCATCCTGATGAAATTATCACGTTTTACAACCCCCAGCTGGCTTGGAAGCTCTTACACATTTCCTTCTCCGTGATTTCGTATTGAATGAAAACAAGCCTTTATTTAGAATTATTTTATCTTTTTGTGTATTTCAGGGATATACTCTCGTGATGTTAATAAAATCAGTGACGAATATCCGGTTGATTTAGCCCTATCAGCAGATGTTTTAACTTTATGGACGTTTATCTATGTATGGCATTTTATCATCTTCATCTATTGTATAGTTTCCATTTTCCGTAAGACTTCGCTCCAGAAACCGGTGTACACCAGTCCCACACTGTTATCTTTTTTCTTTTTCGGTTATTTGACCGTGTCCTATTTGTTATTAACTGGATGGCTATTTTTGTGGGATCGTTTATTAATTGCCCCCGCTGTAGTATTCATGTTTGTGATAGCTGGCTGTTTCTATCTGTCACTCGTTGTCTCATACAGGAAGTTAAACCATTATTCCAAGAAATTAACGCGAGCGCGTAGAACTAAAGAGATGTGGATGATAATCGTCATTGTTCAAAATGGAGTAGCTTTGTTTGCAGGGTGGACAACTGTGATTTTCTACTTAAATCTAGCTGTGTGTTTGGTTTATTGGAACGTGTTGGCTGCCATGAGTTCCTTAATATGTTTGTGCATCTTTGCCGTCCATTTCATTAGCTTTGCTTTGACTGACCTAACAATCTTTCACAAATTTACGAAATATGTGTTAACGCCTTACATTGCTATCGCGGTAGCCTTAGCAGGGATGCTGCTTAAGAACTGGAGAGCCGATTCGGTCAACGCAATATTCGTAGCCGTGTTTCTTGCCTTTGTTGTGATATGCGCTATCATCAAATCCATCCGCATGTTAATACATATAGTGCGAGCAAATCGTAAAGTTACTCCGCCAAGTATTACCATCAGCACTGTTACGAACAGTACCGTTACAAACGGAAATAGTACGGACTATCCTACCACTAATGAAACTAGTTTCTCCAGTGATAACGATATTGAAATAGATGAGATTATTCCGGTTATTGTCACCAACCCAGTAGCTGATACACCCGTAGAAAGACGAGAACCATTAGCAACCGTTAGTGAGGAACCTGAACATCCTCTTCCCGAAAGGAACTTATTTCTTAGCGAATTCGTTCTTTATAACTGATCGCCTTATGTGCTATTTGGCCTGTTCACATTAATTTCGTTCCGAGTTGCAAAGAATTCAAGCAGAGATATAAAATCGTACGACTAACTTGTAATTCATGGACCTAGCACGCATAAGTACATTTTCTGGTTTGTCCAGTTATGCACATGGTTTTTCCAAGTGGTAGAACACCGAAATATAACCATCGCCTCCCGTGGTTCGCAGATGGAGAATGGTCGTACATTGAGATGGCGTGGATAATTAGGACTTGGTGAGTGTATTATCTTCTGGATATTATTCGAGTATTCCGGGCTAAGAGAAATATCAAGAAGAAAGGGACAGGACTGGTGTGGTTTTTTAATAACATAGTTCACAATGCTTATTAATCTGACCCTGACATTATCAGCTGAAAGAGAATAATAAGCTTACAACATTTAGTTGTGTTAACGTGAAGAGTGCCAAGTCGTTATACGAATTTGATACAAAAGGATATTGTACGAAGCAAATAGCCACACATTCACTTTGCTAAGTGACATGGTATTGTAATACCGCCATAACCTATTTACTATATGTGTTTATATGTAATAAACTTGATAATTCACCGCATGGTAAAGAAAGGGGAGGGTAATTCCTTTGAAATAGAGGATTAGATATTGTTATACCGCTGAAGTCTGAAGATAAACTTTATCGGCAAATACATTGTTAAACCCACTTTGTAATTACAATGTCTCTTGATATGTAAGATTAGGGAATATGTAGATAAACCGGGAATAGAAATTAGTAAATGTTATGTCGATTATGACCGCAGATAGCTACATGGGACCGGATATTCTATACCCTAACTCCATTCAACGGTAATGGTATTCCTAAAATGTGTATAAATACAAATGATGATTGATATCAGATTTCAATTAAAACACAAGGCAGCGAAACACACACCAATTATAACATGTAACTTCAATTAATTTTCTTAACAATATTCAAACTCAACTGTATTTACAGTCGGTCAGACATATTTACTATTCAAGTAATTACTCCTTTCGCCCAAACCTTACAATCTATTAACAAACCAATTTTGTTTTTATATTTGGGATTCGGAGAGTTTTATAACCTTCAATGTTTCAAAATGTTTGAAACATTGACACCATTTCTATTCAGCAGTGGCGACTGATAGTTTGAATGGTGGCGACTTATCTTGTAAAATTATCTAAATTGCTGAAATAGGGATATTTACGAACTTGACATCAATTGGATTGCCTTACAATCGACATCATTCCTTTATCCTCAATATTTCAGATCTAATTGGTCCAATCTAAAGTTTTATTTTAGCATTTAAGATCATTTAAAACACCTGGTACCGGTTTTAGTTATTGGATTTCTCTCATGTGGCGCTTGCAGTTACCGATCTTCCATATGTCTGTGGTTCTGCACAAAGTTAGAATACATGTTGTTTGACATTATATACTAACTGATATGATGTAATACAACCACCACCATTCATAGAGAGTAACATTAGAATTGCCAGAATCATAAAAATTAGCATGAACCTATTATAAAATGTGATGATCAGAATAATCTAGAATGTGTGTCGTTATTGCGATATTTGCTTCCCTGCAAGAACAAGTGAAAGACTTCGCACAGACCACACAAAATTTGAGGGGGCAATTTATAGGTGTACTAAAAAACTAAAACTACGGTAGTTTGTTGGATTTTAATACTAAGAATCTACAACTGGTATTCTTTTCAATTATTTACAAATCACAAAGTAAACGTGGATGTGTACCAAACAACATAGTTATACGCATTCCAGAACGCATTAAGATAATCTGAAGACTTTTTACTGAGGACAGGATACCGTTGGAGTTCCTAATCATAACGATAGAGTTACCCATCTTTGGTATAAAAATCTCTACAAAGATGAAATAGAGAGTCTCAAAGATCTGAAATATCATTATGGTTTAACGTAATCATGTTTCATCTACGTTAATCACAACATTAACCATAGAGTATAAATGTATTTATATATAATTACTGATTATTGTCCTTTGAGTAAAATTTACTCATTTATACTTCAGTACAAATACTCAGTGTAATAGTGTTATTTTAGAGGGAACGTTATTTATGTTATTTATTGGAATTATTAGAATATTATGTACGTTATATTTAATAAATAGAATATTTTATTATTGTTACCAATTATATTTTTTATCGATATTAGGCTCTATATGATAGAGACTACGATGATCGGCCTTTGGAAGTGTCGTATTAAAAGGACTATCCCGAATTGAACAGAGTCTCAAAATTAAAAGTCCGAGTACGTATGGAAGTTAAGCGCCAAAATATAAAGAAATGGTGTATTTACCCTGTCTCAAAATTTCAGCTCAAAATATTGAGTCAATTCTTTCGTTGAGTGACCTGATAATCGATTCCCGTTTATACAGTGAATGACCCATGTGCTGTACTTGATAACGAAAGGTAAATATCACCTACACATTATTTTTATAAAATAAAAGGCTGGTTTTATCCAGACACAGCATAATACAGCTTTGGGCACCGGTCCCCACTTCCAGATTAAGACTGACGGGTTTATCACATATATTGAGTTAGTTGCTCGGCCCTAAGGTAGAGGATTTTAAGTGATTTTAACACAAAATTGACCAGTTTTATTCTCCAAAATATTATCGGGATTGGCCGATTAAGACGAAGGTCATGGACGCATTGTCTGCATAATATTGTTAAAGGGACAATAACACCTTGCTGGCTTGACAGCTCCAGAAAATAAAAAATAGCCTTATTCTAAGTACTAGATGTGTTAGTGTCCTACCTATTGTGTAAATTATCCATTAAATCCCATTTTACTTGTCCAAAGGGTTCAAAAATATTTTTTAATCCAAGTCACATTTGAAAAGCTTTACGTCAGGCTTTTCAAATCATTTAGTTGAATTTTTCCAATTTTTTAAATTAGGTGTGTTAAGATGAAATTGGAATATTGTAAAATAGCACAATTTGTTGACCAGAATAAAGATTGGGACATACTATTATTATTCAGTTACAACAATGTTCAACAAAAATCAAAATAAAAATACCCCCCCCCCCCAAAAAAAAAAACAACAAACCCCAACATGTTTTATGACTTATTTGAGAATGTAAATAAATTCTAAAAATGTAATTTCACGAATATGTCCTTGAGAAGAGGGGGGGGGGGGGTCGCATTAGCGTGGGTAAAACAGATGCTCTCGACAAAAATGTCTTGGATTTAAATTATGGCGTGACCCGAGAAGAAACTTCCTGGCATTGCAAGGGGATCACGTGGCTAAGTGGGTAAGACGCTAGCTCGCTAGCCTGGGGGTCGGGTGTTCGATCCCTGCATTGGCCGAGAAAGTTCATCCAGATTTTCCGGCGTGGTTCTCCCTTGTCAGTGATGCAGGACGGAGGGGCTGACAAGGAAAGCTGTCTAGTCGTTCGGATGGGACGAAAAACCGAGGTCCCGTGTACACATTGGCGTGCACGTAAAAGATCCCTTGGCAGTTGGAATTCGATATAAGAGTAGGCCGTAGTGCCGCTGTCCGGGCAAAATTTCCCTCATAGCACACTGTATGGCGTATGCCCGTCTTCATTAGCCCAGGTTAGGAGCAGAACAGTAGGACGTTAAACCCCATTTCATTTCATTTTCCTGGCATTGCACAAGTGACCACACAGACAAAATAACCACATGTCAGTCTGAACATGATTGAAATATTTTATTAGAACGTTAAACATATTTCTATTTATCGCATAATAGAGTGGAGCCCAGTGACTTTGTTGGTATGGTAATGGAATACTAACCAGGACGTCCCGGTGCCAGTGGCGGCGCCAGCCGTCGGTTATGGGAGGGGCAAAGCTGGGGCAAAGTCCAAGGTTAAGGGGGCAAAGGCATCAGCTTTAACTAGGGGTAGGGGGCCTCCCCCAGAAAATTTTGAAAAACAGGTTGCCGGAAATGCAGCCTGGCAGTATTTCAGGCACTGATCGATGAGGTAAAGTGTCAAACGAATGGACTTGCGAATCACGACGAAGCCCACTCACGAGCGTCAAAGTAGGGAGTCCTCCCCGAGAAAATTTTGAAAAATAGACTGCCGGAAATGCTGTCTTACAGTATTCTGTCAGGCACCGATCGTCGAGATAAATAGATCTGCCAGGATACCGTTCGTCGCCTGATCACTAGTTTATCCGACTAGAGAACAAAATGTCAAACGAACGGACTTGCGAGCCTCAACGAATTCCCCTTGTGAGCGCCAAAGTAGCGAGTCCATTGGGGACCTCGCCAAGAAAATTTTGAAAAATAGACTGTCGGAAATGCTCTACAACATGCAAGTTTATGATTGAGTGCGGATGTGGGATTTATTCACCGTAGAAGGTATTGATTACCGAAACGTATCACAAATAATTTTTTTTATTTTCTAAAATTATTGGGGGGGGGGGGCAAACAGAGGGCAGACCAGATTAATGGGGGGGCAAATGCCCCCCCCCCTGGCGCCGCCACTGCCCGGTGCTTAACCAGGAAAGTTCCTTGGGTTTTTCCAGTCTTGTTCCTAGACCGTGTAGTAATTCGCATGGACCGTAAATCCAGAGGACTGTTGTATACCATTGGCAGCACGTAAAAGATCATCTAACAATTAGAAATCACTTAACCTCCGTGACTTCGGGAGAACAGGATAATCTCTGTTAAACTCGATTGATAAAATTATTATTTACTTTTTTATATGCAACAACATAACCCTCGCTCCATTTTTTCTGATCGCTCTCCAGATATTATTTAGATTATGTAATACGTCCAGTATGGCTGCTTTCTCCGTTACACTTTATTGGGTACTAATTAGGAAGTGCGCTGACTATTATCTCGATTTGTCCTTTTGCCACACGGGAAAATTCTGTCCATAGCTAGCTCTCGGCCACCAATCCAGCTAAAGAAGACGGATATGCAGTGTGCTCTGATAGAAATTTTGCCCCCTATGCCAACTGTCAATGTTTTTTTTTACGTACGCACAGACCAGTATTTGAGTGGATCTCTGTTTTTCGTCCCATGCGAACTCCCCACCAGTATTATTTATCCCTAGAGGAGTTATCTCTCTTGTATTGTGACACGGTAACACCGGGGACAATATTGTACGGTATCGGTTAGGACTAGTAATCCTCTCCTCATTGACATTTGGTAGCCTCTAACACCTTTTTTTTTAACATTCCGGTGATCTTAATCTTTATAACCACCAAGAATCCAACAATGTCACAATCAACTGATAAAATTTTTCATTCCGCTCTATTAATTGAATCAATAGGCTCCGATGTCAGTTTTTGTACGTGATTTCCTCACTCACGTCTGTGTATTTACTGATATTTCAGCATCAAAATCATGACTATTCACCAAAACCTTACAGAAAATATATTTAAAAACTTTTCTTGAATTCCATAGAACAAAAGAGAGAGAGAGAGAGAGAGAGAGAGAACTGCTATTAATACAGACTACATTCGTCGTTTCTTGAAATCAGGAGAAACAATTACCGGTCTTAGTCCCAGAGGAGTTATCTCCCTTGTCTCGTTGACACGAGAACATCACATTTCGAATAGCAGTCACAAAGTGCCACTTAGAGAGAAAGAGGGAGAGCGAGAGAGAGGGGGGGGGGGGTGCAGGGTTAACTAGGTCATTTCGGGGACTAACATATTATTTCAATAATTCGCTTGTGCGTAGGGGTCTTTAGCGGTGTGTGTGTGTGTGGGGGGGGGGGGGGGGTCACGAGTTTGGACAGGCGACCCCACTTCTTGTCACGAACAAGCTTGGAATAGAAACCACGACACTTGACTCAATGAAAAACCATTCGGCCACTCACCCCCACCCCTGTCACTGGATATGGTATATGCAGTCACCAGTTGTCACTGTGTATGCCATACTCTTATGTCCACAAGTTTACATGCAAATAATTAAAGACACCTGAAATACTATGCGACTATGCTACTAAACTTAACTAGCAGTTAAATTACAAGGCCCAATGGACGAATTCGCCAAATTCGAACAAAGACAGCAAGAGGATTCACCGCATGACAAAAACCCATAATCGAAAGTAGTACCAGATGTACAGTACGTCTTGTGCGCATCATTTTTTTCAATATTGCAATAATTAGAAAGCAAACGAAATCAAAACCTGTTAATTGCGAAATCAACGAATTACAGCCATTTGGCATACAATTTTGTTGAAGATTGTACGAAATCTGTGATATTTCGAAAACTAACAAAGCAATTTAAATTGCTTTGTTAGTTTTCGAAATACAGGGCATGTCTTTTTGGTCGTTCTTTTTTTATGTTTTGTTGTTAACGACCTAGAAAGAGGGTATTAAGCACAACTAAAATGACATACAAACTTTGTAAGGTCTAGGTGGGGGCCAGGGAACTACTCTGGAACCCTTTTATTTCAGTATGATGAGTTTACTCACGGAGAAGTGTGGCGTATGTGCACGCTATTAGAAATCGACAAGAACAGTTTATCGACAGGTATTTTATTTATGCAATACAAATTATTTTCTCATAATTTCAGAAATATTCTTGTAATTACACTCCAATTAATTTATTTTTAGATATTAATAGCCCTGCAGTTCGGAATCTCTAAAACAGACTACTGAACTCCTATTTGTGACTAAAAAGATCAACACTTCTGTAATATGAAAGTTCGACAGTCAAGTCATCATTATATTACAAGGTTGTTGACTTGTGTCTTGTTGATTCTGACTACCATATCTATTAATAGCATGTTATGAAGCCATGACTAGCTAACAATGATCGCAGCCTAGATATTGAACTATGTTTATGTTGTATAACCACGACTCGTGTTAATAAAACGCAGTACATATCATCGTTTTGCTGAATCAGTTGTTACATAAGGTAAGTCCCAGCAAATGTCAGACATCGATATATTATTCTTATTTCCAACACTTTTAGTTAAAACTGACCAATGAAACGTAAACATTCTCCTCATCAAAACGAGACCAAACCGTGTTTACCTATACTTTATGCCATAAACACATAAGACGATTGACATGTTAAGAATTACAACCAATAAAAGCTAGTTTAATACCAGTTCAAAAGAGTAAGTAAATCAAAGCATGTCTCTGAAAGAAAGCTGGAGGGGGGGGGGGGGGTCTGGTGACATTGATGTAAGGCTCTATCTGCATGTGGTGATCACCACTCTGGTCACTATGTTTACCTGGTGTTCGAATGTTGGGAAAACTATGAGAATAATACGTTATTCCTGTATTCAGGACCATGTTTCTCGAAATCTTAAATTGAGATAAAATCCAAATTTTAGTAGATATTTCAATTTTGTTTGGCTAAGCACTAAAATCAATCTAATATTTAATATACAATCAAATTACTAAAATTTGGATTTTATCTTAGTTAAATTTCGTCAAACAGCCCCCTGGTTTTTGCCTTTAATAATATGCGTTCTATTGTTTGGTAACGAAATGAAATGGGGTTTAACGCGTTACTGTTCTGCTCCGACTGGGTTGTTTGGTAACGGGAGGGGAGGCACATGGAAGGGTTTTACTTCCTGTGCTTCAGAAGTTACATGTTAAGTATCCTGTTAATGATGACCAATGTCAATAGGGTGATTGTTAGTAACGTTAGATTGTACCTTGACCCTGTTTCGATCCAGTTCACGCTGATAGATTTTACCTGTGATGTATTTCAGATTATACCAACAGACCGTCTGTCTGCTACGATGAGCGGGGTGAAACAATCAAACCCGGGGCTGGTAATTTTGATCATACTGTCAACTCTAGTATTTGCAGGGTTACAGGTTCTTAACTATTTAGCAGCTGACCCAGCCAATAGCTATGGTAAGTTAAATGGGCTTTATTATCGTGTAAAATATGAGATAATTAGAACTGAGATACATAGATAGTGTTTTCATTTACGTACATAATGTAAAACCGTGACTCAAAATATGACACCAGCATCTGGCCAGTGTGTACATACACTAAACCAAAGGCGAATAACTGTTATTCCATTTGTTAGAACCACGATAGCTCAACTTCAATGCCGTGTAGTACCGTGACTGAAGATATGAAAACAGAAAACTGGCCATATTATTCCGTTCGATCACCAATAAGAAATCATCGCCCATTTGCAATCCTACTGTATGACTCCGGTATACATAAAGTATGCTTAACCTTATTTGTACAATGCTGTATAGTAAGGTGAAATCATCGACCATTTGCTGTCCTAAGATATGGCCCCGGTATACCTAAATTATGCTTAACCTTATTTCTACAATGCTGTATAGCACAGTGACTGATAATGTGAAAAGAGAAGACTGGTCAGTGTGTACATAGACTAAGCTACCCGCCAACAGTCAGAAAGCAACGCCCGTTGGTTGTTCTATGGTACGACCTCGGGAGCTCATCCATACATAGCTTTATTGTCCCGCGCCTTTCGAAGAAAACAGGGGGTAACTAAAATGGGTCTGTCTGTCTTTCCGTCACATTTTTGGGGGACACAATAATTCTCCTTCAAATTGAGCTAGAATGTTCAAACTTGGTATAGATGTTTATTAGGTGAATGCCTGGATGGAGTAGGCAGGGATGAGCAATTTGATTGCTTGATGCTTTAAGACACGATAACTTTAGTTCTAATTAAGTGAGAGTAGTGTATAATTTGATCACCTCAACACCTTGACTAAGTTCGATAAAGAGCATTTTCGGGTAAGCAGAGCAATAAGCAATTTGATTGGATCGATTCTAATCGAGTGATAGTGATTAAACGTCGTGTATAGTTTCATTACATCAGTACCTTAACAAAGTTTGATGCCGAGTATTGTCGGCTTAGGCAAAGTAGGGACTTCGGTCTGATTGGTTCTACGTGGGTGAGAGCGATGAAACTCCGAATATAGATTCATTATATCAATACCTTGACTAAGTTTTATGATGAGAATTTTCTTATTAGGCTATTTCTGGGACACGATAACTCTCCTAATTGCTCAAACTTGGTGTAGGTGTTTATTAGGCGAATGCCTTGACAGAGTTCGATAATGCGCATTTGCCACTAAGCAGAGATAAGCAATTTGATTGGTTGAGACTTTGGAACATGATAACTTTGGTTCTAATTGGGTGAGAGCGATGAAACTCCGAGTATAGATTCATTATATCAATACCTTGACTAAGTTTTATGATGAGAATTTTCTTCTTAGGTTTAGTAGCGGTAATCAATTGTTCAAGACTATTAATTGAGGTAGAATGGTTAAATTTTATGTTCATTACGTGAATGTCTTGACTGAGTTCAATGATTAACATTTCCCGCTAAATTTAAGCAGGGCTAAGCAATTTCATTTGTCGATGCTTTGGGATAAGATAACTTTGATTCTAACTGATGGAGAGTGATGAAACTTAGTGTACTCACTACCAGGTATTTCAAAACTTTGGCTGAGTTTGGTTGCTCGAAAAAGATAAATGTGTAATTTTGAGATTTCGGCGGGGGACATCAGCCTCACTGCTTGTTTTCTACAATTCTCTGTACTTTACTACATAATTCTTATTGTCTTTCAGGACTGTTTGAACATGGTATTGCAAATGTATCTGCCATGTATCCACTTGACGTCACCCCTGCTGGAGTAACCTTTGCTATCTGGGGAGTTATCTACGCATGGCAAGCTTTGATACTAATTTACAGCCTTACTTCATTATGTCGCCAGACAACAGAGGGTCCCGTTTACTCCAATCCCACTCTCCTACCCCCAGCTTTCTTTATAGCTTACATTGCTAACAATGTCTCCAATATCACATGGTTATTCTTATGGGATAGACTTTATCTTGTTGCATCTTCCATATTTTTGTTTCTGATTGCCTTTACACTTTATGTGTGCATGATCATATCTTACGTGGTTCTGAATAAGAATAAAGATGCCTTAGTTTGCAAAGGGAGACAGATGGAGATCTGGTTAATCATTTTTATTGTACAAAACGGTCTTGCGATATACGCTACATGGACCAGCATTGCTTCCTTGATCAATTTGGGAACTGTCATTGCATACGCAACTGATCCTCCCGTGGGTAGAGAAATAGCTTCTAGCATCGCCTTGGGACTCCTCACTGCCGAGTTTGTAGCATTTGTTTCTACTGATCTCTCAGTTCTAAACAAGTATACAAGATATGTATTTACTCCTTATGTCGTCCTCATTGTCGCCTGCGTGGGCATCATTGCCAAAAACTGGGATCCCACCAATCCCAATTCCATCTTTACTGTTGTCATTTTGGGACTGTCGCTTATAAGTTTTATTGCAAAGATTGTCAGAATGGCTGTGGGCGGTTCCTATTTCAAACATAGAATTGAATCAACGTTACAGCACAATTATGAAGCCTTAAAGTAATTCTAGAATCTGTATAGTGTACCAAGAATTTCATAGTAAAAGATCTGTTATACTAGTATTATTATATGCGATTATTTTATGAATATTTTTTTGTATATATCAAGCACAATTGTTACACGTATAAATGAATAATTACAGTATGGCTCTTTAGTAACAAATATCACAGCTTTCCATTTTTCTAATTAATGATTTACAATATCCAACCATCATGGTGCTTTTGGTGTATTTTTAAGTTGCATGTTTATACCATGTTGATTTTTATGATATAAATAATATTGAAAGAAATCGTATTTTGTTCATATATCTCTTAATCCTTTTAATACTGTCGGGTTATACTGAATTCTAGTGAATTTTAATGTTTAAATCCAATTTACTAAATAGGGGAAACAGTAGCCGAAGAATGTTCATTTTTACACACCCACATTTTAATGTCGATAATTGCCGTCACTCTGTCATGACACCATTTTAACTGTTCCCTCAAGCGGTTACCATGCAAGATACGTCCACATTTTGCAAGACATGGTCAGAGAACAAGCAAACTAGCGATTTTTCGTACAATCAGGGGCCATAATCCAGGATTCTACTAACCGACATGCGTCAATACCGAAAGTAACCGAGATCTTTGGGATATAAACATATATTTTAAGTTTCATCAAAATCGGACAAAAAATGGTATTACGTGCTCATTATAGTATTTGCATAATTATGGAGTACCGATGATATGTTTGAACGTTTTGTAAAATAGAAATAAAATTGTGACCTCTAGAGGGTCCACAAGCCAAAGCGTGATTTTTCATACCATCAGCGGTCATAAACCAATATCGGAAGGAACAGAGATTTTCAGTTTCAACAAAATCGGATAAAACGTGTGACGTCATGGAGAGTACAAAACCTTGGTGTTACACAATTATCGTAAAAGGGAGTGGCATTTTGTCGGACTTCTTCTGTCCTATTTTTACGAAATTTGAACTCAACCGTAATTATGATGTAACGGTGATGTAGTTGAACGATGTAACAGTGACATATATGAACGGTTAATAAAATCCAATAAAAACAATTGTGACCTCTAGAGGGTCTGTAAGCTAAAAACGCGATTTTTCGTACAATCAGGGGCCATAATCCAGGAAGTTGCGGTCCGATATACGCTAAAAAGGGTTTTTTCGTACAATTAGGGGCCATATTCCACGAAGTTACGGTCCAATATATGCCAATATCGAAAGGAACTGAGATCTTTGGTATATAAACCGATGTTTCAAGTTTCGTCAAAATCGGATAAAATTATGACATGTGTATAGGGCCAACAAACACAATGTGAACGCTCACACGGACGGACACATGGGTGGGCAGTGGCGACGGCATAATGCGTCCACATGAAAATGTGGGTGTATAAAAGTAGGTTCAGATGGACACTTATGTCAATACATCCTCTTTGGTTTACGTATTTGATACATAACAATTAATAATTTTTTGCGAATGTTATAGTGACAGGTGTCGTTAAAGGAAATGTGGATTTTAAACTAAAATTAGGATAGTGAGATTTTATTTCCGTTTATTTTTTTTATTTTTTTATTTTTATTAATTTTTTTTTTTGCAAAATAATATTAAAATTTTGAACTTAACAACCGATTTTAATATTACCATAGAATGTAAAGGCGTTTTTATTTATATAAAAGACTGATTTTTTCGTATCTCGCCGTCGCCCGCTCTAGCCCTCAGAAGACTGTTTACATTAGTAGTGCGTTTAACACAAGGCCTATATCATTGCATTAGTGAGATGGAGAAGGCTTGTGAATTTCAGCAATTTCTGACAACATCCAGAGTTATTGCCCTTGTTCACTTTGTTGAATTTCTGAGCGCTCTAACGAGAAATATCATCTCCAGATCTGTTTGAAATATATAAATTATGAAATTTGTAAATTGTTTAGATTTGGGAATCAAAGAATCCTATCACTGTTCAGCAGTTTCGTTAATTCCGTATACATTTGTGAATGCTTTAACAGCATTCAGTCATCGTATGACTTACATTAAATTTATGCATTTTTTTTTCGATTATACCGATGAATAACACGAGTTACAGCAATTTCTGATTATGTCTTAGTATATTGTCAATGATACCACACAGTTTATAAAATTTTTGCTTTTTATTTACTTAAAAATTAACAAAATGATCAAATGTGTGGACTACTGCGATTTAGTTGTTTCGTTGCCCGGAAAAACAGTGTACCTGTTTAGACAGACTGCTTTGATAGACAGGTAATTACATTCTGAAAATTTTGTTTATTTTTGACATAATTCGCAAAAATTGATGTTCAGTAGAAATAGGGTCGCTGCTTTATCAAATTATGGTTTCTCAATTTGTACAACTTTCCAGGTGAGCATATTCAACTATATCTTTTTATCTATGACTATTGAAACGAATTATGGCATAGAGGGGCAGGATGCTGCATCAATGTCATAAATTATAATTTGATCCATTTATTCCTGTTCCGAAAATGGATATAAGTGGTTTGGATGTGATAGTTAGACAGCTTGACATGTTCATTTGAACGTTCCGGTCAAAAGCTACACATTTTCCACCAATACTACTACTCTAGCTTTCCATTTTTGATGGGCACCAAATTCGATATGGCGGTTCAAGATTTCTGCTATGCAAAACCTAGATATCTACCAATTAGGAATCCAATCCTGGTGTGTAAACCTACTTTTGCAGAATCAAGGAATACAGTTACATCATCTAGAAAAGGCCCCCTTTTCTCCAAATATATTATGTCGGTCATCTTGGATCTTCAAAATTTCCTCCATGTAAAAGCCTATATCTACCAATATCTCGGTTTCTAAACCACTTAGGATCGCAATCTTGGTGTCTAGATTATCACCCCCTTAAGACTATTCTAATATGGCGTTTAAAGTGACCTGTAAAACATCGTAAACGTCACGGTGAAGCATGATTTAATCTCTTCCATACCCCACCTTCACTATAGCCTGGTCGGTGCAGAACAATAGGACGTTAAACTTCATTCATTCACCCATTCATTCATTCATTCATTCATAATAGAATGCAACATCTACCTGATACAAGGGTTAAAGCGATGATTGCATTTTTTAGTCACATATTTAAAACATGTTAAAATAAAGCCTTAAAGTACATGGTATCTATACACACAACCCTACCTTGTTGAAGAATACTCCTAAATCCTATAATTCACTTGTGCCAGTTGAGAAATTGGCAAATATATCCATTTCTTTTAAAATCCAACGTTGCTTTTTAAGGTGTTATTATCACGTGTGCAGGTTTCAAACGTCTCACTCAACCAGGCAACGTTATCCTTATCTGTTTAACCACGGACCTTGACAATCGAGACAACCCCTCTTCCATTGTGTGGACTTAGTTTTCCAGTGAAAAGAAATGACGGCGAGTAGAAATTATTTCAAATTTTTATGTGCATGTTTTTTTTAAGTGCTGGGATGATTCCTATGATTGTATAGTGGTGATTTGACAACCTATGATGTAATAGATATAGAAATAATTATGTTTTGATGTTCTTAGAAAGCATGGAATTATCGCTTTAATATTGCCATATTAACCGTTACCGTTACTTTTTTTTATATTTCAGTTAATGTGGCAACTTTAACTCTGATATCGAGAAGTTGCTCAGCTCTCCTTTAATACATTTCACGAACCACATCAATAATTTGAGACATTTTCCGGGTTTATTTGTATTATTGGCTTTCATTGAGCATATCACATGCTATTCCGGTGTCACTACCTGAAATTGGATATGACAGGTCGTAAACAAGCTGTTGCACCCTTTTCTATTCTTACCTATCAAATGAAAAACATAAAAATGAGCTCTTAACTGTCGAAATAAAACAATACGTTATAAGGTCCATGTCGATGGAAACATAAACAATTTGGAATGGTTTTAAAACTTAAAATTACGATTCAGCTATTTTAAAATCTTTAAGTTATGACTCATCTATGTGATATCCGTCTGTAACAATCCCATGCTTTTCAGATAGGCTCATCAAGTTGCGGTCATAAACGGCTAAGAAATAAATTTTAAAGCTGAAGAGCCCAAAAAGTTCGCCGCCCGGTTACCGGAATGATTAAAAAATGTCCCTGTCAAGTTTCTTTCAGCTCCGTTCACCAACAGCGAAGAAATAAGACTTAGAATAAATAGAAGAATAGAAGAGAAGAGTGGAGTGAACACGATCGGCGCTTAGGGTCCGTGGGGTGCCCTTCAGCCCCAAAAAGTTAAACCTACGGATTTGGGCTGAAATCTTTCCAACAGAGACTCGAAACCGTTCACCCCCCCCCCCCCCAAAAAAAAAAACAACCTTAAAATATTCAGAGGCTGAATCCTGATTTAGGCAACTAATAATATTTCATTCAGTAGCTTCGACGACCTTCGGTCATAATTATGCAGCTTCCAAATGATGAAAAGGAATGCTTTGAGTAAAGATGAAGGCTTTTTGGCAGTTACTTTAGATTTTAACTTTTAATACGGGTCGCCCTGACATTATCCCATTCCGCTCCCTACCCCCACCATTACTATTGTCCCACTGATAAAATAAAAACTACTGTCTTTATCATATATGGGCTACAAAAAATATTTTTATTCGGATGTTTAGATTAACCAAGCGCAGAATGTCAAAGTTGTTAGAAAAAGGTTAACGCTGTGTTAATACCTATAATTGAATAATTGACACAAACATGTATATTAAATTAGATTGACGGGAGAATGGTTTTCTCTTTGTACGAGAGCTGTGAGGTTGCTAAACGGATTCTGTACTGTTTAATTAGAATCATATACCTTATAGAAAACGACCTCCACTTTGACCACGAATTATGCAACTAAAATTAAGAGCTGTTAGATATATATATTCGAAGTGAATTATATTGTTTACCGGTGACACGATTTATTTTGCAATAAGTATATAAGGTAGGTACTTAATCAGTTTACTTATATTCATACAGGGTTTCGTATATTATTCATTCATAAGAAATGACTGTACGTATTTAACAGACCTTAATGTAGGTCCCGCTGTCTGGGTGACGACCTTAATACAATCATCCTTTTGCATCTGAAATATCACGGCGTTATGCAACCGTAAATCGGGGGTGCGTCAATATGAATGAAATGGGGTTTAACGTCCTACTGTTGGATGGCCGAATGCTTAGCACGTGCGCGCTGTATCATAAGGTCAGTCATTGCATCAACTGACGTGGTTTCGATTCCCCGGTGGTTGTACGTGACAAGGAGTTTGGTCGCCTATCCACTGCTAAATACCCCTACGCGCACGCGAATTGTTGAAATAAAATAGAACCATGTGTTAGTCCCGAAATTACCTAGTTTGTGTCGAGTGGACGTTAAACCACATTGCTCCCTGTTTTTCTGCTTCAGCTAACAAAGACTGTCATGAGGGAAATTTTGCCCGGACAGCGGCGCTGCGAATTCGAACTACCGAGGTTTATTTCACGTGCACGCCAATGTGCAAACTGGACCTCGGTGTTTCGTCCCATCCGAACGACAAAACGTTGTCCCTTGCCAGGCACTCTTGTTCTTTACCACTGACAAGTGGGGAACCACGCTGGAAAATCCCAACGAATATTCTCGGTCAACACCGAGCCATTTTCCCACCCACTGAGTCACCGAGACTCCCACACCAATATCAATCATAAAGTCTGATTGACTATCACTACCACACTAGACGGGATTTGGGTGGTTTTCTTTTTTTTTTTATCAGGATGCATTTTTCACCAAATCGAAAATATTTTGTACATAGACATGGCAGTAATTTACAACAAACATTTATTAGATAGGCCAAATGAAAAGTGGTATACGGTGTTCTAGAACAATGAGCATAGAATGTCTCGTGCAAAATAACAGTAACTATACTATAATTACTTGATTAAGAGATGGTGTTGATGTGGAATTACAAGGCCGAAGCCGAAACTACTGGTTATTTTGCGCGGACACCTTAATTGAGAAGTGGTATCAAGTATTCATAAAAAGAAAAACTTGTTCATACATGATAAAGGTTATCGCTAATGGTGGCTATATCTTCGACGCCAAGGTCCGGTGGCCGACCAATCGGATTAAAACACAGATCCTATTTCGTTTCGTTTTAATAGTTCAAAATTTCGTTTTACTCGTCTTTACTACACTAGGATCTGGAAGAGTTGTTATCATTGACGTGTTCTGGATGATGTGAGGGATTAGCCAATGACACGGTCGGTTACGGCGAGTTCTTGGCCCTTTGAAGCACGGAGCTGTGGGTAAACCACTAGAAACGTCAACGCTGATTGAATAATTAATGTCTGACATCATAGGGTCAAAAGCCGCTAGTTTGACCATTGTCGTGAACCCCCACGTAGGTCATCGAAAGTATAAAAAAACCGAAACGAAATATAGATTTGTATTTTAATCAGTTTGGCGCCCAACCCACTTTCTTTTAATATATCATGTGTATTCTCTATTTACAGATAGAAGTTGTCGGTATGGGGGAGCATAGAAAACTTGTTTTGATTATATTGATTATTTTAACAACAATTATCTTTGCTGGTTTACAGTTCACCACTTTCCTAGCTGCTAACCCAACAAAAAGTTACGGTAATTTTACTTCATATCCCCACTATCCTTTCTCACGTTTGACAGTGACGAACTGTTTCACAGATTAATGGACTGCAGTGACTCATTGAGTAAGACGCTGGCTGGTTAACTAGAAGATCTCCGGTTCACTCCTGGCGTTGCCCGGAAAATTCCTCGGGATTCCGTGTACATATTGGCGTGCACTTAAAAGAACCCATAGCAGTTAAAATTCGATATAAGAGTAGGTCATGGCGCCGCTGTCCACCCGTCTTCATTAACCCAGTCGGTGCAGAAAAGTAGGACGTTAAATCCAATTTCGTTTCATTTCATATGTACCATATGTATCTTTTATTTGTACGAGTACTTCAATCTCACCTTTTAATTTTACATTGCAGGTATATTTTTTCGCGGTATTGGAAATGTGTCAGATACGCACCATCTAGATCTTACGCCAGCTAGCCCAACGTTTAGCATCTGGGCAATCATCTATGGTTGGCAAATTATCATGCTGATCTATTGTCTGACTTCGACCTGTCGTCACACTCCTGATGGACCAGTATGTACAAGTCCTGTTCTTCTTCCACCAATGTTCTTTATAACTTACATAGCCAACAATATCAGTAGCATCACCTGGTTGTTTTTATGGGACCGGCTGTATTTCATCAGTTCCACAGTGTTTTTGTTCTTAATCGCTATAACTTTATATGTCTGCATGGTCATTTCCTACCGAGCACTGAATCGCCATTACTCACTGCTCGTTGCTAGAGAGCGCAAGGCAGAAATATGGCTGATAATACTTCTAGTTCAAAATGGTATCGCCATCTACGCTACTTGGACGAGTATTGCTTCCCTGCTCAATTTAGCAACAGTGCTTGCCTATGACATTCCCGATCCAGTTGAACAAGAAGTTGCTTCTGTGATATCTTTAGGTATCCTGGCTGTAGAATTGCTATTATTTGTGGGTACGGATTTGACCATCTTTGATAAATACAGTCGCTATGTGTTTACACCCTACCTAGTGCTGGTAGTAGGATTATCAGGCGTGATTGCTAAAGATTGGAATCCCGAAACACCCACATGCATCTTTGCAGCAGTATTATTAGCAATGAGTATCATAAGTGCTATTTGTAAATGTATTCGACTTTCTCAAGTTTTCTTTAAACGCAACGATCAAGATGATATAGTTCTTAAGGAGTGAATTTACGAATCAAATCAAATTGAGTTCTAAGACAATAGAGTCAAATATGTATTTTCGAACTTGTATTATTGCACCCCGTCTTAAAAATGGGTCCGCTCGTCTGTATTTCTGAAAACAATAAGTAGCCTCCGATAGGGATAAAATGTTCCAACTCCTTATGGACGTTCATTTGGTGAATGTATTGACTTAGTTCGATGATTAACATTTTCTGTTTATGCTAAGCAACTGCCCGTCCGTCAAACCCTTGGGGGTACAGCAATTCTGCTTCTAATAGAGGTAGCATTTTCAAACTTGATACAGATGTGAGTTAGTGGAATACCTTGACTAAGCAGGGATAATCAATATGACTGTTCGAGACTTTAGAACACAACAACGTTTAATTGATATAAAAAGCTCAAACTTGGTGCAGATGTTCGATAAGGAGTTTAAGTTCCTTTTAGACATTCGCAAAAACAATTATATCCATTGAACTCGAAAATCACAGTGCAAAACACCCAGCGTAAATATTACAGGAGCATCCGCTATGTGTGACCTTGTCCTTCTGTAAAGCGCTCGTGACCGGCTATCAGTAATTCTGAATAGCCAAACCAAAAGCAACTGGTATGTTTCATTTGGATTAACGACGGTTAAAGTCGAAAATATAATATCTAATAATATTGATGTGATGTCTTTACTAACTAACTTAATTAATACAGATGTGATTCACCTGTCCGTACCATTGTCTGACATTGAGTAGATAGTATGAGGAAAGAATTGCACTTTTTTTAATGGACAAAGTGATTCCGTATCTCTCGTTCAAAAACCCATTTACATTTTATCGACCTTTAATGTTATCTTTATATTATTTATCTTCTTTTTTTTTCATTTTTTAAATACACTTTCTTACGTATTTTATAAATGTAATATCTGTAACATCTGAATACTTTGTGTTAAATAATAATTTTCACAGAAACCTTATAACCGCTTTAGTATGTTGCTTTCATACGTTTCAGGCACATTGTATGGCATATGCCCGTCTTCATTATCCCAGTCAGAGCAGAATAGTAGGACGTTAAACCCCTGTTCATTTCTTATGAGTTTCATATGTCAAACTTACTTGTATTTTTTAACTATTTCAAACTTGCCTTGAGATTCTGATTAGAGCGGGTGCAACCATTGTGAAAAGCCCAGAAGACTTGCTGTGAGCACATGTTTCCCTGTCTGGCAACCTATATTTACAACATGGTGTTATGGTATATGGTGTTATACACCTATCTTGGTGTGTTTGTCCATACCATAAATGCGCTTCTTGCATAAGAGAGTAATCTAAATATGAAGGTTTTAAAATAAATATTAATTTCAAGACAAAAAGTTATCCCGAAATTCATTTTTTGATATATATTTTATTTTAAATTCGTTTTTCAAGGTTATGAACTTCTTTTTGCGCTACCGATGTCACTAATTGATTAGAATTTGTAGCACTAAATGTGCAGTTGTAAGAAGGAATTATGAAAACATTAACATTCATATAATTATGTTTGTAAATATCACGTCTCAATATCATTTGTAACATTTATATAATTAAACATGAATCATGAGCCATTTCAATAAATGTCATTTCTTTTGAGTCATTCATACATATTCTAACTTATATAATGGAAATAACTCTATTATATATAACAATTCCTCCTCGTTTCAAGAAAAAGAATTACTAGGAAACGATACTCCCGGATTACAGTTCATTTCTTTTACAAACATTGGTTAAGTTAGCGGAAATTTCCGTATAGCCGTCACATCAAATATCAAGACCAACTAATATATATGACAGATTAAATTGGTACGAGGGTTGGCTGAAAGAAGTTCACGGTTGACATAACATCATCATTACTAGGAAAATGACGGCCGACTAGTTCCTTTTTCACGAGTCTCATCCATGGCGCAGATTGTCACGGGGCGTCAAGAGTTTTGGCACTCATCTTGCAGAAACTTTTGTCATTCCGAACTCGTTGGCAATATAACAAATCGTCGATCAGCCCTCACCAGAACATGCACCCGTGTAATGTTTTCTTGAATGGTTGCTGTTGGTGGCCTTCCAGGACGCGGGTCATCGCCAAGGCTTAAATCCCGCAGCCTACTTCTTTACTGTGGAAAAAGGAAGATAAAGTGGAGATCATGTCGGTATGTATCTGTGTCTGGTTAGTGCTTTCGGTTGTAGATACTTGATGACCGTCCTATCATTGTCCATTTCTGGTGATTTCAATGGGTTGGTTCACAAGATGGTCTGGTACGAAGTCATTAATAACACTACAGTTGCAGTTCTTATGTCTATGATTCATTCAATTATTGTACTTGTTGGTGAAAAAAGTTTGTTTCGACCCATTTGATCTATCTTTTTCAGGCTTAGAACTTTTCAGCCAGTCCTCGTATTTTGATGAAACATAATACAGAAAGTCAATAACATTGTTGATTTACGGATAAGGATAAATTTACAAAGCCCAAACACCTTTATTAAAGGGACAATATGATATATCTAAGAAGTCAATAACAACGACAAGATCTAGATATATCGATGATGCTACCTATTATCTTAAAAGAAATGAAATGAAATTTAACGTCTTACCTTTCTGCACCATTCAGACTAGTGAGAAAGGACATACGCAATGTTGTCTGGGGAAATGTTTGCCCAATAACAGCGATACGGCCTACTGTTATTTCGATTACCAACTATCAAGTAAGTGTATCGTCATATAAAACAAAACAACTAAAATCCAATAAAATCGACAAAAATTTTCATGCACTATAAAGTATTCAGTTCAGGCAGGAATACTAACGAATGGCAAAAACACTTTTAGCTACGTGAGTTTTCATAACAATGAAAATTGGGATCATGTATTAAGAGAAATCTTGTATAAATATAATGACTTCAATTCCCGTTGACTTCACTTTCTAGAAAAGTTGTACGATTTGGTAAAAAGATGTAGAGAGTTATCATATATTGCAAAAGATATACACTTTTATTTAATATACGTAAAACCAACTAAAAAAACAACAACATCCGGTTTCCTCCCGCTGCTAATGACCCCTACGCGCAAGCGAATTATTAAAATAAAATTAAACCATATGTTAGTCCCGAAATGAGCTAGTTTGTGTCGAGTGGACGTTAAAGCCATCTCTCTCTCTCTCTCTCTCTCTCTCGTTGTGAACATTAAACGCAATGACCATCCTGTACATCTTTTGGTTTATCGACCATTGCTCCATGTCTTATGGGTTTCGTTTATGCGTGATACGGTCCTCCTTCACATACTGTTAGGTTTTTAACAAAACTCAACCGCGTGTACGGAAGCGTGATTTGGATGAATGGATGTGTAAATAAAAGGTCGTATCCAATAAGAATTGGGTAGAAGAGGCTGTACAAACAAAGTATGTTGTATAACCCATACATATACTGGTACATCATTATATTTGAGAGTTCGTGTACAAATTTTATAAAAGAATTTAGACCATCGGACTTGAATAGGTGTATCTGGAATAAAAGCAGGTATTTGTACATTTATTTGTCTTTAATCCACAGATTTTAGTGTTCATCATGCCCACGGTTGTCAAACATCAAAAATGTCCCACAGACTGGATATTGACAAACAGGGCAAATGCATTAGTATAAGTAAAGGTATAATACGTGAAAGGGCTATAACATGACAGAAGGTAAAATGTTCAAATGACCAGATCTATTTATATTTGTATGCCCAATATTGAGATATTGCTTTATTGTTCAGCAGTGGACAGTTTGAGCTAAATAGAAAATAATGCCGATTGACGTTCAATCATTCGAAACTAATCGATATAGCGCGTCAGATCAACCTAATTTTAATCTATTCGGAATCAGATAGATTTGGCTCTTTTATATTAAATAAAATAAAGTCTGAAAGGTGTTATTTATACAGTGTTAGTTGATTGGATGTAGATTGGTTAAAGGAGCTAAATCGCTAATATTTGGGACCTAGAAATTGACACAAATGGGTCGCAACGCACACAATAATGAAATATGAATGTATATAACTGATCTACACTCAATCATTTCTGTTTCTACTCTAATTTCAAATCAGTTATGTTCGGAGAAATACTCGCAATCTCTAGAGTCTGGTTATTCCAGTCTACACCGATATATATTGCGCATGCTCTTCAGATAAGAATATGACGTCACCGTTTGACTAGAATATGTCTAGCCTCGTTCTTCGAGTCCCTTGTTGCAAATGGCGCAGAAACGCATTCTGGTATACGATTCGTTTACCAATGGTAAAATGTTTATATTGTCTTAAATATTGGATATCAGAAGCCCATCTTTTCCCGGTAAGGTCACAACATCAATTTTGATTTAAATGGACTAATTATTCGTGTTTTTAACGTCGAAGACTTTGGATAATATTGAGTTAGAGACTTGGCTACTTTAAATATTGGATATCAGATGCCCATCTTTTCCCGGTAAGATCACAACATCAATGTTGATTTAAATTGACAAATAACTCGTGTTGGCAATGTCGAAGGCTGTGGATGATATTGAGTTAAAGACTTTATAGCTACTTTAATATCTTTATTTCTGAAATGAAATAAACTGAAATGGTGTTTAACGTCCTACTTTTCTAGACCGACTGGGTCAGTGAAGAGGGGCTTACGCCATACAGTGTGCTTTGAGGGAAATTTTGCCCTGGCAGCGGCGCTACGGCCTACTCTTATTTCAAATTCCAATTGTCAAGGGTTCTTTTACGTGCAAGCCAGTGTGTATACGGGACCTCGGTTTTCGGTCCCACCCGAACAACTAGACAATGTCAATGTCTTTGTCAGACCCTCCGTCCTGCACCCTTGACCAGGCGAAACCGCTCCGGAAAATCCCTAGGAACTTTATCATGATTTCTATGTGGTGAATACAAATCAGTTATGTTGTTACTATATAGGGTTATTTTAGTTCCATGAAAGGTGCTCTGTTTAATATATTGAAGTGGTTAAACAAATGGGTGACAACGAGAAATAGGCTAAGTAGGTATTTTGTAAGAATCAAGCTTTTTAGACTAACTCACAGACATTTTCTGCCACCATCAATTGCTTAAAGTAGGAACCTATCATCCAGTCATCTCGTGCACAGATTAATTCAGTTAAATAGAATAACGTTAACGTAAAATGGTGTCCAATCGAAACACTTACCCAAAAATGGTAATTGTCCCGCCTTAATAGCTGACACATCTATACTTTCTATATAAGAAAGAACGAGGTTAAATTTCTGGTCAGACATCATTCGGAGTTCCGATGGAAACATCATACCCACAGCCTCCTCGGCTTAGAGGCTGGGATAGAGACAATATGTAGTGTTTCAGTCACTAGGCCTGAGTGCTATGCTTGTCAAACTCAGACTGCAGATATTATAATAACTCCTAATGTACTTTCATAGATGTTATAGTTTCCTGTATTTGATATATAAACATAGTTTTAACAAGACAGTGTTCCAGAGTCAATTGATCCTTGGGGTTTTATCTTCAGCGTGAAAGCTCTGGCTAGATAAGTGTCACCCTAGTGTCACGGGCCGTTTACTGGAAGTTCCTGATTACACATCTGTCCCCTTAGTGTCACAATGTTTGAAAGCAGTATACAGTCGCACAAAAGTGGTGGTATGAAATAAAAAAAAACATTTGAGTTCAAAACCTAAATATTTCTAGTTACTCGTATAATCCGTGTTTTCAGGTGTCGACATGGCTGAACATAATAAACTATTAATTGCTTTGATGATTATCACGACTATTGTAAAGATTATCACATATGCTGTGAATGGAAATATCAGTTCAGGTAAGCGTATATTAAAGTTGACTAGCCGAGTAGTTACAGCAAGTTTGAGCAGAAATCGAGAGAGAGAGAGAGAGAGAGAGGGGGGGGGGGGGGGTATTAACGTCCACTCGACACAAACTAGGTCATTTCGGGACTATTTTATTTCAATAATGCGCATGGGCGTAGGTGTCTCTTAGCAGTGGAGGGAACTCGGGGAAACCCCAGGAGGTTGGACAGGCGACCCTACTCCTTGTCACGTACAAACGTGGAATCGAAACCTTATGATACAACGTACACGCGCTTACCGCTGACTTATAGACTGTTTACAGCTTTGGGTTACAAATGGAGTAACACTGCTAAATCAAGATCATTAGGGTTTTCACTTAGAGCTAGCTGGGCTTTCCCAGCAAGATTTTTTAAAAATCTAAAAAACCATGACCTATTGATTGAGTGTTATTAAGTTTCAGTGACAGGAACGTTAATTCTGAACAATTGTAGAATTTTTTTTTAAAAAACAATCGCTGATTGAAACTAGATTTATTACATGGGTATCCATTGCACATATTTGTTTAACTGTAGTTACCTAGAGAGGAGAGCAATGTGTACCTTAAAAGGGCAAATTTAGAAGTTTAACTGTAGTTACCTATAGGGGAGAGCATTGTGAGGAAAATTTAGACGTTTTCGGCATTTATTCCTAAAGTACGCAAAAGAGAGCATTTTTTCAGATACATTTAAATGCATTTGACCAGACCCAGCGCCTTTAAGGGTCAAATTTTGCCTATTTTGTACAGCACATATTTTAGGAATTTTGGCCTATATATTAAATGTGTATAAAACAAAAAAGTTTGGTCCCACCGATGGATTGTCTGCGATATCAGCCTCGGTGGAAGCGAACTTTAAGCCCTGCAACAACATTACAGATCTATACATCACTGCCATTTATGCAATGATGTTTCTCCAATCTTTAGACAAACCAAAGTTGGGGCATGTATTTAGGTCTTCTTTTATTTTACAGACATGTTCAACAATACCACAGATACCAAGTACGCCACCGATATAATACCAGCTGATTGGACGATTAGTATCTGGGGATTTATTTACGCATGGCAAGTTGCGTGGCTTCTGTTCGCTTTAATCCATATCTTCCGGAAAACAGTTGATGGACCTGCCTATGCCAATCCAATAATCCTAACCCCGATTTTCTACATTGCATACATCTTCAACATGGTTTCCAACATCGCTTGGGTATTTTTGTATAGAAATGATTATATTATATTGGCATTCGTTGCTTACATTCTACTCTGCGCTTTACTTTATATATGTTTATTCATAGTTTACAAAAACCTGTATCAAAATGGGACCCTGCTACAAAAACAGGGACGGAACGTCGAAATTTGGATGCATCGTTTGTTGGTACACAACGGTCTTGGAATATACGCAAGCTGGGCAACTATAGCTACAGTTGTAAATGCCGTCGTAGTTATGATGTACGGCGCGTCGCCAGGCGTAGAGAGAGTCCAAGCTGGAACTGTAGGTCTGGGTATTTTTTCAGCCGGACTAGGGATGTTTTTTGTCTCGGATTTATTTTTTTTGGACAAGTATTCCAGATACACTCTCACTCCATATATGATGATTTGTATTGCTCTAGGTGGCAGCGTTGATAAACATTGGGACGAAACAAAAACCAATTCTATATTTACTGCGGTACTATTGGCAATCGCGTGTATTTGTGCCGTTGTCAAAGTTTTATTGATGATTTATCGCCATATCCATAAACCTTTATACCCAAGAACAGAAATCGCCCCAACCATACCTGACACGAAAGTGTAAAAAACATTGTTATTACAGAATCCTTTGACGTCATTTCAGATTTTTCATTCACTTTATAGTTAAATCAATCTGACCCTATATCGTTTCGTTTTTAATAGTTCAAAATTTGGTTTTACTTGTCTTCACAACACTAGTATATGAAAGATATGTTAAATAACCCGCGTCCTGGGTGATGTATAAAAACGAAACGAAATATAGATCTGTATTTCAATCAGCTTGCAGTTAGATCAATAATCTCGCAGTAAAAGATGACTGCGTTACATCGTCAGCGGGTATCTTTTTTCACTGTCATGCTACATTGGGGTGAATAAATTTCATATTTTGCCAAAGTTAGTCATGGGTGTTTCTTATTTATTTCAAATATACATTATGATCATGTAATTATAAACTCATTTATTCAAATACCCATATTTTATATTGTTATACATAACCAAATAATCAATATGATAGTTAATAAATAGTGCCATAATGTAATCCAAATAAAATATATATAATAATATTTTCATGTTATACTTATTTATGTAAATATGGATATTTTATTCGTGTACTGTAATACGAGCATCATCAGTTTGTATCTTCTGTACAAGTTCAAACTCTTTCAAACTTAAAATTTCATAGTACAATAATATAGTTTATCTGGTATAGTGGTATGTTCTTTTTTTGCGGACAAAAAAAATTAACGTCCTACTGCTCTGCTAAAATTTATGTAAAAGTTTGTGAATTGGGGTGTGGTGGTGCTGTGAGTGGCAGAGCATTGTGACAACCTGGGTGCAAATAGGAAGCAGGTAATAACCCTTAAACTTACAATTGTATTGCAGTGTAGACGCATTTGTTGCAGGACAATTCGATATCCAGGTTTGGTTACTAAAGTGTTTTCGAAAGATAAACCCGTATAATCTTTTATGGGTACACAAATTATTTGAAGTGTCCAGTCCCAGTGAGTAACTGTAAGTTATGGCCGTACGTTTACATTAGTTTCTATTAATTGCAAGCCACAATCTGTAATACTTTTTCATATCTAAATCATTTGTATCAACTAACATCGATGGCCAGACATTACCTAACCTACATTGATGTAGTTTAAATACTTTAATGATACTTACTAAATGGGTGACTATTATACAATGCTTATACACAATGTGCATCAATAAGTATTTTAAGATATAGGATTTGACGTCTGTTTAAACACAATACAAGGTCATAGAGTATTGTATTTGGGCGGTGTCTTTATATCAGTCATGGTTTGGTCAAATAGAGTCGACCTATATAGTTAATTCGATTTCATATGCAAATAACGTGTCTTTTATCTAGTACAACAGTTTACATAAACGCCTTTTTTTATAAAGAGCACGATTTTATGTAAGGTCATTCCGAAAACAATATGGCGGAGTGGTAATGTAAATTCATGATACTTTACATGATTTATGAATAAAATAAATTATTATCAAGGTTGGGTGAGACTTTAATACTGATAAAAAGATCATTACCTGAAATCTAAATATTTCTAAATTAAAAATACTCTTTGAAAGCTTTGTTTTTTAATCAGAAAACATTATGCTACCATTTAAGCAGGAGCGCATCTAGGCTTTTCAATAATATTTTAATATTAAAATCACTGCTAACGCATCCATATAGAGCAAATAACTCTCTGTTGGTGATAGTGCTAAAGTCCATAAAAGCAATTGTCCACGGCGGGTAAAGAGTTGGTTCAGTAACCAGGATTCCCTGGGTTCGATCCGGGTGTTGGTCAAAAAGGTTCCATGAAATTTTCTAGCCACAGTGGATGGGACGAAGCGACTATGTCCTGGCTACTCGTCAAAATAAGAATAGGAGGTGGTGTCGCTGTCCTGGCAATATTTCCCTCGTAGCACGCTGCATGGAGAACGCCCGTCTTCATAAGCACAGTGGCTGCAGAACAGTAGGACGTTAAACCCATTTCATTTCATTTCCGAAGATACAAATGTCCACCGGTCCTAAGAAAATATACACAATAAACTCCAAATTCTGTACTGTCTAAGTAAAATAGCATCTACTAACAATATAAAGATGATACTACATGATTATAGATATTATTGACTTCTACATTATTTTTCCTTTTTTTTTTACATTGAATCGATTAATAAAAGTTTCTTTACATTGAGCATAATATTATGTACACATAATAATTAAACATTCATTATGCAAGAGTAAAATCTGCTTATTACAAGTCTTTCTTTGGGCCTGAAATGTTATCTAAATTATCAATTAGACATTAATTAACTTATCCAGACCATAATAAACTCTCGATGTCAAGGCTAGCTAACGGCTATTGATAATTAAATCAATAAACGTGGATAATCAAGACTATGCTGTTTATATTAATGATTTTAGTAATGATGACCGAGACTATGCAAAAATTTCACCCGCTTCTTTCTCGGCTCATAGTGGATCAATTTGACTGAAATTTTCAGCAAATTACCTTTACACTATCTAGTTTTTAACTATTATAGCCAGAACTGCCATCTCGTTATCTTATCTCCCATAATGTATATTTAAATCAATCTGCTATACAGCATTCTTCTATATAGGTTTCGGTTTGTGTGCATTTCACTGAAAGATACATTATGGGAGATTAGATAGAGAGCTGACAGTTCTCACTATAATAGTTAAAAACTAGATAATGTAAAGACAATTTGCTGAAAATTTCAGTCAAATTGATCCACTCTGAACCGAGAATTTAGCGATTGAATTTTGCGTCTAGCCTCGATCATCATTTCTAAAGTCGGTACGACAAAAAACATAGTCTCGATTATCCTTTTTTTAAATTTAATTATCAATGAGCGTTAAGCAGCAGATAGGATTCTAATCCAGAAAATATCGCAGGCTAGCGATGCCATCGAGAGTTGATTATGGTCTGGATAAGTTAATTAATGTCTAATTAATAATTTAGATAACATTTCAGGCCTAAACAAAGACGTGCAATTGGCAGATTTAGCTCTTGTATAATAATGTATGTTTAAATCCGATTTGATTTTCATTTATACCGCCTGAATATATGTACTATGGGTACATTTAGTGTTTGAAGAAAAAAAACGAGTTCCCATACATTTGAAATGATTAATAAATCTCTGTAAATAAATATAGGTAACACTGAGTTTGTGTAGGGATGTCACGAACTTGGATATGGATCATTTGTATAAATAAAGTGGTGTGTACCGAGTTTGGGTTAGGAATTTTATATAACCAGTATTTAGTGCGAGTAGTAAAAAGATATTCATGTCAATTTTCTATTTACAAACTAATGTTTCTTTCAATGGGATGTGTTTCCCCCAGTTTCCTTCCACTGGTAAAGCCATTAAAATATCAAATGTGTACGCACCTCGGAGTGGGGGTGACATGTCAACGTAACAACCTCTATCCTTCCGCATAAAAATAATAAATATTCATTAAAACCGGACAGTTGGTGTAAATTCAAAACTTGGTAACCAAAAGAGTGAAATTGTAATGGTAGTCCCGATCCTGCTAAGCTCGTTACAAATTTAAAATTATATAGACATTTTTGTAAAAATTTTATTGAACCTAAAATTACCCAAAAGTTGTCTGATTTACTGACCATTTAGACTCATTTTAGTTTACATAATTATTTTATCATAAAAATTACCATAACAGTCCAAAATGCAGTGATGCAGGACGGAGGTCCTGACAAGGACAACTGTCTTGTCGTTCGGATCGGACGAAAAACCGAGGTCCCGTGTACATATTGGCGGGCACGTAAAAGATCCCTTGGCAGTTGGAATTCGATATAAGAGTAGGCCGTAGCGCCGCTGGCCGGGCAAAATTTCCCCAAAAGCACACTGTATGGCGTATGCCCGTCTTCATTAGCCCAGTTTAGGAGCAGAACAGTAGGACGTTAAACCCCATTTCATTTCATTTCATTTCATAACAATTCAAAATGGCGGCACTATGAGACCATGTCTCTTTAATTTAGGGTAAATAAAAAACTTTAAAGTATTAAACCAATCAGCAAAAGTTGTGGCAAACTAATCAACAGTAAATATTCGCTTGGTCGCCAATATCACTGAAAGAAGCGATGACATCGGAGCGAGTTAATTAGAACTCGATACTGTTTCCCTCCTGCAAATTAAGTTCTAAGTGCATTCAAAAATATTTCCTATTTAGTTTAAAGGTGTACATAAAATGGTACGCCGAGGGCGTGAAATGAGTACAAGTCGCCAATTCTGTCAGGAACATTAAACAACGCACGTGTTATCGACACCATATAATGTGATGTCACACGTAGACCTATACAGACCTTGACCTTGGGGGTCAGTCATGGGGTAGCGTGGTAAAACAAGGCTTTCGCATTATCGAAGTTAAACAGTTTAAAGTTGGGGCTCTTTTTTTAGATTTAAAGAGTTCAGGTTTGAAGGGGGTGGGGTTGCGGGTGCGGGATGGGGGTGGGGTCTGTGTAGTCGGTCTTTACCTGTTACCTGTATCCAATTGTAAGAAACTACGGTATTAATATGTATTGCGCTTTGAGCATAACCCTTAGTAATATGCACATTATTATATCATTATTATCTATAAAGTGAACGTGTTATTTTATGCTTAAGGAGGTTAAACTTCTTTATATAGTTTTACAATGGGTTTATGTATTATACTATTACCGTTAGCGTTTTAGATAAGGTCTATAACGATTACAACTTGAACCATTGTAACGATTGGATCATTATGGAGTAATTCATACTAGGCTGGTTACCTTATAGTGAAAGTGTTATCTTCTAACCAGTGCATAAGCCTTCGGATTCTGAAATCATGCCCCCCCCCCCTCAAATTAGCTGTAAGCAGTCGCGAGTGTCGTACATGGATCAGAGTATACTTACGCTTTCTAGAAAATCTACTAGCACTTTTCATTTGAGGAGAGTTACATAAAGAACAAAAGTATCACAAAAAATGTTAGCTGTGTGGAATCATCAATAATATCGTAAAGTACTGAACGAATATGCGCCATGTACATGTACAATGCACATCTATGCCTGTGGCTGTTTTTGTAAACCATTGTAGGTAGAAGTGACAATCTTGAATTATAAATAAACGCTTGAATTATCTTTGAATATTTAATATCGAAAAACATGAATTTAAAGCATGAAACAACACAATCGACATAGAGAGAGAGAGATGGGGTTTAACGTCCACTCGACACAAACTAGGTCATTTCGGGACTAATATATGGTTTTAATTTTATTTCAATAATTCGCTTGCGCGTAGGGGTCTTTAGCAGTGGGAGGAAACCGGAGAACCCGGAGAAAACCCACGAGGTTGGACAGGCGACCCTACACGTTGTCACGTACAACCGGGGATTCGAAACCACTACTTTTTCTGCTCAATTCGCCCTAATAAGTGTGCTTAGGGGAGGGGCCCGGGGGAGGGGCCGGGGGGATTTTATCCAGACAGCTGCGCTACGGACCGATCTTATTTCGAATTCCACTGTGAATGGTTCTTATACGTGCACGCCAATGTATACATGGGACCTCGGTATTTCGCCTAATCCGAACGACTAGACGCTGTTCCTTCTCACGTCCTCTGTCCTTCATTTCTCACAGGTGAGATCATACCGGATAATCCCGAGTAACTTTCTCGGCCAACACAGGGATCGAACACGGGATCCCCAGGTTACCGAGACATCATCTTTGTTTTTTCTTTTAATAAATTTATTCATAGAACAATAGGTATATACATTACATATTTCAATTATTTTAATTTTTTCAAACAATAAATACATTTTATAATTAGTCGAGACTATAATAGAAATATAATTACATCCAGGGAAACAATTATTTACATAGATACATCGAGGCAAAGAATATTTTACAATAATAAAAGCAAGTATTTTTGGTTATTTATATTTTTATAGTGTGCAAAAGTAAAAAGTAAAATATATTATGTACATTTAAAAACATTCCCCGGATTTATACACTTATACAAAGCAAAAATATACGGGTTTTAATTTCGGTCAATGCCAATGATAAAAAGTCCTTACTCACTGAGCCACCGCGACTCACCTAGCAGAAATGGCATTAAACCTGGAATAAGGAGTGAGTAAAGCTTACACATAAAGGGATTCAAATTAAAGTTACAATTAACAAACATAGATGACTATTGAATAGAAAAGACAATCCATACAATTATTGGGATTAAGAAAGGATTAGCGTGTCAAATAATTATAACTATTGGTATGTCAGCTTTCAACTGTCTGTCACCAAGCGAGGGGAATATAAGATTAATAGCTTATGGTCTAATTGGAATTAAACAAATCTATGGAAATGTAAATAAGTTATTAACATATGGTACATAAGATAAATAGACAAATTAATAAAGGGATGAATAAATGAACGAGGAAAAAATGCATTAACATAGAAACATACCTTCATTACAATACGAACAGACAGGTTAAATTAGGCCTACCGTCAGCGAATTAGGATCGGTAAAAAGGCTGGGTTATTTAGCTTTCTGTCATTGAGTCAACTGCCGTGGTTCCGATTCCCAGTTTCACGCCCCCCCCCCACACACACACACACCGCCACCACCAGCACTGCTAAATTATTTAAATATAACATAATCATATGTTAGTCCCGAGATGACGTAGTTTGAATCTGGTCAACGCTCTCTCTCTCTCTCTCTCTCTCTCTCTCTCTCATTTATATAACTTTTACCAGTGTACGACTCTAGTTACTGACCAGTCTACCAGACCCATATATTACATAAAGGCGATTATTTATTATATAATATGCCAGTATAAAGTGACTCAGAAATACAGGTCTTGTCTCAGTGAATAATTGACTAGAGTTCAACCGCGTGTACCAAAACGTGATCTGAGTGCGTTGACCTGAAGAGGTCATGCGTATCCAATCAGAATTCAGTTTACAAACTGTAAACAACCGTAGGTTGGGTTGTATAACTAGAAAAAATAGTTATATAAATGCAATTGGTGGGAATCTGCGTACACATTTGATTAAATAGTCAACGTACTCGCAGGTAGATTGGGTGAAGACTGACAAAGGTAGGCTTAATATATTTACAAATATGTTGGTTTGGCCGAGTTGTTACGAAAGCTAATGTCCAAGGTTGATAAGACTGACCATTGACCTGTATAGATAGAAAATTGAAGATATTACTGAAGGAGTATTATATGCGTGTAAAAGAAATTGTTTGTCGAGCTCGTATAAATCTTCAGCAATAATTAAGGTTTGGTTTTAATGTAATTTAGTAAACTTTAATATACTTTAATAAACTTGAATCAACATATGAAACTGAATTAGTTTATTCACATCACATTTTCTTCTTATGAAATTTGGATTAACAGTTAACACCAGTGCGAGTTCGTGTGAATGAGGTTATTCCGTGTAAACAATGTTCAGTAAAAATAGACGGGGATATTTTCAGTTTTGACTTCTGTGGTTATTACTATACAAGCTAAGCTGAAATGTAGTGAGAAAGTTAGGAGTCCCACAACCTGAACCTGGACAAAACATTTATAATATAACCCCCATTGTATTAGTATCACTAACACTCCATGACGACTTCTCGTTTGTCGATCACAGACCAAAATAACGCCCTTAGCTATCACTTAATTACACTAATATTTGGATAAACATTCTATTCTGACAGCTCACAACACAATCAGTATGGAATTTGAGTTATTTTTCTGAGCTGGTTATAGTCTAATAAAAATGTTAGAATTTTGGGGATTTTGGGCGTTGCGCCATTTTATAAGCTTGTTCCACATGTGTGGTTGTGGGTGTGTATGAGAGAGAGAGAGAGCGAGACGGCTTACTCATGACACGTGACAAGTACCCTAGAATATGAAGTACCCCCTGAGCTTCGAAAATAACGCGACTCTTGGGTTAACGGTTATTTCATGACACTATTCAAGTTCTTATACTTTCATATATTTTGTTGTGAGAGTGATAATACCACGGGTGTACAGTGGTTTTATGATACCCGAATCAAGTATATATAGGGCTTAGTACTATTATAAAAATAGACTTTTCTAGCTATATCTATATGTCAGAAAGGGTGACATTTCAAATAGATTTACATTGAGATTAAGTTTATACAACAAAGTTAACAGCAATAATTTCAAATTTCACAAAACTTAACTTTAATTTCACAAAACTTAACTTTAATTTCACAAAACTTCACTTTAATTTCACTCTCTTTCATTTAATTGCCCCTGAAATGGATGCCTGGACGCCCCCCCCCCCCCCTCTGCACAATTCCCTCATTAAACTGGCCTCAAGTAAAACATCTTCATTAGCCTATATACAGGAATACAATTACAATTACTGCTTATTACCGAGCGAGTGACGTTTCGACTATAGGCTTCTCTAGTCATTATCAAGCATGCAATATCGCTCAATAATAAGCAGTAATTGTATTCCATAAAATTGTGACCTATATGTTCCAGTTCAATTACTAAATGCCATTGACACAATTCTTTACCTTCGTTGTTTACAGGTTTCAAAATGGCTGAACACAAGAAGATATTAATTGCCGTGATGATAATCACTGTTGTTATCTTCATTATCACACTGGCGTTCAATGGAGCGAGTGGAGTTGGACCACGTAAGTGTTTTATTATATAATTTATGAGTGAATAGAACAAATACAATATATTATAACGGTATGCGTATTCCCCGTGGGAAACATGGTTGGATCTATTTCTAAAGGCCACCTCCAGATTTGATCAAAGGTCACGGAATGTGACAGAGCTAATGCTAACCTTGATCCTGGGCCTAACCCTTACCCAGACCCTAAATCTTATTTACTTCTGACGACCTTGACGAAATCTGGAGGTGACCTTAACGCGAAAATTTCATATTTTCTAAGAAAGTCAAAATATAATTATTTCTATGTCTTTTGCTCAATAGGTTATCAAATCACTATTATACGACCATAGGCATTATTTCCCACACTTAAAAATCATGAACACAGGAAATAATAACACGATTACCTCCCTTGTTTTCCTATTACTCCCATGGAATAGCTATCCTCAAACGTATGAATTTGAAGTTGAAAATGATATTTTTGCCAATTTCTCAACTGGCAATAGTGAATTATAGGATTAATAGGATTATTCTTTAACAAGGTAGGACTGTTTATAGATACCATCTATTTTAAGGTTTTATTTTAATAAATTTTAAAAATATAACTTAAAAATATGAAATTGTAACTTTAAGAATAGATCTAGTCGGGAAACATGCAAAAAGTAAAACACGACATCCCACCATGAACTCGGTGAAACGAAATCATACCCTATTCTCGCCTCCACCCTTTCAAAAATCTCTCATATTTATTGATTTCAAACGCCAAGATGGAAATACAGTTGCACAAACTAAAATGTCTTGAGACAACAGTTGAGATACTCTTTCGGGCGAAACGAACGAAGTTCACTGACTGATGTACTCATTGTAAGCACGTGAAGGAGCAGTTGAAATTCGAAAAGGATATGTGGAAACGCTACTGCCCCCCCCCCCTCCTCCAGAAATGACATTTAGTCAGCCCATTCCCTTGTACAATATGATGTACTTTTCGTTCGTACGTATGTTACGTAAATACAGAATGTAACGTAAACTGAAGATTGGACAATTTAACTAACTTGATCGAGAGAGTTTCCCGAAATGTTCCCCGAAATGTTCCCCTCACAAGGACAGTGTCTAGTCGTTCGAGTGGCACGAAAAAATCTTGACAGTTGGTATCCGGGCATAATTTGTCATTTCATAGCACACTGTATGATGTGCATCCCTCTTCATTAGCCCAGTCGGTGCAAAAAAGTATATTTTTAATTCCGGGTTCGACATAAGTATATACAATAAAGATATAATAGATGTGAAAACAACCCTATGCATGCTTTAAATACCTTTTATTTAATTCTATTTTACAGCGTTGTTCAAGAATAATACTGGTGCACTCTCCGACAAATACTCCACTGGTATAACGCCATCTGGCTGGGTTTTCAGTATCTGGGGAGTTATCTACACATGGCAATGTTTATGGCTCCTGTTTGCTTTTATCAACATTTTCCGAAAAACAGCTGATGGCCCTGCCTATGTCAGTCCCATGATACTAACACCACTGTTCTTCATAGTCTACACATTCAACTTGTGTTTCAACACCTCGTGGATCTTTTTGTTCGGAAATGAGCACATTGTCATAGCCTTCGTTGCCTTATTTTTAATCGCATTTTGCCTATACATCTGTATGTTCATAGCATACAGAAACCTGTATCAAAATGGTCCTCGGCTACAAAAACAGGGACGGAACATCGAGATTTGGATGCATCGTTTGTTGGTACACAACGGCCTTGGAATATACGCGACCTGGACAACCATAGCTACACTTTTAAACGTCGTTATGACCATGGTGTACGGTGCTACGCCCGGTGTTGGGAAAGAAGACGCCGGAACTGTAGCTCTTGGTCTCCTTACAGCGGAATTAGCTATATTTATTGTCTCGGATTTAGTTTTCCTGGACAATTATTCTAGATATACTGTCACCCCATATATGGTGGTTTGTATTGCTCTGGGTGGAAGTATTGATAAAAATTGGGACCAAACAAAAACAAATTCTATATTTTCTGCGGTACTATTAGCTATCGGATGTACTTTCCTTGTTGTTAAGATTATAGTCATGATTTGGCGCCATATTAAGAAACCATTATACCCAACAGAAATTGCCCCTACAACTGCTGGAATCAAAGCATAATCTAGGAATTTGCTTGGACCATTGATTTCCTTCTGTAGATTGTATATATGTTTAACCAGATCACCTCTTCGATACTTCATTATTTATTTGCTTTCTAACATTTAGAAATTATCACGAAATGAAGCTTTCAATTTCCAAAAACGGAAACGGAATTTGCTCAGCATGTTGGCTATCGTGCGCTTGCTCATCTGTGCATATGCCATTCATGTCCTAATCATGTGATGATGTGTTGATTCGATCACTGCAGCAAGATCTTAGGGCGGAATTGATTGGATTTGTATTCCGTTGTACTTTTACATAGTATTGTATCTTGCTTCAAAATGGGACATAACTCTTAAGTTCATTTTGTTCGTTTTAAAAGGGTCGATTTCTTGATGAGTATTTTTACGTCACTTGTGGTGTATAACGACCTATGTGAATAGTTCTCTAACTCTGCAGTTGTATGTCTAGCAAACTCTGAATTTAAAGCAACGAAGAGTTTAATCAGCTGCCTTTGGCGTTATTTTCCATTTTTCATAATTCATGTATTATAGTGTCACATCTTTGTTAAATCAAATTATTCAAGTTAGCATGTAATTTATACTCATTTATGTAAAATCTGACAGATTGTTGTATTCATTTACATGTATTTAAATGGACAGATTATTATACCGGTACTCATTTACGTAAATACTGACATATTGATATACTCATTTATATATATTAAAGTAGATAAAGTACAAGTACTTCTTTGTTTACGGTAGATAAATGCATAAATAAATAAAAATACGTCCAGGTAAAAAAAATTCCCCACTTTACTTCATTCTGACATTTATTAAATTATATAAGCTAACTGTTTGCCCTCTATAGGCGTCTTCAGATATTGAAGATACATTCTTAGAATAATAGATTTCCATGGCATTGGATAATAAATAATATTAGGTAATGTACAATAAAAGATTAAAAGTATATACTACATAACAGGACATTAATTTACATATAGCCAATACAGGAATAATGAGATGAAATCAATGTTCATAGACCAGTCATCTGGCTATAAAATTGAACCTTTCATTAATTTACATAGTCTTCCTGGTATAATCTGACAATAGTATAATACAGAAGTGAAGAGATGAATTAAATGTCAATAGATCAGTTATGTAATTTGGCTATAAACTTATATTAACTTTTCATTATCGTAATCAATTATATCAATTTTTTTCTCGGTATATTATACCGGTACTCATTGATGTAAATACTAACAGATTAATATATCCATTTATGTAAAAGCTGATAGATTATTATACTCATTTATGTAAATACTGACAAATTATTATACTCATGTGTAAATGCTGATATAATAGTTTATATTGTTATACAAAAATCACCATTTTTCTATGTAGATAAAAAAATATAGTTTTTCTTTAATATTGGGCTGTATTTTTCATATTATTTATACTTGTTCCAGTTCTCTGGATACTGACCAAAAGAAATTAAATTTCGGGGATGAAATAGCTAGAAATAAAAAGGTTCGGTTGATTAAAATTCCAGGTCGAATATTCTCATAATATTAGAAAAGAAAAGGGGTGATGCGGCAATTATGCCAGATCCATTCCATGTTAGCATATTGCGGAACTTTAGGAGATTGTTCACAATGCAGGACTATGCTTAGTTTTATTTCTCGATTCCTTGGTCCTATTACTATTAGAAATGAAACTGTAATAACGATCATTCGACAAGTTCAATAAGAGCGGCGAATGGTTCTCCGCACACTCAACCCATAAAGAGAGGGAGAGAGAGAGAGAGGGGGGGGGGGGCGTAACGTCCACTCGACACAAACTAAGTCATTTTGGGACTAACACATAGCTCAACCTTATTTCAATAATTTGCTTGCACGTCTTTAGCAGTATCAGGAAACCGGAGGACCCGGTGAAAACCCACGAGGTTGGACAGGTGACCCTACTCCTTGTTACGTACAACCGGAGAATCGAAACCACGCCAGTTGACTCATTGACAGACCTTATGATACAGCGCGCAGGTTCTAACCAGGCACCCAACCCTCCCCCTTTTCATAAAGCTCTCGTATCACTACGGACTTTTGTGCTAACACAAAACCGGTGATTTGATTTAATCCAATGAAGGCTACACTATATGTCTATTCCTAGATTAATAAATCAAAGTCAACATTAATTTACTTTTGTGCCCTAAATAGTTCATTATCTTGAAAATGACAAGACGAGGATCCTTATTTCTTTTCCGCAAATTCAGATTATTTTTAGAGTTATGCCCCTTCTTGCCGTAGTGTCAAAACATCTTGTTACCGAAAAGAGGCTACAGTTTTTATCTGAGTTGAGTCATGTGGCTTGGTTTCGATCCCTCGCTTGTACAAATCTTCCCATTAGTAAACAAAAATCCAAACAAATCTATTTTTCTATGAATACCTTACACGATTTGCAATAAATATAAATGCCGCTATAGAGCACAAGCCAAATTGTGATTTTTAATCCGTGTGGCGCAGAAAGTAGCAGGGTCCTCACAAGCCTATGTAGCGCGAGGTATTAAACTGAATGAAAAATAGCCCAGAGACCATGGTCCGATAGGGACGAAAAGGGGCGGGGTTTATGCTTTTTAACCAATCGGATGTGAGAAGTAGTTATATCTGCGGATCCTCGCGGGTTGTTTCAAAACATAAATGAATAAGTATTATTTGAGATATTTTACTATTTATCCGACGTTAAACATCAACGAGAAAAGAAGGCACTGATATTTAATTATTCTGAATGAACAGAGTGAAACCAGTGAGTGACTTTACATTACTGGCTTATTTTGAAATAACAAATCGCTCGTGCTGGAACTCAAATCTCCAACTAAAAAGTAAAATGTTACACAGTGTACAGGGAATGGGATAGCCTACAATTATAACTTATAAGTTAGACATAATGGTGGTAAAGCCTATAAACGTATGTTAGAACATAAAAGTATAGATTGTATTTACAGGCATGAAAATTTTTATTAGACCGCACCATGCATTTACACAAAACTTCTCTTGCTCTTTATTAATACATGAGACCATATCGTGTAATATACAGACCATAGCCTAATACCTTGCAGATCTTTCAGTGTTAATACATGAGACCACATCCTATAACAGAAGACCTTGATGATATCTTGAACAGTTTTAATGTACATGGGTCCTTTTCCTATAACACTTGAGCCCATAATGATAATGTACCTAGGTTGGTCTTTTTAATAGTTTTAATACATGAGACCATACCCTTTAACATACGACCACATGAAAACATGATGGTCTCTTTAACAGTTTTAATTACATGAGACCATATCCTATAACGCAAGAGACCATAATGTACCTTGATGGTCCTTTTAATAGTTTTAATACATGAGACCATACCCTTTAACATACGACCACATGATAACATGATGGTCTCTTTAACAGTTTTAATTACATGAGACCATATCCTATAACACAAGAGACCATAATGTACCTTGATGGTCCTTTTAATAGTTTTAATACATGAGACCATACCCTTTAACATACGACCACATGATAACATGATGGTCTCTTTAGCAGTTTTAATTACATGAGACCATATCATATATCGCAAGAGACCATAATGTACCTTGATGGTCCTTTTAATAGTTTTAATACATGAGAGGCTACCCTTTAACATACGACCACATGATAACATGATGGTCTCTTTAACAGTTTTAATTACATGAGACCATATCCAATCACACAAGAGACCATAATGTACCTTGATGGTCCTTTTAATAGTTTTAATACATGAGACCATACCCTTTAAAGCCCCAATAACACTCTTGTTGTAACTGAATAATATGTCCCAATATGAGACCATATCCTTTAACACAAGAGACCACAATGTACCTTGATGGTCCTTTTAATAGTTTTAATACATGAGACCATACCCTTTAACATACGACCACATGATAACATGATGGTCTCTTTAACAGTTTTAATTACATGAGACCATATCCTATAACACAAGAGACCATAATGTACCTTGATGGTCTCTTTAATAGTTTTAATACATGAGAAGATACCCTTTAACATACGACCACATGATAACATGATGGTCTATTTAACAGTTTTAATTACATGAGACCATATCCTATAACGCAAGAGACCATAATGTACCTTGATGGTCCTTTTAATAGTTTTAATACATGAGACCATACCCTTTAACATACGACCACATGATAACATGATGGTCTCTTTAACAGTTTTAATTACATGAGACCATATCCTATAACACAAGAGACCATAATGTACCTTGATGGTCTTTTTAATAGTTTTAATACATGAGAAGATACCCTTTAACATACGACCACATGATAACATGATGGTCTCTTTAACAGTTTTAATTACATGAGACCATATCCTATAACGCAAGAGACCATAATGTACCTTGATGATTTTTTTTAATAGTTTTAATACATGAGACCATACCCTTTAACATACAACCACATGATAACATGATGGTCTCTTTAACAGTTTTAATTACATGAGACCATATCATATATCACAAGAGACCATAATGTACCTTGATGGTCCTTTTAATAGTTTTAATACATGGAACCATACCCTTTAACATACGACCACATGATAACTTGGTGGTCTCTTTAACAGTTTTAATTACATGAGACCATATCCTATAACATAAGAGACCATACCCTATAATACACAATACCACATCATGGTCTCATGAATGTTTTAATTACATGAGACCATACCCTGTAATACAGAAGACCTCATTAAAACAGTGTTAATAAGATGTGCTCTATTTGATGATGTATGTTTTGGAATATATTAACTGATAGTTTTAATTTTTTTGTGGAACTCTGGAAAAAAAAAATTAATATTATCTAATCCATGTTTTTTTTTAGTTAAATGGATGAGAAACTTGATAAGGAGATGCAACCACCAAAGGTATTGAGTTTAGAGTATCACAAACGAAGGTTTAAAAGACCTGGGCAATCATTTTATGATTTTTCTAAAAGAAAGTTATCAAAGCGTTCACCAAAATCAGCCTTGAACCAAGGTTTGTTTATCTAGTTTTAACGGCACAATCATTGCTTGATGTCTATTATCAAAGTCACACAAAGACTGATCTTCATGCTTTGGAATATTATGGATTGTAACTTGATGATCTCTTTAACTGATCCTTTAAATAGACCAGGTCTATGTATTATATCATATGGTCTCATGCATTACCTCATTGACCCCTAGACCTAATTAAGTAATGCATGAGACCATATGATATAATACATAGACCTGGTCTATTTAACGTATCCTATAACACAAGAGACAGTGTTGTGTCTTGATGGTCTATTTAACAGTTTTAATACATAAGGCCATATCTATTCAACAGACCAGATTCTTTAATACACAAGACCACATTGTACCTTATTATTGCAACTCGATGATCTTTAAGTGTGTTGTTCATAGACATTACTCACATCATTTCTATCTAAACTATAAATATATTTAGTATCGTTTGTTTTGTTTTTTTTACAGAAACTCACCTGACAAATAAAGAAATTGGTCAATCATCTTCATTGGAAGTAAATAATTCTGAATCAACATCCAAGTCTGCCCCAAAATTGACTGAACCAATTGGATGTGCTCAATTTGAGGATGTATGTGTTTAATCATAGTTTTAAATTTTCATGTACATTGTAAAATGCATTATTGCATATATTTAGTCAAACAATTTTTGATATGGCATCTTCACATATGCTGTCGTTTCATTGTTATCAGGAATATAAGTTACTTTTACAGAATCGTATATCAGGATCTCACAGATTCTAGTATAGGACCAAAACGTCCGCTCTCTTAGCAGCTGTACTGCTATGTTTACTGGCCATTTAATGTCTTCCCAATTTCCCTCCAGTCTTATTACCACACTTTGGATGATGGACTACTCTACATTTAATATATTAGGATGTACAAACATGGTATTTGGTAATGTGATGTAATCACCTAGGGTAGAAGGCAGTGGTCATGTGATTATTAATTACTATTACGTATTTGGTACTAATTATAGATTTTTGCACCAGGAACTGGGCCTCAAGCGCTACTCATCTTGTTCTTCTTCTTGTTGTTTTTGGGGTGTCGATCTTCGAAAAAGCCTAAGGCTCCGTCAATTCAAGTCTGATCGACATGAAAATCAGCAATTGGACAATTGCGCATCGATCGACAGACTTCGATTTCAATATGACGTCACAATTCCAAGATGGTGGCGATGACGTCATGATCGGTTCCTGGTCCATATAGTACTATCGTACTTGTTAAACAATATTCTCTTCCAAATTAGCCAATATTACCTCTCTGATAGAAAAGAATGAAATTGTGTGTATTTTAAAAGAGCGATAGGTATAATTAAAGATCTTTCCCACATTTATAAATTACTGTGTTTTCACAATTTTTTTTACAGACATGGATAACTTTTTATGTAATTTTTTTATATTTTCAAAGGGCATACAAGAAGAACCCTTTCTGCCAGAGGTGGAGATATATCTGAATTTACTTGAATCAGGTAAGATATATGAATTTCACTTAAATAAATGGAAGCAGTTCTAACTTCTTTTGACAACGTGGGTAGCATTGATTGCCTTTCCTGCAATAATATTGCAAAATGTAGCATATAATGTGTCTTTCAGAAAAAGAATCTGTAACTCTGGCTGATGGAATAAGCTTTTTTATGGTCCTACCAGATATTACTTTAGAAAAGTCATTATTAAAGGTATGTTTTATAATATCAATCGAACATATGTTTAACTGAATTTTGTTCCAAATGTTGACTCGTTTCGTCTATCTGTAATTTGGAGGCAAACAATTTCAACATCTAATTGAAATTCTTTACTTGTTGATCTATTTCTGTAATGAAAAGGAAAATTTTTTAAAAAGTTCACTCATAGGTGTTTAGATTTAGTGATTATATAGATTTTATCTACCCCATTGTTAGAAATTAAAGATAACACCAAAGTTGACAACTAGCATCCTTCTTGCTGCTAAAGCATGCACATGTTATAAGAACTTGCTATATAGGGGCTATTACTGACAATCAACCTACTAAATTAGCAGTATTTTTAAAACTACTATATCAAACATTTATCAAATTGTTTAGAAAGAGTGCTTAATTCTTCTTGAAAGAAAAGCTGTGATGTTTGAAAATAGAGAATCGGCATGGGTTGTCATGTGTAGCTGCCAACCTGCATGGTCTAGGCAGATGTCATCATCTTCCAACCAGTATTGTTCTTCACGTTTTGGTATGTATCTTCATCTTTTTGAATATTGCGTTTAATTTTCATTGTTGATAAATTGAGGTTATGAACGCAGGTTAAATGTGACTTCTAGGTTAACAAGATGTTGAGCTTAATGAATCATATACACATACAATTTCACAACTTTTTCTGTCTTTACTTCAGACCATCTATATCATCTGCTCAAGCTTAACATTCAAAATATGATACAAATGATGCATTTTCAATTAAAGTGAAACATTTGTTTCCTTACTTGCCTGCCTGCCTGCCTGCCTACCTACTTACTTACCTACTTACCTACTTACCTACTTACCTACTTACTTACTTATTTACTTACAGACTTTTATAATCAGTATCCGGAATGTATACATAGGAAAGTTGGATTTAAAATATTTAAAGAATATGATATACTACATAATATTGAACCTGATGAACACATCAATTCTGTTGCAGGTAAATGTATATAAATGATGGTATCTTAAATGTATAAAACTATACAGTACCGAATAATAATTTCAATCAATTAAGTATTAAAAGGTGCTCCCTCTTTTAAAGGGTCAAATATAAAAAATTTGATTTGATTGCTTTCTATTTATTGATATGTTAAACCATTTAGAGCTTTCTCCATCACTCATCAAAATACCACATCATATGAATCCCATTCAACATCCATGTAATTCAAAAGGCTCCTTTAAATATTTCCTTACCAAAATTTTATTTCTTTTAATTAGTTTTAATTGACATCAAAAAATGAATTCCAAAAAAATAGGTTTTAAAAGTTTTGAAAAACTGTTTGATTTAGAATATTTATGTGAGTACTATTTTCCATTTGAAACAGATATATTTATTGTTTAAAATTTTAAGGTGATAATTGTATTGGACTAATAGTGAATCCTATAACAGTTTGGATAATTATGTACTGAGTTATCAATCTTGCGATCTAAATGTCCCAAATTCTTTAGCAATTGTGTTTTTTAAGAAGTGCAAGAATTACGGTAACTGACAACCAAATTTTCATCAAGTATTTTCAAAAAATGTGTTTGATTCCGTGTGGATGATCTGGGGGCCAGAGTCATTATTATGAGATTGCATTAGGATGCTTTTATCTGCCTAACAAGAAATCCTGTCACATGTTGCATCGACATTAAAATGATAACTTGATGAGGATGGCAACTATAACAATAATGTATAATTATATAATTTTAATTTTTGGATAAGACTTGTGGACCACCAAGGACGACTTTGGAGCCGGTTTAATATTGATGTATGTCATAATGATCGGCCGTTATTACTTTCTTTAATATGAAATGTTATATCTCATTATATGAATATTAAATTATAGCTGATTGGGGGATTAAAGTAATCTATGATAATTTACCTGTACCATTTATATTTTGCAGAAAATGAGAGTGATCATACTTACTCCACGAATGATCAGAAAGTAAGAAAACATTTCAATTTTCTGAGAAAAGAAACATAGAGAATGTCAAAGTTTTCATACATAAATAAATAGAGCCCATATTTAAAGTCACTGAGCGTGATTTGAGCGATATAGGAATCCTTTGTAAACTACAATAGTGTGAAAGTTGAATCTCTGATAGGAATAGCAGTCCAAAAATGATTTAATTCCGTTCAGTATTTACAAAGACATGATGAATGGAAAATCTATGCTGCTCCCTGTGTAAATGGTAAACTTTACTTTTTCTATTTTCCTCTCTTCTCATTTCCTTTTCGTGACAGAATCTGTCAATAACACCAGTCTACATGTCTTCAAGTTGAGATTTCTGCCATTTTGCAGTCTACGGAATGTGATATATATAACAATCCCACTGCCATCTTTATGTTTTGCGAAATCTAACTCGATGTACCTGTTTTTAATCCGATTTAATCCAAGCCAGGAGATTATCCGGCGTTGATATTTTGATATTGTGTTCTTAATTAAATATTGAATAATCAATCTGGGTACATATTAACGTGGATTAAGCCGTGAGAAATTTGATATTTTTTCGAAAAATGCATATCACGCACAGTTACTTTAATAGTATCGTAACTATTTTGAAGATATTTTGAACCAAATATTGTTTATTCTAGGTTATAGAAGCTGCCAAATTAAATGGAATACCTGTTCTACGTATATATTCAGACAACGAAAAGAGTTATGGATTAGTAAGTGTGTTGAAAGGCAAATATTTTTGCTTTTGCTGTAAAAAAAATTTCTGTGGACACACAAAGCTTGTCAGAAATCCGTCAAATGTAGAAAATGTTTCGCCACTAATTATTGAACTTCAAGAGTTTGAAAAAAGTTTAAAAGATGAAAAAAATACCAGTAAAAAGAAAGGAACATGTAAATCGTATCTGAAAGTGCCATTTAAACCAGATTTACTCTATTCAGAAACTTTAAAGAGTTTACCTGGGAACTTGATTTTTGTGCCTGATGAAGTTTCCTGTTGTCACTGCGGGGGTGAATTAGATCGAGGGGATCCTGTTCTAAATGAATGGATAGCTGTGAAGGATGCGATTGTGATAACAAATACAATTTTAGAAAAAGCAAATGGTATGACACTTAATTCATTTTGTATACCCCCAAAAATTATAGCTGGTGATTATTCTGTTACCCTTTAATCACAGCCCTCTACCTACATGTATGTGTTGTATTGTTCACAATGACCTTCTGATAACTAATTATGATTAAAATATCATAATGATAAATTACTGGGTGTGTCACTAAGTTATGACAGCTTGTCTCAAATACACCATAGTTTTGTTGATCTTTGACTCGCAGATGACTTATTTTGGCATCTCAGTCTTGTAAGGGCAGATATAACTTTGAGAACTTGCAAAAAACTTTGGTCTTTAAGTTGTGTTCATTTGTCAAGGGTAGTTTTATGATTTATAGGGCGAGTAACTGGTATTTACTTGTGACTATAAATGTATTTGAAAGGTTACAGCTAGAACAACAAAGACATTAATTATACACACTTATGACAGCAAGCCGAAAATGCAGAGGTTATATATATCAATATTTCCAAATGATACTTCAGTGATGTTATTTCATTTTAACATCAAGTGTTCGCTGTGTAGTTAAAATCGTCTTTAACCAATCAGTGAAAAGTTACCAAGTATTACTCAAATGGTGGTGTAACTTTAAAGTACTGCATGGGTAAGATGATAATCTTCCATGGTGCAAATTAAAAATGAAATGTTTGTACATTTGTAAACTGAGAAAAACGCCATATTATAATATGTTGATAGAACAGACAAAGCTAATTACTGATAATATAGTTAGATCTAAAATTTGTTTAATCATCTCTTGTCTACTAAAATTTAGTTAGGTGTTCATAATTCTCCTTCTGTAAACAATACAGTGTAAACATGCTACACGTTTTATATTTATATTCTTATATTTAATTTACCTGTATTACTTTCCAGTGTACTACAGACCATGTCTGAATTGTGATACCATTACCGATTTTGATGGTTTAAACAAATGTATCCTCAACATGGGAAACTATATGGTTGGTCATGATGTTTTAAGATCATACATGCACTCATTTCTTCATGGCAGGTATTTGTTATTTTGTTTGGAAATGTAATATGCACACATTTACAAATATACTAATACACAATGAAAACACACTGATTTGATGGGAAGTGGCATCAAGACATAATGCAGGTGGAACGTAATATTTGGCATGGTTGTAGGCTGGACGTACATTTACTGTCAAATTACTGGCACAAGAACATCCACAACAACCCACAGAGGCCATAACAACTTTACTTTACAGTGAAATGTAGGCACAAGGCATAAAAATCAAAAGTCAGTAACATGTGCATCCACCTCTAGTAGGAGATAAGCCTCTGAATTGCAGCTTGTGAGATCGTTCTCCACTCCTGTTGCTGCTTCCAGTGGCTCAGGTACTCATGCCCTCTTGAATAAACGCAATATGGCGTTCTCAGTGTTTAGGTGTCAACCATGGCATATAGTTGCATCTTTCACAGAACTGTAGGAGTTGTACTGACCATACCTTTTTAAAAGCCAAATTTTATACCCCATGACTGCTCCGTAAAATCATGATTTTCAACATTCCTATTCTGTTGATTCAATTTTTATGTTTGAGAGAATTGATCTGTGATGCATTTACACAATCATGATCTAATGTTGTTAGGAGATTTACAATCATCCGTGTATATTCTTTTTCATTTCTGACTGAACACCTGTCCCAGATGTCCGGTGGATTTAAAGAAATAGGTGTTGAAAATATGTTCTAAATTGAAAATCTTATTATTACATGTATGTGATTTATCATTAATTCGGATAGATAGGATTAAAAAGTCAATTTGGGGTTTTTAGTTCATTTCTGACTGACTGAACACTCGTCCCAATTTATAGGTATTGATGAGTATTGAAAGTGATTCTAAATTGGAAATCATATTTGTTTTGTTTCTAATTCAACTTGATGAGTTCATTCAACATGTAGATACGATAAAAAGTCCATTTTGAATAATTTTAGTATCTGACCGGACACCTAGACCAACCTCAGATGGGGCGCCAACTTTCAGGTCTCATGGGCGACCCCTAGATGGTAACCAAAAAATATAATTTTTTTACAGGCATACTTCATTCACATGCTGGAACACTTTTATAACCCTGCTGGTCCAATTCTATCAACTTTCTGAAAAAAAGGGTCAGGAGATGCAACTTAAAATTCTGGCAATCATTTAGTTATTTTATTTATTCATTCAGGAGACCCCTCTTCACATTTTATAATGTTTTTGTTGATGTCCATGAAGATTATGGTAATATATCAATTAAAGATGAGTTTAGCTATCATCAGTTTAGGTTTGCATGGTTATCTTTTTTTGACCTGTTGGACATCAACATGACAGAAGGCTTTTCATGCCCTGTTTGTGAAAGAGATGGAGGTCCAGACACAATTATATGTGATGGTACATCTGTTTCATTTCAAAGACGAATGTGGACATGGAAAGAGTTAGGCATTCAGCATAAGACCACCAATCAAATTCCAAGGTAATGCATTAATTAATTTTTGAAACTTTTATAGTTTATTCATACAAAAATACAAAAGTTTGACAGCTGTGTCAACTCAGATGAGAACTGGTATAAAGTGTTCATAAGTCTAAGCATACCCTGCCTCGGGCATGAAACATGCCAATACTTGTAACTAATGGAAGTGATGGTTTGGTTCTGGATAACATTAAACAAAGGCTGCTTGGAAGGTGATAATATCAAAATCAGCGTATTTATTTGCTTTTACTTCTGAACCTGACCAAACACATTTCAACATAATAGAGTTATTATCCTAACCATGAAATCGTGTAAACATATTAGAGAGAAAATTGTTCTGTGAATCTTGTCAAAACTACTGTATAATCACCAGTATTAGCCTATCGAAATTCAATGTTTTCTTTATTTATTGACCGTCCTTTGGAAACCTTAGAATTGTGGTAGAAAAGTTGTATATGATATTTCTTTTATTACAGAGTTACTGTCCTTGTTTCAAAAACCTTGTAAATATAGTGATGCAATTAAATCATCAATAACTGTGCCCTCCAAGGGTGAAACCTATTGAAAATCAGAGCATTACTGCAATTATTTATGGAGTTAATGCCATGGCCTCAGAAACCTTGTAATCACTTCAAATGTTGTGTCTTGATCCCAATTAGGACAATTTCTCTAAACTGCTTAATGGATTTTTGGGTGGTGTTTCTTTAAACTTTGAAAAATATAGTCGCTTGTAGCCCCATAAGAACAACTTATCGGATCCCAAAGATATTTGGTTGAGATATGTTGCTGGGCTGGTGATAATTCATATTTTGCTAAAGGGTTTAACATTGAAACATAGATATACCATATGTTAGCCCCGAGATAAACTAGTTTGTGTTGATTGGACATTTAAACCCCATTCATTTCTTCAATCTTTGAACAATCTGGTGTACAAGATCTCAAATGTTTAAACTATATTGTGATAAATAACTCAACTTTTGAAAATATATTTTACACATTAATGTGAATACTTGATATATGTAGTTTCAGGGACAGAATATATATTGCTGATGCATCATGCAGAGACCTTCTTTATAGGTTCGCTGCTGGCGGGGAAGTAATAAGGGGGAAGTTCACCCCTTCATTATCTGTTGATGAAAAAGACACTCTGAAAGATAAACTGAAAAAATATCCATATTTAGACAATTTTATTCACTCTGTTGATGATGGCAGTACCAAACTAAAAAAAGAATTCCTCAAATTTGTAACTTCTATAGCCTCAAAATCACCAGTTTGCGGTTACATTCATCCAACTAAAGATGTTGAACTTTTAATGAACGAGTTAATATCTGGAATGGAAATAAAGAGTTACCCTGATAAGTGGAAAAGTTTGCATGAAAATATTCCTGTATTATTTGACATCATGGAAAATACTAGTGAGAAATTTGCCCCACCAGAATTACGTCCCCTGTTGAAGGAACTTTTAAGATTATCTTTAAAACCATTTGAAAATTGTCTACCATGTGATGAGAATGAAGAATGTGATGATGCAGAAGAGATGAGTTTTTTTCCATCGCTCCCTCAAATTCGAAAAAAATACACTTACTTAATGGACACCACCAAACCAAAAAAATCATGTTCCAAAACCTATCGAGGCCATCCATCTCTTCTTCCTGGTGTTTTTACACTATTTTGTCCTCATGGTGAGCAACTTGTAGTTAAACACACAAACAAGTTATTGGATTAATTTATGTTTAAATAATTATAGTTATATGAGATAAACTTCCACCAGTCAATTGACAGGCAAATAATTTCCTAACAGTTGACAAATATTGTTTTAACATTATCCATCACTCCGTTTATGGAGTATAACATGTAAAAATGTAAGTATTTACCAACGATATAAAATGTGTTTTACAGTTCTAAATTTTTAATATTTCAGGTATTTGCTATGGTTTCCAAGTTATGCCCAACAACGAATCCCCGAAAATACCATTTAATATATTAAAAACAAGATTCAAAAAAGGTGAGTCTTGACAAATATTAAAACTAATTATTGAACATTGTACATGTACATTCTGAAGTCTAAAATTGGAAGTGCTAACACAATATATTAATGACCAACATTTTACTTTCATTTCCTGATGCATATTTATTGGAAAAAAACTATTTTTTAGAATGGCATAGCTTTATATTTGAAAAAAAAAATTGGTCCATTATATTGGTAGACCTTGTTTATTTTCTCACCATTTCTCTTGAGAATGTTGTGCTTTACAAACTAGAAAATATTTCCTGTACCTGAACCAAACATGATGAATTTAATAGATTTACGGTTCAAATAAGATAATGCGAGAATAAAATAAGTTAAATCAATCATTTAATATATACTGACATGAAAAGTATACATCAGTACATGTATGTCTTCACCATTGAAATTCAGCTTAGTCACATTTAGTTTTTCATTTACATATTTTTGTATATTTTAGCTCCACGATTTGTAATATACGACAATGCTTGTGCTTTGCACTCTTACTGTTTAAATAGAGAACCTGAATTTTTTAAAGAAACAATATTTTTAGTGGACAGGTTGCATTGGGATAACCATTCGGGTGAGCTAATGTCAATTACATTTATTATTACAACAAAATTAGAATGATAATTTGTAGAAAAATAATTAACTTTTATGACCATAGGTTGAAGATTTAGTTTAGTGATGATAGTTTTCATTGAATAATGTGATCAGTGAGATGTCCTTATGACTACTTGACCATATATTGTTGTTTAGTAGAAGAACTATAGCATTTAGATAATACTTGAATATGGTAACAATGAGTAAAGAGATGGGGTGTATAAATGAGCTACACATAAAGCGATAATGACTTTACTTAGAGATAGTGAATAATGGAGTTAATTATCAAGAAAAAGTTTTGTCAGTGAAAAACCGTATAGCCTTGAAAACCTTTCTTGTAGCAGAAATGAATTTATATTAATATAATGTGGTTGGTTTACGTTCCCATTCCTATGAAAATATATAATGCTAAAGATGTACATAAAATTTCTTTAAAGATGTCACATTTTGCATTGTTTAATGAATTTCATACTTTGAATTGAGGCTGCATATAAATGTACTAAACTCTTGTTACTTTAATCTATGTCTTTGTGATTACAGGTTGCAGTTGTGGATATCGTTTGAATTTATATCCTGAACTTAAAAATTTGAACAGCCAGATAAATGAGCAAGCTAATGCTGGCCTCAAGAGGATCAAAGATCAAGTTTCGTATATGACTGCACAAAACTTTATGAATCATAGTTCATTTTATCTTTGGAATAAAAACATGAAAAAGAGGAGCAAATTGTAATTGAATCAAATTACCTTTGAAAAGTATGACAGAACAAATATTTGTAATGATTTCCTATCAAACATTCATATGGTCTTCACCCTTGTCCATTCCTTGATCATTAACAGTTGAGCTTATAACCCTTCTAGGGGTCACTATTATTTATGGAATTTTATGTAACTTGCTGGAGTGATTGAATAGGTCATAATGACAAGCTCTATCTAAATTTTGCATAACGAAAATATTTTTTCCAAAGTTTTTTTTTTCATAGAAAGGATGCAATCGTTTTGGAGGTCACAATTTTCCTCTAAAATTTATGATACTTGATAGAATGATGTGTTTTTATAACAAGGTACTTTGTAGGATTAGTTCCCCTACGTTTGCCTATATTCAATCTAGAGGTTACATTTCTTCCTTAAATCTTGTGAAACATGCTGTGGTGACTGATTAGCCCTATCGATAGTTAGCTTTTATTTATCTTTTAAGAGTTATTCACACCAGTTTTCTAAAGGTTGTATTGATATTAAATACAGCCTGTATATCATATAGTATTAGTTATTTATATTTTGATATTAAATATAGCCAGTATATCATATAGTAATTTATATATTGATATTGAATGTAGCCTATATTTCATAGTAATATATATATTGATATTAAATATAGCCTGTATATCATGTAGTAACTTATTTGTTGATATTAGATATAGCCTGCATATGATATAGTAATTTACATATTGATATTTTAATATACATGTAGTCTGTAAATTATATGGTAGTAATGTATACATATTAAATATAGCCTGTATATCATATAGTAATTTATACATTGGTATTAGGTATAGTCTTTACATCATATAGTAATTTATATATCAATTTCAAATATAGGCTGTACATCATATGGTAATCTATATATTGATATAGCCTGTTTATCATATAGTCATTTATATATTGATATTAAATATAGCCTGTATATCTGTATATCATATAGTAATTAGGGTTTCACACTGCGTAGCTTGTGTGAAACACTATTGTTTTTGTTAAAATTATTCTTATTATTATTCTTCTTATTATTATTATTTTTTTTTTTCCAATTTGCTTATATCTCAGCAACTTCTTGTCGGATCGATACAATGTCTTCAGTTTTACTGGGAAAGTGGGTGTGACTTAGAGATTAAAGCTATTCCCGGCATTCTGCGACATTGCGAAATGTCCGAAATCACCGAAAATGTCGTTTTTTGAAATATTGCCGTAATATTAACAATAATCATTGGATTTTAGCATATGATGCATTTTGACATAGCCAGAAACAGTAGACATAGCTATGTTACTTTTGATTTTTGATTTTCGACGAATCTTGGAAGATATTAGGCGCCAAATTTTGAAAATTTAAATTTTTACAAAAAACTTTTTTATTTATTAATATTTTTATATGACATTTTAACCAAGGTTAAAGAGTCATCTGATTTGAACAAAAATGTCAACATTTTTTGTTTCCGTAATTTTCCTTGGCCGCCATTGGCTAATTCAGTTTTTCAGTCCTACATTAATTATTTATTGTTCGATTTGTATAAAACCATGTTCATATGTTCCGTGGTTCAAAATGCCATTTTTTTTGTTACCGGTGAAGTTTCCTGTAGGCACCGGAAGTGGCGTAAATTCAGCAAAAACTACAATATTGACAGTTCGGTACAACTTTTTGAAAGCAAATACTAAATCTCGGACTCAGTTTTTTTAATTTCGATTTTATTTTCGGGCCATTTCGGTTAAAAGGTAAAAAAAGGGGTAAAAATAAGCTATTTACAACCCATCCAGTGTCTTCATATATTAAAATATTTCTTCGATACTTTCATAAACTTGTAGCAATAATCCATACAAAGAGAATGTATGTGAAATTTAGTTTGTTATATAAGCAGTTGCCGAGAAATGGGCAATTTTGCATGAGTCACTTTTCACGTTATTTTGGCTGTAAAAGAATCAATTATTATTCGATTTTCAATTTTCTTTCACTGTCTGTTGCCTATTGCCACAGTCGACTATTCCAAACCATTTTAACACTTTCACTGTTACCGGAAGTGACGTCATTTAGGCAATAACTGAATTTTTAGCCTTAAAAATACATTTTTTATTCAAATGAGTATTATTTGTAATATTTTTAGAATTATGAAATTTGGTTCCCATCAACAAATAGAATGAACCGATACGATCATATAGATACCACAAAATGGTTTGTAACTTGTACGGTTGCAGAGAAATGGATGATTTTCCACAAGCCACTTTTTACTTTATTTTGGCTCTAAAAGAATTAGTTATTATTCGATTTTCACAAAATTTTCACCATATGATGTCTTATGCCATTTACGATTTCATAGAACTAATTTAACTTTTTTAGTATCACCGGAAGTGATGTCATTTTGTCAAAAACTGAATTTTTAGCCTGCAAAACAGATATTTTATTCAAATGAGTCTGATTTGTAAAGTTTTCAAAATTATGATATTTGATTCCATTCAACAAATGGATTGAACCCATACGATCATACAGACACCAAAAAATGGTTTCTAACTTGTGCGGTTGCAGAGAAATAGTCGATTGTCTACAAGTCACTTTTCAAGGTTTTTGGTCTATAAAAGTGGCAATTATTATTCTATTTACATAAAATTTTCACTATATGATGTCATATGCCATTTCGGATTTCATAAAACTAATTGAACATTTTCATTATCACCGGAAGTAATGTAATTTTGTCAGGATCACTTACAAGTAACAGATGTATAAAATGAATTATTGATATTTGCTGGATTTGGTTGATTCTGCGTCCAATTTATTTGATGTGTGCAATGCTTATGGGGGAACCTGTTTAATGGTTTCATTGGTACCCGAAGTGACATATGTTCAAGGGTAACATGGCACCGGAAGTGACATGTTAAAGGGTAACGTGGCACCAGTGAAACCCGTCATTCCTGCATGCAGGTCTAGTTTATATATTGATATTAAATATAGTCTGTATATCGTAGAATAATTTACATATTGATATTAAATATAGCATGATATTAAATATAGTCTTCATAGCATACAGTAAATTATATATTAATATTAAATATAGTCTGTATATCGTAGAATAATTTACATTTTGATATTAAATATGTTTAATATGGCATGCATTTGCTGTAGTACTTGATATTAAATTTAGCCCGATGTTATATGTAACCTGTATATGATATAGTAATTTATATATTGATATTAAATATAGCATGTATATCATATAATAATGAACATTAAATATAGCCTGTATGTCATATTGTAATGTAGATGTTGGTATTAAATATAGCCTGTATACATGTATCAGATAAGGATGATATTGAATATAACCAGTATATCATATAGTTATTTATATATCGATATTAAATATAGCCTGTATACATGTATCACATAGTAATGATATTAAATATAACCATTATATCATATAGTTATTTATATATGATATTAAATATAGTCTGTATACATGTATCACATAGTAATGATATTAAATATAACCAGTATATCATATAGTAATTTATATATGGATATTGAATATAGCCTGTATACATGTATCACATAGTAATAATATTGAATATAGCCAGGCATATTAAATATAGCCTGTATACATGTATCACATAGTAATAATATTAAATATAGCCAGATAGTAATTGATATATCAATATTAAATATAGCCTGTAAACATGTATCACATAGTAATGATATTAAATATAACCAGTATATCACATAGTTATTTATATATCCATATTAAATAGCCTGTATACATGTATCACATAGTAATGATATTAAATATAACCAGTATATAACATAGTAATTTATATATCCGTATTAAATATAGTCTGAAAACATAGTAATGATATTAAATATAACCAGTATTTCATATAGTTATTTATATATGGATATTAAATATAGCCTGTAAACATGTATCACATAGTAATGATATTAAATATAACCAGTATATCATATAGTTATTTATATATGGATATTAAATATAGCCTGTAAACATGTATCACATAGTAATGATATTAAATATAACCAGTATATCATATAGTTATTTATATATGGATATTAAATATAGCCTGTAAACATGTATCACATAGTAATGATATTAAATATAACCAGTATATCATATAGTAATTTATGGATATTAAATATAACCTGTATACATGTACCACATAGTAATGATATTAAATATAGTAATTTTATCTTTAAAATAGTTCTTTGTTTTTCTTGAACCTTTTATTCCCGCAATAGAACAGAGCTAATGGTATATGTTTGTGTTAAAACTTCTGGTATGCTAGGGCTAAATAACTGGGTTGCTTTTACAACTTTTCCAATATAATGAACACATATTCAGCAGTTTCAATCGGTACTTACATATAAATATGTAAGACTTATGTTTCTGGAATATAAGATAAAACCCAATACAGTCCTTGGAAAAGTTGTAAAAGTAACCCAGTTGAGTTTCAGAAAGATCTCTACTGCACTATCTGCATTGCTGTAATTACTCTTGCTACTTTAGTCATTATTATATAACACATGGTCATAGACCATTATCTAACTTAGACTCATAGGCGTACGGGCTCGATGACAGTTAGGGGGGCAGAACCCGAAATGCCCGTAAAAATTGCGGGTTTACAAAGAGCGGTGCCGGTCTTCCTCGAGGGGCGAGAAAGCGGGGCTTACCTTGTATGCCCCCCCCCCCCCCAAGAAAATTTTGGAATATTTGACGGCTGTAGGCCTACAAATTCGTGGTATTCAATTAAAAGAAAAGTAAAATTAGTTTTATGTGAGGGCTCAATGGCAGTTAGGGAAGCAAAACTAGGAATGCCCGAAATATTTCGGGTTTACAGACAGCGGCGCCGGTTGTATGGATCCCCCAAGAAAATTTTGGAATATTTGACAGTCGCAAAAACGCGTTTTCCTGCTCTTCCAGTCCTTATATATAGAGTTTTATTAGATTTCTGGAACTTTATTTTGCTAAATATATGAAATATTTTTTTTTTTCACTTCGTCCGTCTGCCCGAAAAGTCAGCTTGCCCGAAAGTTAGGGGGCAGCTGCCCCCTGCCCTCCTGGCCCGTACGCCTATGCTTAGAGTTTCTTTGATATACCACTAAGTTGAAATTCTTCTGAACCAAAGTGGGGAAAATAGTATCAAATATCAAGTTAAATGGTTGTTCCCAGCAATAATTGGTGACTGTTGATGAGAATTAACACAAAATAGCCCTTATCCTGGTGGAATTTGGCAAAACCTGTGTTTGTAGATGCCCCGGAAATCTTAATGATAATGTAGAACACGTTATCCGCGTTTTAAATCAAATGGATGAACAACGCACATGCTCTGTATTTAATTCTAATCTATAAATAGGTGACGTGCATTATGTATATTTATATTAAATGTTACATGAACATCGATATTTAAGGAATGGGTTGATATATAGACCACATTTTCGGAAACAATTTTATTTAGAAACACGGCCGTAAAAAGAAAAAAACTGCCTCTTTTATAATTGTGCAAAAGTCTAATATCAAAAGTGTCAGTTGCTATAGAATTTTATGAGAGATTTTTCACGTAACTATATAATTGATCAAACGGAAATTACTATAGATGTACATAAGATTTGTAGCTGAATATGTATTCCATATTCAAGAAAGTGTTATTTCGTATAGAATTTTACAGAATAATTAAAAAAAATATAGAACTATTTTGTCATCCATCAATCATCTACTGCTGCTATAGAATTTGCTATAAATATTATACTTTCTTAGAGAACTTTTGTAATCTTAAATATTTGGTTCCATATATTTTGTAGTTTTCTGTGCTAATAAGATGCAAACCAAAACTATAGTTTCGTACAACATCCTGTAGAAAAAATATTATATACAGCAGGCTAACTACAGATTTTGTAATCTGGACATTTATTGATGCACTGACATACTCTTTGTAGATATAATTCCCCAAATTAGATATCTATGGATATAATAGTTTACTAAATTAAAAAATATTTCTTTAAATTTAAGCCATATGAAGAAGAAAACTTGACATGAAGCAGAACTGTGGACCCACCGCAGAATTTAAATTTATCTACAGAGAGAAAATTAAAACACGATTTAAAAGAAACCACGGACCATTTTCGCTCAAAGGAATTGCATGAATAGTACAGTCTCCATTTCTATGGAAAACCGTTCGGTACTGACCCAAATCCCAAATGCAGTAATCAATCCTGTGTATAACTGTACAATTTCCAACAGAAAGTCGTACCAAAATCTACAGAATACTATATATGTTCCTAAAGAGATGTTACTGTACAATATTCGGGTTTATATTACTTGCCAAAGGTACAGTAAACATTTAAGGGGTTTGTGTATGTCCGAATCTATCAAAGTTCACTGTAAAGCAAAGACAATGCAAGTGATAGCACTGAAGCATTCTTGCTTCTTGAAATTAATAACGACTAAAGCCCTTGAGTGGGTCCATGAACAAGCACGCCTATTTCAATCTCGCCATTGTTAATATTCATATTATGCATTATAATATACAACCAACATATCCGTACGCTCGTCTTCTTAAGCCCGTTTAGATATAAATCTGAATGGTAGTGTTCATTTCTAAAAGCAACCCTAGAAACTGGACGGCCGATATCAAAACTAAACGGCGTTTCTTAAATTACACGGTAGCACAAATCGGACGTTTTTTTATGAATCTTGTTTGTGAATAATGCTTTCTTAATTAGTGGCAATCTATTAACTGATTACATGTACCAGATTCTAGATAGTAAGAGCAGTTTCTCACCTTTTTTTCATCAAATGTAACTGATACCCGGGCCCTAGTGATAATTTGTGGCACAACATTTCAAACTATAAGAACTTGAAATTCCTTATCCACAAAGTCAAGTTACAAATCAATAACAAACTATTTTTATGATCAATTTATCTTTTTTATTCAAAATACATATAATCTAATTGAATTACATGCATCTTCCAAAGTAAATATACAATAGTAATGTCATGGAATAATGAAATTATTTTTCAAATGAATGGTATTCAACCACAAATAAGAGTTATTTGTTTATTGATATTAAATATCATATTATAGTGAAAATATTGATATAAAATAGAGCTTGTATATCATATAGTAATTTAAATATTGATATCAAATATTGTTTGTACATCATTTAGTAATTTATATATTGCTCTTAAATATAGCCTGTATATACTGACAGTAATTTATATATTGATATGAAATATAGCCTGTATAACATATAGAAATTTATATACCATTGGAAATATAGCCTGTACATCATATAGTAATTTATATACCGATTAGAAATATAGCCTGTACATCATATAGTAATTTATATATTGATATGAAATATAACCTGTATATTATATAGAAATTTATATACCGATTTGAAATATATCCTGTACATCATATAGTAATTTACATATTGATATCAAATATAACCTGTACATCATATAGTAATTTAACGATTGATATCAAATATAACCTGTACATCATATAGTAATTTAATTATTGATATTAAATATAGCCTGTATATACTGACAGTAATTTATATATTGATATGAAATATAGCCTGTATATCATATAGAAATTTATATACCATTGGAAATATAGCCTGTACATCATATAGTAATTTATATACTGATTAAAAATATAGCCTGTACATCATATAGTAATTTACATATCAAATATAGCCTGTATATCACATAGTAAATTATATACCAATTTGAAATATAGCCTGTACATCCTATAGTAATTTACATATTGATATCAAATATAACCTGTACATCATATAGTAATTTATATATTGATATCAAATATAACTTGTACATCATATAGTAATTTATATATTGATTTGAAATATAGCCTGTACATCATATAATAATTGACATATTGATATCAAATATAGCCTGTACATCATATAGTAATTTAACGATTGATATCAAATATAACATGTACATCATATAGTAATTTACATATTGATATCAAATATAACCTGTACATCATATAGTAATTTATATATTGATATCAAATATAACCTGTACATCATATAGTAATTTACATATTGATATCAAATATAACCTGTACATCATATAGTAATTTAACGATTGATATCAAATATAACCTGTACATCATATAGTAATTTATATATTGATATCAAATATAACCTGTACATCATATAGTAATTTACATATTGATAGAAAAAAATAACCTGTACATCATACAGTAATTTATATATTGATATCAAATATAGCCTGTACATCATATAGTAATTGATATACTGATTTAAAATATAGCCTGTACATCATATAGTAATTTACATATCAAATATAGCCTGTATATCACATAGTAAATTGTATACCAATTTGAAATATAGCCTGTACATCATATAGTAATTTACATATTGATATCAAAAATAACCTGTACATCATATAGTAATCTATATATTGATATCAAATATAACCTGTACATGATATAGTAATTTACATATTGATATCAAATATAGTCTGTATATCATATAGTAATTTATATAACGATTTGAAATATAGCCTGTACATCATATAGTAATTTACATATCAAATATAGCCTGTATATCATATAGTAAATTATATACCAATTTGAAATATAGCCTGTACATCATATAGTAATTTACATATCAAATATAGCCTGTATATCATATAGTAAATTATATACCAATTTGAAATATAACCTGTACATCATATAGTAATTTAACGATTGATATCAAATATAACCTGTACATGATATAGTAATTTACATATTGATATCAAATATAGTCTGTATATAATATAGTAATTTATACAACGATTTGAAATATAGCCTGTACATCATATAGTAATTTACATATCAAATATAACATGTACATCATATAGTAATTTACATATTGATATCAAATATAACCTGTACATCATATAGTAATTTAACGATTGATATCAAATATAACCTGTACATCATATAGTAATTTACATATTGATATCAAATATAACCTGTACATCATATAGTAATTTATATATTGATATCAAATATAACTTGTACATCATATAGTAATTTATATATTGATTTGAAATATAGCCTGTACATCATATAATAATTTACATATTGATATCAAATATAGCCTGTACATCATATAGTAATGTAAAGATTGATATCAAATATAACATGTACATCATATAGTAATTTACATATTGATATCAAATATAACCTGTACATCATATAGTAATTTAACGATTGATATCAAATATAACCTGTACATCATATAGTAATTTATATATTGATTTGAAATATAGCCTGTACATCATATAATAATTTACATATTGATATCAAATATAGCCTGTCCATCATATAGTAATTTAACGATTGATATCAAATATAACATGTACATCATTTAGTAATTTACATATTGATATCAAATATAACCTGTACATCATATAGTAATTTAATGATTGATATCAAATATAACCTGTACATCATATAGTAATTGATATACCAATTTGAAATATAACCTGTACATCATTATAAACAAAGTCCTTATATTATACAGTAATAATTGATATTAAATATAGCTTAGATACATGTATAGGGATAAATATATTGACATTAAATAAAGCCAGAGAGTAAATGTAGTAGTATTATCATATAGTTATATAGTCTATATATCAGATAGTAAAGTAATTTATACATTGATATTAAATATTGCCAATATATCATACAACCTGTATATTATATAATAATTTATACATTGATATAAGATAATCGTGTAATGCTCAATAGCTTAGAATTCCAGGTTATGAACTCTTACCAATTTGATGGTATGTATGTACATAAAGGGCATATATATACCAAGGTAGAAAGCTCAGAGAATGTTTTCAGTGTTCTCATACATTTATAGTGAACCCAAAACACCATGCATTTATCACAGCCAATCTATAAAAAAAAAATAAACACAAAAGTCAACATTAAAATAATAAATTTAACAACCTATAAAAATCATGATTCTTAAATGTGAATGAGATATAGAATACTTTAAACACACAAAACCTCTAGATAGCTTTTTGAGTGCTGGTCTAAGCTGTTCTATCATAATTTAACATTTTAAAGAAACTGAGTACTTTTAAAACTGGAGGTGTATTAGTATGCAAGTATAAATGAAATGAAATTGAGTTTAATGTAATACTTTTCTGCACCAACAGGGCTAAGGAAGAAGCGGTATTATTATACTATAGGAAGTTTCTATTTCTTACAATGACTAAGCCACATGGGGTTCATGTAATGCGGCATCACAATATACATTCCTCCCCCTAAAGAGCACAAGAATGATTAATATTTCTTACCCACTGTATATTATTAACTTGACCTTTTGGATATTTTGTACTGCAGATTCTACAGATATCTGAAACGGTGCTTCCTGGAAAATCAAATGGCAAATTTCAAATGTAATCATGGAAACCAAGCTAAATAAAGTTATTTTCACACACAGAAATCTCCAGTGAAGTTAAATCAATGAAAAATAATTGGAGGCAAGTATCTAACTAAACGAGTTAATTGTTTTAGCAATATTTCAAATGCCTCAATAATTGAACTGAAACCGTCAAACTTGGTAAGTAGGCTATTTCTTTACATTTTGACATTTGGTTTGAAATTTGCATACTTAATGAACTTTTTTCCAGAAAACCCAGGTTTTCCTAATCAAGGAATTGAAATTTCTATTTAAAATTTTACAGCCAAATAGTGTGAGAAATATCTGACAAGATGATATCTTGGTTAGAGACACAATGTTTGGTAGAGGTTTTACACATCTCGAAATAAAATATAGGACTGTTTAACTTTAACCCTGTGTAGAACAATATCAGTATATCATTAAAATATAATGTAATACTAAAATAGAATTGCAAACAAATCTAGACAGATCAGAGATTTGTTCCAAAACTTACCTTGAATTTTAAAAATGGTTTTTAAAATTTCCATTCTATAAGTGGATAAATCATTATCAGTGACAGAAAATGACACTTCAAGTCCGCTAATTATCTTTTCAGCAAACTAGAAATAGATTATTTCATATTTTCAGATATTAAGATCGATAATTATAAACATGCTAGCAACATGCCTCAACCAATACAAATTTCTTCAGTTAAATATGTTTTATATTATCTGTACCTACAAAACCATAGTTGATAGAAATGATTGGCAAACATAATACAAACCTTTAGACATAGCACTCCACAAGAAATACTATCAGGCTGTTTGGGGTGAGGAATACCATTTACCACCCAACCATCAACAGTTGAACAAACTGATTCATTGATATTGATGAAATTTCTGAATAAAAAGGTAAGGTATATAAATAATGAACAAGAGGTACAAAGGTCTTAACTTCCCATTGATTCAAGAATACTTTGTGGGGACTACATGTCAACAATATGAATGCCATAACATTAAAAATCAATAGGATTCTTCTTATTTGTCTAATGAACATAAAAACTGTGTATAAATTTCAAGTTAATCAAATGATAACATTTGTCGCTAAAGTGTTTACAATATCCTACAATAAGTGCAAGAGTCATAAGTTATTAACGAAATTTGGTATGCTTTTACATATCACTAATCTAAACAATGCAAATAAACTTTATAAAGATCTGATGATAATGTAGTCTTTAGAGTGTTCACAAGAAATTTTCGACACTGACCAAAAGACGGGCAGGGGTGACAGCAATATACAACCATACTTTAATGTGGGTATACAAAAAGAGAATTTCTAAGTATATCTTGCCAAATCACAGTGGATTCATAATATACAAATGTGCAATATGACAGTATATGACAAAGATTTAAAGCCTAACAATTACTGGCTATGAACTGTCTACAAAAATTACCTCCAGTTCTGTAGTATTTCTTTTTTTGATCTTTCTAGCTCTCCCAATGGATCAACCAGTAGAATTGTTTTCGTGTTTATGTATATAACCTTAAATTGAAGCCGTGGAAATTCAATCACTTATACACAGTTAAAAATATAAAACTACATGCAAATAATATGTCTAGAAGTTTGCAAATTTTATGTTCAATACTGGAAGGGGTAGCTTTGTGATCACATGTATTTTCCCAGTCCAGTTCCTCCCTGTGGTTAATTTTGCAGATATAGAAGTGCCTAGACTGGAGCGTGAATTGTTAATTTAAGGTACAATTTGCATTGCACACAGAGAATAACCAAATATTTTATTGCAATAAAAAGAACATCGGATGTTGAGTAGACGGTAAGGTCAAAAAAGATGTACCGGGAATGATTTTAATGCAATGCTACCATCTGATATTTGCTAACACAATTTTAGTATGCATATCTATTGAAATTATCATTTGTTCATAACAAAAAGAAAGAAACATTAATCCCCAACTGGGGATCATCATTTCACAAACAAGACCTATTTTCTACGCTATTCATCTTAAGTGACAGATTGGCAACATGTACTCTGGACTATTTTAAACTACAACGGCAGTTGTCAAATGTCATCATTTTATCATCCAACTCTCTCTTTCTCACATACATTGAAGAATTACACCTCTATATCCGTTCTTGGAATATCAATTAGATTAGCGTTTCTAAGATTTTGAAATTTCAGATCCTAAAAGTTGGAAATGAACAAAATAACCAAAAAATATTGCAGTACTAATTAAACCAAAGTTTCAGTTAGTTGCAAGAGATTGGGATGAAACATATTATATCACATTTGAAATAGAATATTTTAGAACCTACTATTAGCATCCAGTGGTTGGAACCAATATTCAGTACACCAATTACTGTCTCGCCAACTATTTCCAACTGAAATTTCAAGAATAACAGTAATATAATTTAACGGTTATGTTTCCTAAAATATATGTTGCCAGGTAATGAAACATAGATCAACTAATAACCTCTGTCATCTAAGACTAAATACAAAACATAGATGAGGGCTTCTCTGGTCTCCAATGCACCAACTAGCAGCAAAGTCATCTGTGCTTGCGCTAAAATCAACAAAAACTAATCCAAGCACACTTTAAAGAAAAACCTGTGATTTACGATCAAAATATTCTAAATTTCTAGTGACCCCCCACCCTGTATACGTCAATGAACAGTCTACAATTGTATTTTATACACATATAATTCATTTTACCATTTCAATATCTAACTATAAAATTTAAACATGTCATATTTTCTATTTGAGCAAGAAAGTCAACAATATTTTGTTACCTCTGATACTGCAGCTTGTTGCCTGACATCAAATATCATTGACATCAATGTACACTTTAAATATTGGTAATTACTCTGTAATAATAAGCATTATGAAACAACAATTTTACATCTATTAAATTAGTGATAGAGTTTCTTAAACAGAAAATTAATCAGACATGTTATTACATCTACGTCAGAAATATTGATCAGAAGTTCAAGGTCTTATCATAACATTCTGGCACTACAGTCCGCACAATAAACAACAGAACTATAGTCTAATTGTTCTATTCCATTTTTTTTCTACATGGATTTTCTGTATACCAATAATAAATGGATATTGGAAAAAAGTGAAAAAAATATATACCTTTTGCTGCCTTATAATAGAGAACATGTATGCATCAATCACCTGCAATAAATCCAAATCCAAATCATATATCTGTGTAAATCTATCAAGCTTTATAGTGAATAATTATGATCAAAGAAATAATACCATATAAGCTAAATGTATTAAACTTTATAGACAGTAATGGCAAGTCTTTATGACATAAGCGAAATTGTAGTGGCAGCTAGCCAACAAGTGCAAACAAGTGTCATGTATTATAAAAAATTGACATCCTATTCAATTTTTCAAGTGATCATACACCAGATTTCTCAAAAGCAGCTCCATTATTTTCCTACCAGAAACATTTTCTGTGTTTGTCAAACAATGTTTCATCGATTAATTCTATTTCCCATTTTCCAAGGACCCAGATAATGAAATAAAATCACATTCATGACCAGGAATTGTGACCTCCAGAGTGTGCAAAAGGGCAGAATTTACATAGGGTACCTTAGATCAATAAATGCACGATTTTAAAGAATGATCAAGATTTGTCATCTTCGAACGAATTGGGTACATTTTTTGACAAGGGCAATAATCACTTCATTATGTAGATCATAATTCTTGGTGCACATTTTAAAAATGTTATGGAAATGCTTGTATCAAGCTAATAAAGCAATTCAGCTATTTAACAGTTAAGTGAATAATGACAAAAAAAATATATAAATATTTTAAATAAATAAATAAATAAATGACTACATAAAACATACTTATGCTATTTTTTAAAATATTACTAACCTCATCAGGTATCTTGTCCTTAGCAAAACGTATCGTGTTGGTATAGATATTAATATTTTCAATATTGAATAGTAGATGGTTTTCTCTAGTATTGTGTCTTTTCTGCCAAATACTATGTATATCTATATGTAAAAATATACATACAATTTAAGCACTCAAACATTTAAATATAAAATCAGAGCTTTGACAAGCATTTATTTGACATGATAGATAACTAAATATTCATTTAAAAGTGTTGAAATGTATACAATATATTCACAAAGGTTATAACTTTTACATGATTTTTCAGTTTACCTTTTATTATCAACCTCGCTGACCATACAAATAGCACAGAGAAGTCAAGCATCAGGAAAAGAGTAGGACATATTGGACTAGTGATATACAAATATAAACATGAAGCTTACGAACAATTATGCATCTAACTTCATTTTCCCCCCCATATGTTTAAGATAGGTTGCCAGGCAACAAAACATACGCCAACAGCAGCTAAGTCGTCCAAGCAATCCGCAAAGGTTGTCGCATATTTATTCTTTTGTGGATAATGGGAGCATTCATACGACACTAAAAACTGATCATGAGTAATAATCCATAAAGTAATTATCAGAAATAATTAAAATTTGATTGTATGTGTATAAATTTTAAGTCAATTGAATGATAACTTTAGGCTCTAGAGTGTCCACAAGATTATTCAAAAAATCAATTAAGCTTATTCACTCATAAGTTACCACTATGAAAGAAAACATTACATATCCTTAAAGAAAACACACGATAATAAATTGCAATCTTTAAATGTATTGCAAATTAAAACAATCTGATTAACTTATGAAGACTAAGAGATGTAACCTAAAGCATAAATAACTTTTTGAAAATATATTATAATTAAAATGTTAAAAACCATCAATTCAACCTGATAATATCCAATAACTATGAAAGTTTTACCTCTCTGTTACTAATTTGAACACTATCCAAATTGTTTTCCTTATTCACAGCTTAATATGCAAGCAAAATAACAATACATTCTGTTCACAGTTCTACAGTGTCATCCATTCAACAGCAATTCCCAATAATAATGCATTTTGTATACAGAACCTATATCTATAGTTGTTACTGACAAGTTAAAATTCCATTTCTAGATGTATAGTTCTTATCACAGATCTCTCTTAGTGACAGATTTAACTAATGGGTCCACACAATTTTAAAAAGTTATTAAGGGCAACAATTCCAAAAGCAATTATCAGCATCGTCAGCTTATGAACATAAACACTGTGTATAAATTTAAAGTCAATCAGATGATAACTGTGGTCTCTAGAGCATCTAGAAGATTGTGAAAACTGATCAAGGGCAATAACTTTGGCAGTGATTATTGGAAAATTGCTGAAAATGAATAGGATTCTTCGTCTCATGACCTTAAACACTGTGTCTTGGATGATTGTTTATGTGTGGTGCGGTCCTCCTGCACTTACTATTTAGACTGTAGACGGGTGACAACAATATAAAAATTGAACTTACATCTTTCTATATTCTCAGAGTTGTCACTGTAAATAAAATGAGATATTAGAGTGATTGAAAGACTTTTAACAGATGCTTTAATTTCTTAAATATATATGCTGACAGGACTGCTCTTTGAAGAAAATTGAATAATATATTAAAATATATTAAAATATAGATTGCCAGGCCATGCAAAATACAGCATCGAAATCGTCTCAACAGTCCATAAAGGTTTTCACTTGTGCATTTATAAAGAGTTAAGATCACCAACCCAAAAAGTAATTATTGGAAATCATTAAAATAGGTCTTTTCCTAGCGCCTACATAAACAATCAATTGATAAATAGTCGCTATCTGTAAAATCAATCATCAGAAAACAGGGAAATTAACAGAAAAATTGACAACAATAAATGTTGACATTTAAATGTACCAGTAAGTGTATACATGTAATAAGAATCAAATAAAGAACAACATCATTTAACTTGATTAGTTCTCTTGACTAGGCCTAATAATTGATGATGATGGGGATGATGATCATATGTTGATTACACACAAAAGAATATGGTAATTTTGTAAAAGGTAAAAGTTACTCAATAAATCGGTAAAACGATACATTTATGCAGATAAAATAAGCAAGATTGATTACAAATTAGGACTTCTGATATACTGACCTCATCTCGTACTCCTAAATTATTTCAAATATCATCTTTAATATACAACGGAGTAAAACATCGATCAGTGTGAAAAATTAACAGTAAAATTAAACTCAAATTAATAATAGTAAACTGACCTCATTTCTTCAGCATTAATTTCTTCAGCGTTAATTTCTTCAATTTCTTCAGCGTTAATTTCTTCTTCAGCGTTAATTTCTTCTTCAGCGTTAATTTCTTCAATTTCTTCAGCGTTAATTTCTTCAATTTCTTCAGCGTTCATTTCTTCTTCAGCGTTAATTTCTTCAATTTCTTCAGCGTTAATTTCATCACTTGGTGTAAGCTTATTTCTAAAAAAAATGAAAAAAGTTAGTTCAGATTTACTTCGCTTTAATGTAACCTCAATGGCATTTGAATCTAGTGTATTAATTATTATAATAGGGGCAGCCAATAAATTAGCTACTATGGTAGGTACAGGTAAGTAGAATATATAGGAGTGTGTCTGGAGCAAAAAAAGATATCCCATGGTTGTGGATAAAAGAAATGCTAGGTTAGTTCTGAGTTCATGAACTCTCATCAGTATATAATATTTTGATGTCATAACAAAAATATCCCTCTTTTCTACCCTATATTTCAGCAGTGGGCAAAGCTTAATTTGTCATTAAATTCTTCAGCCCGTTGTCAGTCAAAGGTCATCTGGTGATAACACAAAAATCATACAAACCTATTTGGTTTAATATTAAAATATTCCTGTGCTGATTTGATTAATTTAACCAATTGTTCCTTTTTTGCCCGTGGTTGTCCTCCTGTAAATATATATAAATTTACAAAATGTTCAAACATAAATAAATGTTTTCAAATCTCAATTAAGGGGCAAAGGGTTTTGTATGAATAGTGCAGGATTTGAATAATTCATGAGAATAAAACATCTATGTTTAAGTATCTTCATCTAAATTCATGTTACACTGTACTTCTGGAATGAGTTAACATCAAATTTTAAAGACACAGTAATATTAAGATGTGGAGGAATGCGGAAAAGTGTATTAGCACTGCAATTTCCAACACAATTTCTCTAGCTAAAGCTCAATTATAACATGCTTAAACGAAAAGAAGTGCTTTTCAAATAGTCAACCTTTTAAATGCTTCCAAGATGATCAACAGTATTTACTTCAACGTCTGTAAATTCATTTAAGAATTGAATGCTGTATTATATGGTTTATGGATATATAACATCACTTGGTCGCGAGGTTAAATTCAATAAACTCTCAAAATTCCAAACAAGTATGTGTACTTAAAAGCATTGATGTATTTAAACTAAGATTGTTTTCTAGTCAATATGCCTACTTATTATCATAATATTATTGATGTGGATTGGAAAGTGTTAGGACTGAGCTGTATGGTAATCATACTGGACAAAATACCTCTGACGTCACCACTGTGGTTCAGGGGCTGATATCTACAATTGCAACAGAGCAGGGATGCTATTTCGCCTGTATATGCCGGACATGTCCTATACTAGTTGGCAAACATCCGACTGGGAATATGTCCAATTGGACATCAAGATATGGTTAATAATATTCAAAATTCCAAAAAATATTGACTGTACTGAGGGTATAATTATTACTAATCTTGTTACTAATGTTGATTATCGGGTAACCCAACAAAAAAAATTGACCCGAAATCTTAAAAGGGTTACGTGTCCGGATAAGCAGTTTTGATGTTCACATTCAAACGACTATATATATTGGCGATTATTTTTCAGACTCTGTGCAAATCCAGATAGTCCCTTTAAGTGTGCGAATTCTCCTTCTATCTCTGATAAGGACGAGAAAGCGGAGGCCAGGGTGAAATGGCCAAAACTGACGATTCTTATTTTTAAATTTGTTGGCTTGATAGCGAACACTGAAATCTTGTCGGGGCGTCGTGTTTTATATTATTATAACAGATTTCTCATGTTATACCAATGGACTTAAATGTGAGTGTCTGGACAAAGTTCCACCTTTGCAAAGTTTCACCATAGAAATGATAAGTTAGGCCTATGTGGTTGTCTCAAAATGACCGAGTTAATCTGTCGACGAAACGTTTAACTCAATCATATTTCATTTTAAAAAAAAATGAGAGGACCATTAAGTAAGATTATAGTAACGGAGCTAGGAAACGGGGGGGCTTTGGACACATGCACATAGTCTAGGGTCGTTTGAATTCATCAATGTATTATTCTCCACATCTACACTTAATTTGGTAGACACAGCCTTTCAGGAATGTAGGGTTTGTGAGATTTGACTTTCCATTAACATGTACTAACACTTTAGCTGATGCATCTTTGTGGAATTTGTTTTGTATTTCTGCTTATGTTTTAAATAACCTTAAATAACCTTCAGAGTATTGGACTTCGCTGTTCACTCATTTAACATAGTAGAAATTGTGTACACAATGTTAATAATAAATTTATAGGGTCTAACATTGATAGTTTTTGAGACATTGACTGCTATTTTTTGATTGGTCAACTTTGACCTTTGACCCCGCCCCAAACATTTTCCCCAAGCGATCATGATGGGTCATTTTTTTCTGGAGTACCTACGGATCCCACCTTTCATTTGAGACCAAGTTTGCTTTGATGGGACTTTTTTCCAGGAAATAATCTAAATCCGGCAGGCTATACTTGTTAATTTCAGTAGTATTGAAATAAAAACTCTTTAAATAGTTTTCTATTTACACTGATAACCCAGTATTTTATAGATTCTATCTTTGTACTAACTGATTACAAAATTAACATACCTTTTGGGTGATTTAAAGAACAGAATGGGACATCAGTGATCCCCCACCATACTGGACAATTACTATCCTTATCAAAAAAATTTCTTCTTTGTTCTTTAGCTAAAAGATTCATAAATAGATATGTAAATTTGATTTCAAATAACACAAAGAAATAAAAATTCTTGATGGCAGACACCCACCCTTAAAACAATTAACACTGTTAATATATGGAATCATTTGATATCTAGTTTTATTTACATGCATCATCATTTTAAAACTCTCTCTAAACAGCTAAAAGAATCTCATTTTGAATAGTGGTCTGGAAATATTGTGAATTTTGACCAATTTCAGACAAACTAGGGTTATAACTCTGAAAACAGTAATAATTTGTGAAAACTATATTAATTAAAGGGGTCACACTGGTTATGAATTAATCAATATCTGAAAGTTTACTATTTTCAGCAGGACATTACTTATATGGACACCACAAACTGTAAATGTGGATGCATAATAAAAAGAACACCCATCAAAGAAATGATATGACGATTAACATCATGATGATTTTATTGTTTATTTTGGAAATCTTTACTCATCCACTTAAGGATTGAACTGTTACCAGATGGTGTTTATAGGCAATATGAATACCATCTGGGTGACAGGAAACTGGGTGACAGGTAAATAGAATGAAGTTTGCTAGGACTTCAGGATTATTTACCTGTCACCCAGATGGTATTCATACTGCCTATAACCACCATTTGGTAAAAGTTCAATGCTTATATTTATATTTCTCTTTTTCGGACTCATTTATTCTGTTATTATTATTCTATTTTAAATGAAAACATTCAAATTTCCCTCTGTAACCTTATTACGTCATCGTGATACATAATATAGTGTGTGGAAAAAGGAGAGAAAACCCCCCCCATAAATAATCAATGGACATAATATTTTATGTATCAATACTTTTTTGTATCAATTTAATTTAATAAAAGTTTGTCCAGTATATATTTTAATAATTTTAAAAGTAGTTCTGGAATGATGTGCATGTATTCTTACATCTGATCAGCTGACCAAATAGTATTCATAGCCTATATGAATACCATCTGGATTTACTGGTGTTAAATAGTGATATGAAATGCCAAATGTTAATATATACATATGGATATAATACAGCACTATATAATGCATATGACTGAGTAACTCACCATGTCAGTGATCCAGTACAATCCAACATCAACATCAACAATAAACTTTAAAGTAAAAACAAACTTTGTTTAAAAAAGATAACTCGTCATATTTAACATAAATCAAAGAATAACAACTGAAAATAAAAAATGTCAGTACTTGAACTTGAAACTTTGTTTCTCCTTCAAAACAGTCATTTAGGGCAGCATGCATATAGGGTACTTAACAATTAAAGATGCATTATGTAAGATGTAGACAAGGAGCTGACTATTCGTGCTATAATAGTTTAAAAATAGATAATGTAAAATGAAAATATTGAAAATTTCAGTCAAATTACTTTATTCTGGACGCAGTTATGAGCGGTTTGAAATTTTGACAAGAAATAGTGTAGTCTCGATTGCCAAAGCACTATATTTCCAAGATAATAAACTAAGTCTCGATTATCCACCAACTAACTGATAAGTGATTTAATTATTGAGTGGGCACGATGTTCTAATCTACTTAAAATCAGAGCCATCGGAAGATCTAGAGAGTTGATTATGGGCTTGTTATGTGAATAAATGTCTAAATAATAATTTATGTAACATTTGAAGCCAGAAATAAGATTTAATTCTTACATAATGCATCTTTAATAATAGAATATAATGTATGAGTCTATAAATATTGTTTGTTGAATGCTTCTCTTAGGGAGATAATAAACTAAGAACCATTTATTTTAGCTATAGTTTAAGTGTGTACACTATTATTCACACAAAGCTTTCATAAAGTAGTTTTTTAATCTTAACTATTTAATTAACATGTATGCACTTAACATGAATCTTATTCTAATAAAATATTGTTTAAATCAACATTATAAACTCATTTTTTTTTCAATAACAAAAGAAAAAACTGAAAGCAGGAAAAGTACAATTACAAATGACTTACTAGTAATGGCATCTGATTTTAAAAGTAAAGATGTGATGACCGATCGCATCTCATGCACATCCATCTCAGTCGCAGTTTTATTTAGATAGGTTGATACAGTTGTTTTCGGCATATAACTAGGCTCTGAAATATCAATTCAATTGGGACTGCAAAAAATTTAATAAGGATACCTGGATAAGGACAGAACTGATTACTTACTAATATCTAAATAACATTACTGTAATTTTAACAAATTCTAGTGGGCATGTTACCCATGCTGTAGTGATCAGAATTCGGCTAAATGTACTTTACAGCTACAGTACAACTGTTTACCTTGCAATCCCAAGATGATAATCAAAGTAAGAAAAAAATTAATAGAAATCTTGTGAATGTGATACAAAGTTCTCAAAGTAAGTCTTTAAAACGTGGTGAGATTGTTAATTGGGTCATATGGAAAAGCCATATTTAAATTATAGGATCATAAAGTTTGAAAGTTATTTTTCCCTTTCTACTTTTAAAGCTCAGTACAGCGTTTATTCAAAAAACTTTTAATAACCTACTCTGTGGAATTTGGGTGTGTTTGCTGTTTGTGGGCGTATAAGGGGCCTGAGAAGCCCGTTAATATTCTAACATCGCTAATGTTTTTCATGTCTCAGTAACTTCAGGCTTCAAAACCTGCCAAAGACGTCAATCTCTCAATTTACAGAAAACTCAGTAACACAGCCAGGCTATGGTATCAGATGAATACAGTAATATCTTGGCACATGTTGAGGATGCATAAAAGCATGATATTGAATAAATAATTTTATACAAACCATCACCAAAAAATTGTTGACTGTTTACTGCTTCTCGGTACAGCTCTACAACTTTCTCATTTTCATAAAATTTGCTCATCATTTTTGAGCTGCCTTCAAAAGAAAATAAATAATACTTGTCTAATTTCATGTAAATTATTAATCAATATTTAATTAAAAGACAGTTATTGCAGCTCATTGAACAAATTTGTAAGAGTAAGCTTACCAATCGTTTTTTTTTTCTGATCATACGTCATAATAGTCATTCAATCATTTCCATATCATTGACTGGGTAAGATAGGCGCTGGCTCGCTAACCAGGAGGTCCCATGTTCGATCCCGGTGATTGGCAGAGAAAGTTCCCCGGCATTTTCCAGCATTGTTTCTAGCAGAATGTACTTGTTTGGATGGGAAAAAAACGAAGGTCCTGTGTACACCTTGGCGTGCACGTAAAAGAACCTACGACAGTTGGAGTTCAATTGCTCTTCGGGGAAAATTTCCCTCATAGCACCCCGGATGTCCGTCTTTATTAGCTCGGTAAGAGCAGAAAAGTAGGACGTTAAAAACCCCATTTCATTCAGTGATTCATTCCTTATCATTTCATAAATATTGATGCAGCATTATTAGGTTCAGAGCAATGTTCTTGGTACTTTATCTGATGTGATCCTTATAATGGTGATTCACTAGAAACATGTACATGTTATTGAATCTGACACATAACTCATTTCGAAACAAAGAGTGAAAACAAATCTAAAGGAAGAAATTGAAATACATACCACAGCCAACATAATTGTTGTTTACCATGCCAATGCAAATGACATTGGCCGTTGGATTCTTGTCGTTGTATTTCTTAATCTACAAAATATGCTCAGAGTAATTAGAATTTCAATTAAACCAATAGTGCTAAAGACTGTTATAATTATATTTGAAAAACATGGTAGGTGTTGGTAATTGACCAGAAATATTAAATTTGTGGCAAAATTGACACTTGTTCCATTAGTTTTTGAGACCATTCTGCCCCCATTTAAATGAAATAATTGTGGGGTCCGCTGCACTTGGCTTGGGCATAAGGCATTGATGCCTATTCTCTGGTTCCTGACTCTGCAGACTATTGTCATGGGTGAATAATCAAATGTATATTAACCTTTAATTTCAAGGCTTTCCAAGCCTTAACAGATGACATCTTTTAATTAACTGAAAGATAAAATGTTTTAAAATGAAATAAACATGAAAATGGATTACATCTTATCATTATAAGGTCCATGTCAGATGGGACTATCAAATGGTATAATAGCTCAATATATGGTCTTTTTTTTCAAAGTTTAGGGTGAGTGAAAATAACTATGCATACAATTATAGGCAACAGGGTCCACACCAAATTTATACGTGAGTCTAAATCCTTATGATGAGCCAAAATCTAAAAAAAAAATCTAAAAAGAATTGATATGTAGAGCATTTACAAGATTTGTGGAGTGACGGAGGACGAACAGACGACTTACCACAGGGGTGATGACAATATATTCCCATGTGAAATGTGAGCATATAAAATGTATGGCAAGGTAGAGAAAACAGCAAATTTTAAGAAAAAGTTGGTATAGGGAGGGGAAGGTTGTCTTGACAGGGAAAAGTAGAAAAGGTAAGACCTCTTTAACCCTGTAAAACAATTAAAGCCCATTCAAAACTGCTACAGAGAACATCAAGATATTACATGGAATCATTATGGGCTTTGTACTAAAAAATTAAAACAGTTGAAGAGACCATCAACCTATCATATCTCCCAAGTAATAATTTAAACAGTTGATGAAACCATGTGCAATGTGCAATATGGTCTCCTGCATATGGTCTCATATATTAAAACAGTTGATAGGACCATTAAGGAACAATATGGTCTCCTGTATATGGTCTCATGCATCAAAACTGTTAAAGAGACCAGTAAGATATTACATGGTGTTGGGACCATCAGTGAACAATATGGTCTCATGTATCAAAACTGTTAAAGACCAGTAAAATATCATATGGTGTTATGTAATTAAAACAGTTGATGGGGCCATGAGTGAACAATATGGTCTCATGTATCAAAACTGTTAAAGAGACGAGTACGATATATTGTGTTATGTAATTAAAATAGTTGATGGGACCATCAATGAACTATATGGTCTCATGTTATGTAATTAAAACAGTTGATGTGACATGGTCTCATGTATCGTATCAAATCTGCAATATGATCTCATGTATAGGGTCTCTATTAGAACAGTTGATGGGACCATTAAGGAACAATATGATCTACTGTATATGGTCTCATGTATCAAAACTGTTAAAGACCAGTTAGATATTATATTGTGTTATGTAATTAAAACGGGTGATGAGACCATAAAGGTACAATACATGTATACACGTCTGAATAAAACTGTTAAAGAGACCATCATGTTATCATGTGGTCGTATGTATTAAAACTATTAAAAAGACCATCAAGGTACATTATGGTCTCTTGTGTTATAGGATATGGTCTCATGTAATTAAAACTGTTAAAGAGACCATCATGTTATCATGTGGTCGTATGTTAAAAGGTATCTTCTCATGTATTAAAACTATTAAAAAGACAATCAAGGTACATTATGGTCTCTTGTGTTATAGGATATGGTCTCATGTAATTAAAACTGTTAAAGAGACCATCATGTTATCATGTGGTCGTATGTTAAAGGGTATGGTCTCATGTATTAAAACTATTAAAAGGACCATCAAGGTACATTATGGTCTCTTGTGTTATAGGATATGGTCTCATGTAATTAAAACTGTTAAAGAGACCATCATGTTATCATGTGGTCGTATGTTAAAGGGTATGGTCTCATGTATTAAAACTATTAAAAGGACCATCAAGGTACATTATGGTCTCTTGTGTTATAGGATATGGTCTCATGTAATTAAAACTGTTAAAGAGACCACCAAGTTATCATGTGGTCGTATGTTAAAGGGTATGGTCTCATGTATTAAAACTATTAAAAGGACCATCAAGGTACATTATGGTCTCTTGTGTTATAGGATATAGTCTCATGTAATTAAAACTGTTAAAGAGACCATCATGTTATCATGTGGTCGTATGTTAAAGGGTATGGTCTCATGTATTAAAACTATTAAAAAGACCATCAAGGTACATTATGGTCTCTTGTGTTATAGGATATGGTCTCATGTAATTAAAACTGTTAAAGAGACCATCATGTTATCATGTGGTCGTATGTTAAAGAGTATGGTCTCATGTATTAAAACTATTAAAAAGACCAACCTAGGTACATTATCATTATGGGCTCAAGTGTTATAGGAAAAGGACCCATGTACATTAAAACTGTTCAAGATATCATCAAGGTCTTATGTTATAGGATGTGGTCTCATGTATTAACACTGAAAGATCTGCAAGGTATTATAATAAAAATTTTCATGCCTGTAAATACAATCTATACTTTTATGTTCTAACATACGTTTATAGGCTTTACCACCATTATGTCTAACATATAAGTTATAATTGTAGGCTATCCCATTCCCTGTACACTGTGTAACATTTTACTTTTTAGTTGGAGATTTGAGTTCCAGCACGAGCGATTTGTTATTTCAAAATAAGCCAGTAATGTAAAGTCACTCACTGGTTTCACCCTGTTCATTCAGAATAATTAAATATCAGTGCCTTCTTTTCTCGTTGATGTTTAACGTCGGATAAATAGTAAAATATCTCAAATAATACTTATTTATTTATGTTTTGAAATAACCCGCGAGGATCCGCAGATATAACTACTTCTCACATCCGATTGGTTAAAAAGCATAAACCCCGCCCCTAAAGCATAAACCCCGCCCCTTTTCGTCCCTATCGGACCATGGTCTCTGGGCTATTTTCCATCCAGTTTAATACCTCGTAGCGCCCTTGTGCACAGGTTTAATATTTTTGATATACACTTAGATACCCCCCCCCCCCCCGCGCGAAGTAGTGTCGCCCCGGGCATATACCCCCACCCCCTCTGCCTCCTCCCATGTGAGGGCCCTGAAAAGTTGTAACGTTTCCAAAATTAAAAAAAATACTACTAGTAATAGCATGACTTTAGTTAAAGGTGCATTATGTAAGATTTTGAACAAAGAGCTGGTATTTCTTGCTAATTAGTTCAAAAATAGATAATAAGAAATGAATATATTTAAAATTTCAGTCAAATAATTTAATGTTTATCAAATGGCGAAGGTGTTCAAAAATATATATAACATTTGAAGCTAGAATATTTTAATTTATTATCTAGTTTTTTGAATTATCAGATATTCTCTTACAGCCTCGCATAAAAACTTTTGGTCTTCGATAGAATTATCAGTGAGCAGAAATTCGCCCGTTTATCTGTTAGCACTCGTCCCTTCACAGTCAGTTATATAGAAGGATAACTCGTGTTTTCGTTTTGCGTTCGTCACTTCCCTTTCTTGAAATCTTCATACGGCATCTATCGTAGCAATGATCTTTGTGTTAAAATTATATCTGGAACGTGTTTAACCAGTTCTATCACATATACTATTCAAAAAAAGTAGGGGATATTTGATTTTGGGGGCATAATACTAAAATATGCAAATGACTACGAAAAAAGTCACTATAGAACCTAACAGAAGAAACATTTCCAGTTACATGTGACGCCCAAACGCACCAATAGCTACCGCATGGAATGCAGGTGATGCTTGGGATCATCATGGGGGTCCAACCCAAGATTTGCACGACTCTGACTTTGAATGTTACAGTCATTGTGGCATTGAATTCCAGGGTGGAAACATCAGTTTAATTGTTTTAGTGACCAGAAAACAAATTTTGATATGCGTCGGCTTACCCAAAATGAAAGGTTACGTGCCCTTGGCATGCTACAGATCGGCACAACACAGGCGGTTGTGGAGCGGACGATGAATGTTTCTCAGTCTGTCATAAGCAGGCTATGGTCCAGATACCGTGATACACAATCTGTACAGGACAGACCACGCTCAGGTCGACCAAGGGCGACAACTCAAGCCCAGGATCGATTTATCCGTACCTTGGCCTTGAGAAATCGTGTCATCACAGCAAATCAGATCAGCGCTCGTCTTCAAACAGACACTGGTGTGCACTGAAAAAAAACTTGTGTTGGATCTCAACACAAGTACTTGTGTGAAAATTATTCTACACAAGTTATGTGTTGTTTTTCATTGCATTAACACAAACTTGTGTTCTTTTTAATGCATTAACACAAATCTTGTGTTTTTTCCATATAATTAACACAAGTAATGTGTACCGTCAACAAATTTTTTTTTTTTAAATTTGAACTCCATACAAAGTCTTAATCCGGGGTCCACAAGTAAGAGAAAGGTATTTTTTACTCAGACAATATAGCCAGACAGACTTGAATGCTAATTGGTGTTAAGATGTCTGTAGTTAAAATAAAGTTGGGCCCAATAAACTGGTAGATCAAAGGCCTGTTGAGCGCTCATGCCCGGTGTGATTTTAACAATTGACTCCAAATGCGTTGACAAGAAAATAAGTAAAACTGTTATTGAATGTGATTGGTTGATAAAATCAACGTACTATAGGCTACATTTTGTCTGCGATATCATCTCGGTGGAAGCGGACATTAAATGAAGTGATTTCACACAATTAATTTAACATTTAACAACGTGCTGAAATGATTTTGGAGCAGTGATATGTTTGACAAATGTAAGCTAATGGTCACATAGAATACAAGACCGCAGGTTTGTGAATATTTATATAAAAAAAATAATACCATGTATGTAATTTAGCATCGATATTGTTTCTCTGTATAATGTTAGTATTTTGTTCCTTAAAAAAAACTCCAACAATTGAAACCGGAAGTTCATGTTTATAATATGGCGCGGTCAGGAAAAAAATTTCGGCATGTTATTATCAAATCTGTTCAATTTTTCTGAAATCATGCTTAATTAACATTAGTTGTTCGGCGCTACGATGTTGTTCAAATACTTACATTACAGAATCACATTATGATTAAAGCAGAAACGGCTCGACTTGAACCAGCAGGTAAGAATCTGTTTTGAAATTATATCTTGGGAGGTTGGATTGGCGTTGGAGACCCGATTGGCGGCCATTTTGATTCTTGTTTCATGATTTTTTTATATTATAACGATTTTGCCAAGAGTAGACATTAACGCGGGCACAGACTAGAAAAAAATCTTTTTACACTTTTGTGTTAGTTGAATTGTAATCTAATTTATGTTTAAAAAAACAACCTTAAATCTAATAAGCAGACGGAAGATATGGACGAACAACAAGAAGAAGTTATGGAGGTCCCAACAACTGAACCTATGGAAGTAGAAGAATCGTTTACAGCCGAAACCCGATACGATGTGCCAGTTCCGGTCATGGAGTCCTCCATCTCAGACGATGCCGACGTTAGTGTCTTCTGCGACGAAGAACCCGTAGTGGTGTATACGCAGGTAGAAGCTGGTTCCTCCCGTGGCAAGTCCAAGTTGTTTGACAACCATAAGGGTTTAGTTATACAATTAAGGTAGGGTGATTTATTTTACCTAGTTAACTACCTTGTATAGAAATGTATTTCAGCTACAAAATGTATAGATAATTAACTCTAGTTAACCCTATAATAATAAATGAATTTAATATATTTTAGACAGAGAAGAAAACTACGATTTGGAGGTGTTCCATCTTCACCCAGCAGAACCCGGTATACACACGGCTACCAAGATAAAAGTTACAGTAGGTTTAAAAATATATATCAATTAAATTAAAAATTTATATATGTGTGTAAATAAATAAAATATAAATAAACCAATAATATATTTGTAGTTTAATATGTTTTATCTTATCATTACAGGCAAAGCATGAAGCCAAAGGAAATGTTTTTACCAAGTCATGTTCCTCAATAGCGGAGAGAGTTTTATCCAGTGTCGGTTCTGCAGAAGAACCCATTCATAGCAGACCACCCATGACAGCACTTGTAAGGTCGCTACAAAAGGCTAATGTGACATAGAACAAGGTCACATTGATGTTTACAAATACGTAAGACGATATGAACATCAACTAAAAAGATATGTAATGTGATTCAGCTGTAAGGTGAGACAAGTCTGAAAAGGCTAATGTGACATAGAACAAGGTCACATTGATGTTGACAAATACGTAAGACGATATGAACATCAACTAAAAAGATATGTAATGTGATTCAGCTGTAAGGTGATATATGCATATATGCAGCATAGATAATTAAAACTTCTATTCAAGTTAAACCAACTGTATCTATTTATTTAAGTCTTACGTCGAGCTGAATACATTTTATGATTTATTGTCATCTATTGGTGGTTAACAGTGTGTAACTAAAAACTAAAATTGGATCTTATTTTTGCCCAGTGTATAAATATTTTTTGTTCAGTCTGTACACAGTAACATATCTGAGAACCATATTATTATCATTTCTGCCCAAGACTCCCTGTGCCTTATAGTTAGAAGTGATACAAGGCAATTACCAATTTTCCATGTTCTTGGCCTGAAGAAATAAAATAATAAAAGTCAAGTTTTTATTATTATGCAAGTGGAAAAATACAATTATTATTTGGTCAGTTTGTCCGCCCGCCATATTTCTATTAGTCACACATCCTTCGGCCAATTAAAATGGACGTATATTTTGTTTTAACCGAATCGAAAAATTTGCGTTATAAATAGTTAACGAGCTTGATTGACCGACCACTGCTAATGTTTTTTCGGTGTGTCCTCACTGTGCCCACTTTTGATTAATCCAATTAAGGTCTAATTAGGATTAGTGGATTAAGCGGATTAGGATTAGGTGTTATAGGTAATTAGATGGAAAAAAAACCCAAATATTTTATGTAATTTTTTTTTTATTTTTCGATGTTTTATATATATTTAATAAAAATATAACATACATGGATATATCATACATCACATTAGCAGTTTATAATTTAATGAAAATATAACAATTTTCGATGTTTTATATATACAATATTTAATAAAAATATAACATACATGGATATATCATACATCACATTAGCACTTTATAATTTAATGAAAATATAACAATTTTCGATGTTTTATATATAAAATATGTAATAAAAATATAACATACATGGATATATCATACATCACATTAGCACTTTATAATTTAATGAAAATATAACAATTTTCGATGTTTTATATATAAAATATGCAATAAAAGTATAACATACATGGGTATATCATACATCACACAAAAACAAGATAAACAATGAAAATTTACAATGTAGTTAAACGGGCTACGCCATCGGCATACTCGAATACAGTCTTTATACCGTTCTGAAGATCTGTTTTCAGAGTTTGGAGTCGGGTTTCTAGTTGCCTGTACTTTCTTCTCTTAGGCCGTAATTTTCCGTTGGCACCTAACTGGAGAATGGTTACTTCGGAGTAAGCTTATTCATTCTTAAAAAAAGCCACCAACTTAAAAATATTTGGGTGAGGGGTGGCAATAATGGATGTTATCTTGGAATGCCATCCTTCAACATGGTTCGTTGTGCGTGGACCTTCAGTGTGGAAATGGTTCCACATCATTCTGCCATGCTGCCCCTCCACCCAGAACTCGGTTACGTAATCTGCAAATTGCAACACTCTGGCATCTTGGAGTGGTGCATCATCAAGGGCATGCAGCCATACATCTTCAACCTGCTGTATTGGAATTAATGGTAATGCTGCTGCTTGCTTGACGATTTTATTGATTTCTGGCACCCGAGAAAAATCTGCTTGTAGTCCATATTTCTGCGCATTGCGCCAAATACACTGACCAAAGTGAAAAAAACAACCTTTTAGTTCTGACCTCGGCAACACAGTTCTCACAGCATTTTGCATACTAACTTCGAAATCTGTAAACACATGGCCTGGGTTAAGATTAACATTGACAAGTGCCAATGTTTTGTCTCTAACACATCTGAGGAACTCAACATATGTTGCCTCCTTCTTATCGGGTAATAGTGCATACACCAAAGGGAACATTTTATTGTGTACAAAGGCATGTATAGTGTAGATCTGGGTGAATAAGGTAGGACTCATGCTAAATGTTCCATCACAGTATATAGTGTCTGCATTGGCGAGATGGTAAAGATTTTCTTGTGTGGAAAACACTAGAAACCTGTTGTCGGCTGCTGCGTGGAGAAGGAAGTCGTCTCCGGATGTGGTCTTGGTGTAAGAATCTGGAAGCTGGATATCGTTGCGGGTCTGAGGAAGTGCTGGGAGGATCTTTGCTCGGGCTCTATACAGGGAAGCACAGCAACTATAGAATGTTGGAATCTCTCTGATCATCTCACCTGAGTCACGGTCAGATCGAAGGGCTGTAAACAAACAAAAAGAAAATATTTATTATACATATTATTATATCATTAATACTCGACCAGACACTCGATTGGTTTGTTACGGAAGAACATGTTCAGTATGCTTTAACGTTGAATCATTTAAATCAACGGCACACAACATTAGAGATAAATACATACCTGATACTTCTTCTTGATAGATGGCACAGACTGGTTTGGTTTCCTCTTGCACCTTGGTTTTCATGGCAACGAGAAATTTGTCGACTGCCACCTTGTGTGGGTTAGCAACATGGTTGTGGTTTCTTGAATATTTGGTAATAAAGCCTTGGTGGGTGTTCGGGATTTCTGGACAACCTTTTATACAACATCTCCAGTATACTCGTTCTGCCTTCCTATTCTTCACTCGGAATTTGTATTCTTATGGACTAAGTTTTCTCCACCTTGAGCATTGGGGATGTACTGGATGTTTACTTGAACGTTTGCCATGATGAAATATGACAGACTGACTTCTGTGTGTCCTTATAAAGACCGTGTAATGTGTAGGCTTACTGAACATAATTCATATTATATTCAAGTGTCATTTTTTGAATAAAATTCATCACTTTAACGATTACAGTGAGTTCATCTCACCAATTATAAGACTGAATATTTAGTCACTTTCAATATTTGTTTTTTTCCATCTAATTACCTATAACACCTAATCCTAACCCGCTTAATACACTAATCCTAATTAGACCTTAATTGGATTAATCGAAAGTGTGCACAGTGAGATGTAACCGTTTTTTCGTGAAACGGTATAACTGCAATCAACACACGGCCGCCATTCTCGATGATTGACAACTCACGTTTTTCCTCATCCACCAAAGAACCGTTAGGTTTCTTTGAACATACTGTAATAACATTGGGATTATCAGTTAATCAGCTTTAATTATCCCGCTTTGTTCGTTGCCATTTCTTATATTTTCCACAAAAAAACTTTGCCTTGTACGCACTAATTTATCAATTGGTATTGCCATCTACGACAAGCATGTCACCGTGCAGCTCACGGATTATCGTTAACAATTTCTAGGGGCTTGTAAAAAAAAGATTGCATGTCGTGTAAATATTTATTTTGTTTTTTGTGTAGGTCATTTTCAAATAAATTCATCAGCATATTATTCGTTTTAAATAAATATAAAACTTTTATGAGAAACGATGATTATCAAAGAACCGTAAGTGCAACTAATGTTTTATCGTTTGGTTGAGCCTTTTACTAACCACGTGTTTCATGTTAATAAATATTTTCTTTCGTGTTTTGAATTGGCCTATTTCTAATAAATTATCCCGAGTCCCAAACGTCGTTAACGGTTAACCCGAGTCCCAAACGACATTTTTACCAAAGTCCCAAACGTCGTATACCCGAGTCCCAAATGTCGTGGTCATATTTTTTTGAGTCCCAAATGACGCGAGTCCCAAATGACATGTAATCCGTTGTTCAACCTCTGTGAGTCTGTGTAATATTTAATATTAGGCCCCATTTTTGCCTGATTCAGTCACAGTTAATAAATAATGGAACTAGAATCAGCCTGTGGAAGTTTCTCTATAGTTTTATTATTTTTTCCAGTCAATGATGATATGTGACTCTTTCCACCTTCCAGCAATAATTATTGAGAATTTACCAAGGACTCCATTGGCATTGAATCGAAGAAAAACAGGTAAAAATTTCAATTAATTTTTATATTTTCTATTTTTTTTTTACCAATGTCCTACAATGATTAGTGTATGTGAACATACAATCCAAAATAAAGTATTTATATGGCACTTACATGCAACAGAGAGAGAGAGAGAGAGAGAGAGAGAGAGAGAGAAATGACATAAACAAGGCCTTACATGTACTTGTATTTGAAGAATCAAGTAGTCCATGCTGTGCCTATATGCATACCGGTAATCAACTACGACGAGGATTAGCCTACTTCCGTTTCCACCCTTTCCCTGCACACTGTCTCATTCTACATGTATTAAAAATTGGTATGTTAGTGTAATATTAATTATGCACGAACCTACATGTAGAGTTGTTGCAAGATGGGTCCTTATATCTACTTAGCCTACAGACGCTAGGTCGTTTCGGGAAAAAGGACAGGTAAGGTTAAATTTAATATGAATAATTCGCTTGCGGGTATGGGCATTTAGCAAAAGGAGGAAACAAAAGGACCCAGAGATCAGAGAAGGTATGCTTCAATTTAATATGAATAATTCGCTTGGCGTAGGGGTACATGTATTTAGAAAACGGAGGAAACCGAATGACCCAGCGAAAAAACTCAAGAGATTGGACAGGCTACTCTACTCCTTGAAATTGAAACCATGCCACTTAACACAATGACAGACCCTGTGATTTCATGCGCATGCATTACCTACTAGACCATTCCCCCCAGCCCCACCCCATATCGAATAAAAGTATGACTTATTTCAAATATGATATTTACATATAAAGAAAGTAGAGAGACTTCAATCTTACTAGAAAAATACTAGATTACCTGAAATGAAATGGGGTTTAAAGACAACGTCCTACTGGTCAGCTCCGACTGGTCTAATGCATTGTGCTAAGTGAAAATGTTTGTCTGGGCAGCGACACTATGGCCTACTCTCATACCGAATTCAAACTGCCAAGAGAACTTTTATGTGTACGCCAATGTGTACATTGGATCTCAGGGGAAACCACTCTGCAAAATCAAGATGAGCTTTCTCGGTCAACCCCAAGAGATAACCTGTGGCCTCCATGCTAGTGTGCCAGCACCTAATTTACTCAGTCACCATGGCCGTCTTCTAATTACTGCGACAGTTAAACCATGTGACAAACAAGGATTATTAAGATAAACTTTTACGGCTTAGGTAGTTCCTTGGGATTAAAACTTTTGATACATATAGATACATTAGTTTCAATTTCATATCACACAGTTTGTATATATGGTAAGGTAGCTTTAATCGTAAATTACATATCATGTATTTATTTTTTCAGTTTCAATATTGGATGTATATGCAAATCACCCAGAAAAAGATCATGTAATAACAAAAGAAATTATAAAAGAAAAAAATGGAAGAAGAAATGGCTGGAAAAAATGATGATAGAGCAGCTTTTTCTTGGTGGGTAACTATTCAATTCTAATAGAAAAGATTGTTATGCTATTTTGAAATCTAAAATTCAGTTTAGTATAGTAAAACTGTACACGTCATGTATGAGCAGAGACAGAATCTTAGTTATATGTAGATATCACTGTCTCATCTGTGGCAAAGCAAACCAACACATGAAACAAAACAAATGTAATTAAATTAACATTTTTTTAATTAATCAAAACTGTCTAGTCAATTTAAGCCAACTAATACATTGCCATTTTTTTTTTTCAGTTACCCACCTCGGAAGATCAAGTTGGAATGGGCTATTGATATTGTGGAGACGTTTTCTCACAGATCTTGCTTATCAGACAAAGACTATGTAAGTACCATGCATATTTGCTTTTTAAATCAGGAACTGGTTCTATACACTTGGTGGGGGGGGGGGGTTGGATGGACGTTAAACCCCATTTCTCTCTCTCTCTCCTAAATATTGAGATTTTTGTTTACTTTTAAACTGCAATTATTCAAGGTATCAGGAGCTTTTTATGGCTCCCGTACAATTTTATAAACATGAAGGACTGTACCTTTTGAATATTAAGCCATCAAATTATTTTATAATTTTGAAAATGAAATGAAATGGGGTTTAACATCCTACTGTTTTGCTCATAAATTGGGCTAATGAAGACGGGCATACGCCATACAGTGTGCTATGAAGGGAATTTTGCCCGGGCAGCGGCGCTACAGCCTACTCTTATATCGAATTCCAATTGCCAAGGAATCTTTTACGTGCACGCCAATGTGTACACGGGACCTCGGTTTTTCGTCCCATCCGAACGATTAGACAGCTGTCCTTGTCAGGTCCTCCGTCCTGTATCACTGACAAGGGGAAAACACGCAAAATGTAAGTAACATATATATTTGTATTTTTAATCAGGAAGTACTTCTATACACTTGCTTGGTAATCTAGTTATTCTTCTTGGGGCTATGCCTAGGACTCTGCTGTTTCAAGTACTTGGCATGCTTGATTTTTGCCAATCACATCCATTGATTTCCTTCAAGTTGTGATAGGCCCTACATGTATGTGTATTTTTACAGTAAATAGCAGTAAAATAATGATGGACAGTATTTTACTTTCAAATAGATTTCAATAGATTTTAAAGGGTAATATCCAATTTGTTGTCAATGGAAATAAAATAAGAATGGGTCCAAAAATAATTAGACATTGCCAAGTAAATAGGTGCTGCCATGATGTAGTAGGGAATCTGGATTTGCAGACAATACATGTATGAAAGGGTGAATAGTTGACCTATTATGAGACTACAGTCCCAAATCTCAAGACTTTTTTCTGACTTCTAACTCATTTGATTTGAGCATAATAATCTGCCTGGGTCTGTAACTGGACAAGACACAATAAGCGTTACGCAAAGTTGAAACCAAATAGAGACTCGGTCTCGATGTGGCAAAATAAATTGTTTATTTAAACGTTGTGAACCATAGAAAGTATTCTTATTGCCTACTTTTTATTTTTTAGGCTGGAACACCATTGAAAGAGTATTTGCTGTATGATAACAACAAGAAAACCCAAGCATCAATTTATTTTATACTTCTGGGAAAGAATGCATTTGACCCAATTTTTAAATATTTTTTTTTTGTTATTAATGTTAAATTTTCTTCCAAAACACAATTAGATTTTAATTCTCTTCAGAAATGTATGTATAATATAGCAAGTAAAGTGACATATAAATCACTTAGAATTTGGTCAGAAATCATAAAGTATTTAATAGACATTACTAGAAACCAAATGTAGATCAAATACACCCAGAATTACAAAAAACCTTGACCTACATAAAGGTGACTTTCCCTTGCTTATGAAATGAAATACGGTTTAGTATCCTACTTTTCTGTGTTCTTAGAGTGATTCTGCCCTACACCCTACTCTTATATCAAATATTTCAACTGTCAAGGGTTCTTTAACGGGAACCCGGGGGGGGGGGGGCAATGATTAACACGCACACATTTGATCAGGAAGTCTGTCATTGAGTCAAATAATTCAATTGTCAAGGGTTCTTCTAAGTGAACGCAGTGGGGATGGTTTCGTTTCCGGAAATGGGGGAGGGGGTGGTGGATGGCCGAATGGTAACCATGTGCGTGCGGTATCATATGGCCTGTCATTGAGTCAACTGGCGTGGTTTCGAATCCCCGGTTGTACGTGACAAGGAGTAGGGTCGCCTGTCCAATCTTGTGGGTTTTCTCCGGGACCTCCGGTTTCATCCCACTGCTAAAGACCCCTATGCGCAACGAATTATTGAAATAAAATTAAACCATATGTTAATCCCGAAATGACCTAGTTTGTGTCAAGTGGACGTTAAACCCCATTTCTCTCTCTCTCTCTTTCGATTCCGGGCTTGTACCCAATTATCCCTTGCCATATCCAACACTACTGACAAGTGGGAACTATGCCGGAAAATCCAGTTGAAATTTCTCGGCCAACACCTTATACTCACTGAACCACTGTGGCTTATGACTTGTGATTGTATATAAATTTTTTGTACATATGATATTTTTTTATTTCAATCCTGTAATCTTGATGCTTTGCTTCTTTTATTTACAAAATATTCATTTTGTTTGGGGTTTTTTTAATGAGGAAAAGGTTTTACATCATTTTATTACTCCTGCAAAATAGTGCATTTTTCATTTGTTAGTTTTCTGTGTATATTAGTTATTTCTATATGTCTCACAAATCACTTGTAGTGTGATTTTGTGGCACTTTTCAGTTTTTGAAATTGTTTCAATTTAGTGCATAATTAATCTTAGTGCTTGGTTTGGATGTTATTAAATTTAGATATTATTTGAATTATATATTTTGGAGTATGGGGTAGGGATACTGTGTACATATCTTTATATTCTCAGTTCTTGTTTTGGGGTAAAGAACAATTTATATAGCTATTTTATATTTTGTGATAGGTAAAGTGTGTGGGGTTAAGAACAATTTAAATAGCTATGTTATATTTTGTGATGGGTAAAATGGGGTGTGTGTGTGTGTGTTTGGTGGGGGGGGGGGGGGGTCATTATATATAACACAATATAATTAGTATTAGAATTCTCTGTTTTTCTGTTAACATTTCAAATATCTATTTAGTTTTGATGTATTAATTTACTTTTTCCTATGATTTTATGAATAAATAATAATCTTACAAAAACAAAAAAAAATTTTGTTTCCTTCTTTTATCAAACTTTACAGGTCTAACAGAGCAAAGAGATGGGTCCTGCATAAAAAGGTTGCTATACTGTATATAAATTGGGGAAAAACACAACACAAGTTTTTGTTGTTTCAACACAAGTTTTTTTTACAGTGTGAGAGTGAGTGGCCAGACGATTCGGAATCGACTGCATAGGGGTCACCTTCGCGCCCGACGTCCTCGCGTGATCCCTTGTTTGAGAGATCATCACATTCAGGCAAGACGTCGTTGGTGTAGGGATCGTCAACACTGGGATAATCGACGCTGGAGCAATGTGATGTTTTCAGATGAGTCAAGGTTCACTGTTGATTTTTTGGACAGACGTAGGAGGGTGTGGCGTCGTCGAAACGAGCGCTTCCAAGACGTTAACGTCATCAGACATGATCGATTTGGGGGTGGTTCTGTTATGGTGTGGGGAGGCATCACTGTTGCTGGAAGAACGGCTTTACATGTTGTTGCAGGGCGTGTTACAGGCCAGTACTACCGGGACAACATCTTGGCAGTCCATGTTGTGCCGTTCGCACGACGTCATGGCCGCCGTTTCATCTTCCAGGATGACAACGCAAGATGTCACAGGGCCAGGATCGTTACAGGTTACCTCCAACAACAGAACATCACCACATTACCTTGGCCAGCACTGAGTCCCGACCTCTCCCCCATCGAGCATGTCTGGGACATGCTTGGACAGAGGTTACGTCAACGTCAACAACGTCCTGCCAATGTCCAAGAACTTGCTGCTGCGTTGCAACAGGAATGGGACAATCTGGACCAAAATGACCTTAGACGTCTCATTAGGAGTATGCCACGTCGGATCAATGCTTGTTTGGCAAACAGAGGAGGATTTACCCGTTACTGACTTGGTTGTGATGCTGTGGTAACTTTGCTGTTTGACCCCGGGTATCATTTTACCCTTATAATGGTCAGTCTGTGCCTTACTTAGTCTAACGATCATTTGGAATAAATCGATGAATGTGAACTTCATTTCATTTTGTCATTTGTTTCTTCGTCAGTTTCATTAGGTGACTTTAATAACACTTAAAAATCAAATATCCCCTACTTTTTTTGAATAGTATATGTGACAATGACTGACACAAATATTGTCCTTTAATGCAAATGTAATTAGCGCCTTTTTTGCAGCGTTTGTTGTTTTTTTTTTGGTTTTTTTTTTGTTTTTTTTTTCCTTTTCTTCTTTTTTCTTTCTGCCAAATCAGGTGTTTATTTTCATTCGCAGATCATGAGAACATGGTGTATGTTAGTGTTATTACAAAAAGGCGGTTATTGAACGGAAACAATGTCAGTCTCTCCGTTGTATTTTCCATTCGTAATTTGTACTTTTCGCGAAAGTCGAAAATTAGAAGTTACGACAAAACGTGAGGTGACAGCACGCTACATTAGCCAAAATCGACTCGAAAATAAGAAATTAAGAAATAAAGACACCGCAATAATAGCGCCCTTCGTTTTGTCGTGACTTCTACTTTTTGACTTGCAATTTGGCTTGTCTAGCGTGATGCTGACTTTCGACTTAATCATATTTTTGTATTTATTCATGTCAGTAATAAGATACCAACATGTATACTAAGTCAAAATGCAACCCGAAAAGTATAAATTAGGAAATTAATAAATCGCGATATTAGCGACCTATAATTTTGGCTTGCTGTCGTGCTGTCGACTTTTCAAGTTTTGCCCTGGAAGTTGCTGTAGTCTCCACATTCCAGGTCACATTTGAATACGTGCGATTCACGTTAAGAAAATGTGATAAAGACTAGCATTGGCATTGATGGCGATATTAGCCTCATCATTTTGGCTTGCTTTCGTGCTGTCGACTTTTCGAGTTTCGTCTCGGAAGTTGTTGTCCACATTCCACGTCACATTTGAAAACACCCCGTATTGGTGGCGGTCATTTACGAAAATGGTAATAATATTATCCCGATCAAGATTATCGGTATGTAAATTTATATTATAATAAATGGGCGCCATCAATACTTGACTTTATCACATAGACCATTCTGTTAACGCGTACTGAAGGGACAAAAAGTGGAAATCACGAATTACAGTTAAAGGCTTCCATAATAAAGAGAAATCCTCACTTTTCACTCATGGCGTTATTTATGCAGGATTCTCCAAATGTTTGAGCGAAAACGCGTAGATAAACATCCCGCTTTGCACGCATGCACATAGTAGACGCGAGAAAAATACTTCGAATATTTGCGAAAGTCCCTCATCCAGTAGTTTGGAGCGGACCGCTCTTTTTCGTTGACGGAACGCGTATGGAAAGCGGGCCTTACAAGACACCCGTCGAAATCCACAACATCGCGCTACCTGGTTTATAGCGATATTTCTTTAATACATACTAATTGTATTTACAATCCGACCACTTGTTTGTCGGATCGATATTCTACTTTATATTTGCATGTACTATAATCAATATAATACCCGCCTCTACACATGTATCATAAGTTTTAAAGTATCCTCCTATAGATTACTACTTTTATAACGGTATATAAATTACCTGGTTAGCTAAATCATAATTCATCTTAATCTGGGAGAAAAGGACATATGCCTGCTAAATTACTGTAAATATTTAAGGTAAGTTTTTATCATTAACTAGGTCTCATGTATTACCAAACGAATGATTAATTACCAAATAAAGGGGAAAAAATGCTATATGATTTTCATAAGGTGCAAATTCAAATTTCGATTTTACTCGAAGCGGATATAGAAGCGGTGGTATCCTGCGGGTGTCTGAAGTATACCTAGGAATTTTTATACGCCCACATGGAAATGCGGTCGTATATTGCCGTCGCCCCCGTACGTCCGTCCGTCCGTCGTCCACAATTTCTTGTGAACACATTTATCATCAGCTGATTGTTTTGAAATATATATATGTTGTTTACATTAGTGAGATGAAGAAACCTATTTAATTTCAATAACTTCCGTTAATTTTCTTCTAGAGTTATGACCCTTGTTTCACTTTGTTGCACCTTGTGAACGCTCTAACAACAAAAGTTATCATCCGATCTGTTTGAAATTGATATGCATCATTTAAATTAGTGAAACGAAGAAGCCTATTGAATTTCAGCAATTTCCGTTAATTACGCCGTGAGTTATGGCCCTTGTTTCACTTTGTTGTACCTTGTGAATGCTCTAACGACAAAAGTTATTATCCGATCTGTATGAAATTTATATGTATCGTTTGAATTAGTAAAACGAACAAGCCTATCGAGTTTCAGCAAATTTCCGTTAATAACATCTAGAGTTATGGCCCTTGTTTAACTTTGTTGAATCTTGAACGACAAAAGTTATCACCTAATCTGTATGAAAATTAGTGAAATGAAATGAAGAAGCCTAGTGAATGTCAGCAATTTCCGTTAATTATTTCTAGAGTTATGGCCTTTTTTTTACTTTGTTTAACCTTGTGAACGTTCGAACGACAAAAGTTATCATCCGATCTGTATGAAATTTATATGCATTATTTGAATTAGTAAAACGAAAAAGTTTGTTCAATTTCAACAGTTTCAGTAGATTACTTCCAGAGTTACGGCCCTTGTGTTAGTTTTTAGAACCTTGTGAACCCTCAAATGACGAAAATTAATTATAATGTCATCTGTATGAAATTGTCTATTCAATTCCCCTAATTACCTACAAAAGAATAAATATGCGACAACCCTTGTCGACTGCACGGATGATTTAGCTGCTGTGGGCGTATGTTTTGTTGCCTGGCAACCTATCTTTGGTATTGGTTTATTTGCGGTTTAGATTTACTTAATAGAACTTTTTTTTGCCTCACTTTGGATTAATTGTAATTTCTGTCTAAAATCTTACACGTGAAATGCCTTTTTAATAACTAGGGTTAAACGTCCTCCTTTTATACACTAATCGGCCTGCTGAAGACGGTCGTTTTAATAAGAAAGACACGAGTCTAAAATTAATATATTAATCATGTTGGGTTGATAAAGAAAAACAATGTGTTACAATTACGGAGAGGGGGGGGGGGGGCTAAAAGTATAACTACTGCTGCATTGCCGATAGGTGATACTATCAGAGTAGCTGCAGGAAGACGGATTCATTTCAATTGTTGCAGAAATGAAATAAAATGAGGTTATACATCCTATTGTTCTGCTCCGATTTGGCTCCCTTAGTTTGCTATGAGGGAAAATTTGCCTTGCAATGGCGCAGCAGCCTACTCATATATCGAAATTCACCCGCCAAGAGGTCTTTTATTGGAGAAGTAGTGCATCAAAAGGTGAATGGGTGGGGCTGATCAATTGTTACATTTGCCCCAAAAATCATCAGAAAGATTTATATTTTGACACCAGTTTCGTAGATGTACCCGAGATGTGTTACAAAACCAACTTTCGCGGTAATGTGAACAGCACCCCTGGTGGTGTCCACAAAAGCATTACTTTATAGTGGCGTTTTGTGGGTCCAGATCATATGTGGACAGATAGGAACAGAATACCAGAAAGGTGAAAATCGGTCGACCCTATCCATGCAACATTCAATGCAGTTCCACAGTACAAGCACAAAATGGGTGTCAAACAGTGAGTCGCTGGGCTCCTTAATGTCGCTTCTTTTTTTTTTTATCTATTTGGCCACTACATCGTCGCTCTCATTCGGCTTCATCCTTAAAATTGATTATATCGTCTTTATACTAGTTATGTTAGGCCACATTTTGAAGAAGTTCTAATATCTGGTTATTTATCTAAGACGTCGGTTTGAAGGTTGGTTTTTATAAGAATACGACATAATGATAATGATAATGATTTATTCGTAATAGCGTTTTAA